ATTAATTGCGAGTCGCAGTTTGTCCGCTCGCGAGTCGAGTTAGTGGACGTAATTCTTCCGCATCGAATGCCCCAATTGATTTTGCCACTTTCGATTCTCGCTCGGACTCATTAGTGCTTTTATCGTATACGATTGCATAATATTCATAGGTGTTTGCATTTGGCTAATGGGAAAAGGGCCGCATTGAATCTGGAGACACGGGCTCGGCCATCCGTGGCTTCATCCAAGCTCTGCATCTACGAATGAATCTTGCGGTGGGCGACCGCAACTCGAAGCCGAGCTGAGATTGAAATTGCATCGATAGCTGAGCTGTTTCCATCGACGACTGCTGTGCCTCGAGCTCGTAATTCTCTCGGATAATGTGCAAACTTGTTGAGCATAAAATTTCCGAGTGCAGGCAGCAGCAGCTCTCAGGACGACGACGCACTTTGAAATTCGAGTAAATATTTCCGCCCGGCAAAGACCGTGTGCGGCAGTTGGAACGAATTTTTCCCCCGCCCAAAAAATGCATATTCAAAAATGCAGAATACTTGCGCTGCTAGGACGTGGATGCGTGGTAGTAGACGGGCGGCGCTCGGGCCAGTGCCCGCAGTGGCAACTTTCCAATACATTATACACGCGTCAACTTTTTGGCGGAAACTTTTGCGAAACGACTCGTCTCTGCTGCGAGTGGCCGTTGCGAGCTCTGTCACGTTTTATCCCCTCCCTCCCTCGTATCGACGTCGTTACTCTCCGTATGCAGTGCTTCTTCGTACCTTTACATAAATAATATTGTTCCACGTGTCATTCAACGGGGGCTGGCACAAAAGTTGTAAACATACGTAGACATCAGCTTTACGTACTAGAATAGGGAATTTTCCGAATAAACGAAAAAAGCATAAAAATGAAGTAAAAAATAAAAAAGGAGGCTTAATGCCTCAAAGAGTAAGTAGAATCGAGTTTACGCATACTTGTCTGAGCGCGCGCGCGAGTTTTTCAAAGAGTCATCGCTCAATGGCCTAATGCTCTTTTACTGGCAGCCCAGAGCACGGGGGGAGGTACATCATTGTTAGTAGATAACAGCCGCTGCTCAGCCGAAAAAAAGTAATGCCGTAGACTTTCAAATGGCCATTATAAGAGATATAACTTAGGCCACTCGTGCGCGCACTCGAAAGAAATCGAATATTGCTTTTCTTCTTTACTGCGCTCATCAAGTTTGCGAGGCTCCGGCGACGTGCGCGTCGGCTCGCTCTATCGCGCGAAGCAACGTAGAATGAAGCAACGAGAGACCGAGGCTAATGCATCAAAAGGAGAACGAAACCTATCGATTTGCGAGTCGAGTTATTTTACGCTCGGCAATCGAGCTTTTCTTCGTTGCGAATCAATGGAAACTCCTTGACAAATGTGATACATTTAATTCGAGCTTTTTCTTGTAAGCAAATAAGGAGCTGCGGACTGCGTTAGCTGCGATTCTCGAGCGAGCATCGTTATGACGCGCCGAATTTGGGCAACTGGAAAATTTCTCAAAAGCTCCGAGCGCGAGTTTCGGGGGCACGCATTGAAATTTTCAAATACGAAGGAACGACACGAGCCACTGCTGCGAAAGTATATTTAAGAGATATTTCGGTGATCTAATGGAAAAATAATTATCTCGTCGACGCGTCAAAATAGCGGCTTTCTTTTGCCAGCTGAGCGCAGCTCGTTATTATTTTCACATCGCAGCACCACGCGCACTGCGCATTGTATTGAAGCTTCTTCAATTCGTCTCTCGGCAGCTCTCGAGCGTAGACTCGATGGGAAAAGAAGAAGAAGAAGTGTATCTCTCGCACTCGCGTAAAAATAATTGGCTCCCATTCCTTCGTTCAGTTGCTTCGTTTAACACACTCTACGTACGTCTAGCTTCTTGTTTTTTATTGTCTTGCAAGGTGCACGCCCTGCGCCTCACCTTGGTGCCACTTGCGCTACTACTATACTTATACTATCGTCGTATAGACGTGGCTGGGGCGCGACAAAGACCCAACACACACACAGGCTCGAGCATCTCCTATCTTCTTGCAGCAGAGGCAGAAGAATAGTCTGCGTCTTCGCACTTGATACTGCAGAGCTGCAGGTGTATTATCCAGAGAAAAGCCTCTACGTGGCTGAAATTTCAAATTTTCGACACGTTTCTTATATGTGCGCCGCGGCTCGTGCGCTGTGCGCTCCTCTCTATACCGGATAGATAACGTGGCACTAGCTTCTCTGTCTTACAGCTTTTATGCTTTCAGTCGAGGAAGAAATCTCCGAGTCCATTGAATTTGCCCCCGTGTAGAACAATCAACTTATGTACGTATTTTATTTAAAAAGGCCAAAAGGAACGTGCTTTATGATTCACAGCTATATACGATGGTCAAAAAACTGCAATGCAATCATAACGTATCTGATTTTTTGTCCTCATAAGAGAATACTTCTATTAATAAAAAAACGTGCAACTTTTTCATCGAAAACCAAAATGTTCATTTTTCGTGCTATTACTTGATAAAATTGTAAGCTTTCTTGATTTTTTTTCCTTGTCTCAAAACTATCCCAAATGAGTATATGAACCATTGAATCACGCGTATGAATAATTTAATATTCATCGCAATAGTCAAACATTAGAGATTGAACTAACGTTTACTCATGGCTAATTGAACGCCAATGGCAATTTGAAAATTTTGCTTTACTGCTAAACATACATCCGATGCAGTACTGCTAAACAGGTGTACATCAAACTTCTGGGACTTTTGTGGGTCAGGAATGAAGCGGCCTAAATGAACGAGTTAGAGAAAGGAGATATGATCGTGCAATCAGATTATTCTTGGCACTTTGTACGAAGAGTTGATAGAGCACTAAAAGCAACTCGTGCCAGTGAAGTCGATTTCCGATGGGCGTAAACGCACGAGCATGAAAAGTTTTTCTTTCCGACGAACGAGTATCCATAGTATTTTTTGAACACAGCAGAAGATGCTTCAACGTGGCTATGGCTAGCTCGGAGGAAAAAGACTCTCAAGTTTTGACCAAATTATTATTACTTTCAGTGTTTTTATTGTTATTATTTTGCGTACAACGTGTGTTGAATAAATATATGGTCATGAAATAACGGCTCATTTTTGCTTTGTTCGCAGCATGTATAATAAACACGAAGAAATAATCGTTGGTGTCGCACGAACTTTGAAGCATGATAATTATAACGAAGCTTCACGATATCATTACCTTTTTAAATATTAACGAAGCTTCATATTGCAGCGCTCCGCGAGAGAATGAACGCATCGATTTCATAATGCTTTCTCGGTCAGCGAGGCTACAGCATAATATTGGATTTTCGCGAATTCGCATGCGAGATCAGAGTCCTCTGTAATTGCCTTATTATCCAGCTGCACCAAAGGGGCTGCACAGGGTTCGCGATTTCGATGGGATAGCCCAGGCATCAGTGGGAAATTTTTGATCCTAATTATTTCGTCTTTTTTTCTGTTCCAGACTAGGAATTCCGATTGGTCGTTGCGAAAAGTACTAATGTACTTATATTTTTCTGATAAGTCACACGAATTACCCTATGCACAAACGAAGAGAGATAATGTTCTGCACTGAAGTTAATAAGAAGATAATAATCCTTTAGAAGCCAGAGCTTTTCGATCTTTGAACTTGCGGACTGTACAGTGTGTGCCTCGCTCCATATAATACGCATAAGCGATTGTAGAAGTAAGAGCTTGCAGCGTCAGATGCTCTAAATAGCTCGTTGCCTACACGTGTTTCAGGCGTCGTTGTTGCGCCGCGCCTCCAAACTACTGAACAATAAGCTCATCTTTTTTGCATTGCGAGCTTTTTTCCCATAGAGTATTTAAATACATGTCAGGAGGGGTGCATTCGGATGCTTGGCAGAGCGAAGCTGCTCGGAATATCAACCGGGCGCGTCTAATTGTTGCGATACTTTCGGGCAAGGAGCGCAGCACGTAATCGAAAATTAATACGATATAATGCACGGAGCGAGTCGCGCGCGGATATTCGTGACAATCGGACAAGGCAGTCACCTCCCTGGAAACACGTCCCGGTACTGCAATTAACGCTGATGCAGCCGAGTCGATCTTAGCTGCAGCGGGATTCGTGCAAGCCATGCAATATGTAGCTTCGCTCGCCTCTTTCCAACTGACAATCGCGTTAAGCTCGAGCCATAGTTATTGGATCTAGGACTGCATTTGTAGGAACTTTGCGTAGGTACGCGCGAGCATTAGTGCGCGTGAGGGGCAGAAAGCTCGGGAAATACTGGCGCGTTCGCCGGCAGCTAGCTGCTAGCTCCGAGCCGTGTGCCCGCTATACTGCGAGCTGCTGCTGCTGCACTCGAGTGCAAATTTATACAAATATATACCGATATGCAAATTGCGTTTGCTCGGCGCCGCGCACACGGCTGCCAGCTGACCACTTTTAATTCGAGCCGTGGTCCGTGCCCTATAGTCCGAGCTATATAGCCCGAATGCGGATTGATTATCGCGTGGATTCGGCAGCGAGTTCGCGCGCCCAATTTCTATAAGCGCGCAGGGCCAACGGCGTACCCGGCCATTATCCATATTTACGAATCAATGTGGCGCGCGCGACATACACAACTTGTCGATTTCGCAAGCTCGCCGAGTGCGCGCCTGTAATGCATTATTGATTATTTTTAGTTCGCCAGCTCCTGGCTCGCGCGCGTGCGGATATGCACATCCCTCTCTCTCTCTCTCTCTCTCTCTTTATGTACAGTATAACGTGCACGTAGCGTGCTCGCGGCCGCTAAGCACGATATAAAGCGAGAACGTCGATGCGTTCCGAGCACACAACCATATCGATTTTCTAACGTGTTTTGCAGGCGCCGCCGCCGCCTCGGCCACGTCCGATCGAACGCGAGCTTTTACTACTTATATATCGGCCGAATCGGAGGTGGCTGGCGCGGAGGTGCGCGAAAGAGCAAAAGAAAGAGAGAGAGAGAGAAAGAAGGCGACTCTGTGCACCGAGCGCCGCGCGTCAATGGGCTCGAAACTCGCTAACTGGGTCAATCCTTCAAAAATCGTCCGTGGCTCCGCGGTAAAACGAGCAGCGTACGAATCAATTCGGGATTCGGAGCAGTCGAGCGGAATAGCACCGATGGCAATTTTACGGCCGCGCTACGATCTAACGATATATAATGAATGAATGGATGAATGAAGCCGCAGCTGAATCGCTCGTAGTAAACTATGACGAATCAAAGTGGAGGTATGTACGCACACGATCGTCGTAGTGGAGGGATCTGCATAGGTGCAGGTGTGCGCGACTGTGTGCACGCGACTTACAAGGGTGAGTAACGGAAGAAGGGGGCGGCACAACGGCCAGAGTATAAGCAAGAGAGAATTCGAGGATTCGAGGTCGATCCCCACCTCTTTTACGCCAGTTTAGTCTGGTATATAGCGTGCAGCGTGTAGCTATGTAGTCATACTTATGAATACAGATATATCATGCTACGTGCAGATAGAGAGAGAGAGAGAGCACACGAGGGAGAAAGAAGGAGAGAAAGAGAAAGAGTGAAAGAGAGACTGACATTGTGTGCGAGCCCTATCTCTATCCGCGCGCGCCTTCTATAAAGTATCGAGAGTGCTAAAACGAACGGCTAGTTCGTTCCTGATTGTTGCTCCTCGTACACCTCACCACCTCACCCGCCTCGCCTCGTGCCACTTGCCACTTGCCCAAGGTGAAATAACACCGAGACCAAGAGAAACAACCTAACGCCAACCTTTACTCATGAGCAGGTATTATTTATTCAAACGAACGACGAATCCTTTCGAAAAGCTCATTTTTACCTACCGACCGACTGCAGATTTTCGTCGTCGTCGTCGTCGCATTTGGCCTTGTACTACTGCTGGGTCATTCTGTGTACAGCGACAATCACCTCCTCGTCGTCCTCATCGAACATCCTAAACAACGCCAACAATGACGAATGGGTCGTGCGTCTCGAGGGTGGATCGGAAGTCGCATCTCTTCTGGCTTTACGATCCGGTTACACTCATGTCGGCCCGGTAAGAACCTCATAACTAACAAATTATTTTACAAGTATCCTTTCCCGTGTTTTCCAAAGGCCGTCAAGACCTTATGTTGTATCGGACCCGATTTACCTTTTATTATTTTTTCATTTTTCACCACGATTCATCGATACATCGATAAAGGAGATAAAAGTAAATTCATTACTCGAGCGAAGTTGATAAGGCGCGTGACATATGGCCTCGACTGGTCGCTAGTAATGATCATTATTTACATACAGCTCCTATGGATTTTAATGACCATAAGTTTTAGAGTGAAATTTTCAGCGAAAAGCTTTAGAGTGTCAACTGAATCCGACAGATCGTTTGTCCTTTTATAATATACTTTTTCCTAAATCATACTCTCAATTCACCAGCAGCGTATTTCAAATGCGAGGCGTATTCGAAAAGCAAAAAGTCCATATACATGCGGCGCTTTCGTCCTTCCTTTCTGCTCCCCACTCTCAAATTTTCGCTCTCTCTCTCTCTAATTATTTCCAAGTCTAATCAAGTCAAAATGGGCCAGCAGCACTAGTGTAGTACTGTACGGCGAGCAGCAGCGCAGCAGCAACTACCCACCCAACCCTCCCTCTCTCTCACTTGGCAATGTGAACGATGTATACATATATAAAGTGCAAAGCTCGTCGAGTTAAATTCGGCTGCGATAAGAAGCCGTCCGCGTTGCAATCAGCAACGCAGACTTTTGTCTAGCTGCGCTTATATATAAGTGCATGACAAGATTTGCTCGTTTGTTCGCTGACAAAGTATTATCCTCCACAATTGTTTCGCTAAAAATGTCATCGGTCGTTTCCTCGAGATAAGTAACGATGTATAAGCTAGCCAGACGAGCGAAAGAGGCTGAATAATGATCGAGCAGCGATTTTTCAGTGACGTTTTGCAAGTCCAAAGTTATATGTGTCAGTATTTCCAAAGGCGCCGTTGCCGGCCAAGTATTTACATACGTACACGTTTGGGCTCTGAATCAGCAGTATCTGCACGCGAGCTTTCGCGAATAGAGCCGCACAACGGAGACGTGTGCGTACGTACGTGCGTGCGTGTAGTGTGCATTTGAGAGAGAGAGAGAAGCAAATCTAACTCACGCCAGGCAGAATCTCCCTTGGCTTTGTGTGTACGTTCGGCACTCGAGTAATTGAAATAAACGACGTGACCGACGTTGGCTCGACGCGGCGCACAGCTTCTGCCTCGAGTAACATAATTAACTCGTCTCGACGCATCGCACACGCGCTCCGTGTATTATAGCGCGCAGCAGCAGTTTCTTTTATATACGTCGCTGGCCCGCTCGCGCGATTCCACGTCAAAATAATCCACGTCCGAGCACGTAGCTGCCAGCTACAAAGACTCTATTCCGTACGCGAAGATCCAATCGATATCGAGCAATAAAGTCAACAGCCAGCGAGCCACCGACCAATTACCATTATACCATGCCAAAAAGTCTTCGAGTCTCGATCCGTATGGTTCATAGGTTTGAATACAAAACTTTCTTTACGAGCTGAGATTATGCCATGCGATTGTTTAATTCAAGTAACAGAATTGTAGTAGAAAAAAAAAAGAAAAGATACGCGATTAAGAATTCTGGCTAATTTTTTCACTTTCAGATGATAATAATGTTTTTTTCTATACGACTTGAAATAATGATGAAAATCTTTTGTCCGTAAAAATCAAGCAAATTTACTGTCCATTAAAAATTACACCATAAAAGCTTCACATAAAAAATTGAATGAATATTAATACGATTATTTTGCTATTCGGTGCAGGTACTTGGCTTTAAGGATACTTACCTGTGGAGAGTTAACAACAGCACGAGGTTCCAAAAGCGAGGCTTGCCTTATGCCATGACCGCTTTAAAAAGCCGGGCCAGGGTATGAAAAATTCTGAAAAGGAACGGGCAATCTGCTCGATTATGTCAAGCAGGTAATTCTGATCTGAACTCGCAATTCCGTGTCTCTGTGTAGATCGTCTGGGCCGAGCAACAAAAAGCTCGCTTGCGCCAGAAGCGAGACTATTTGGAGCTGTATATATCCGAAGCAACAGCCGCCGTGTCCGCTGCAGCAGAGACCAATGCGCATCAATCAAAATCGTCACGAGCCTTCAACGATGAGCTCTGGGAGCAGGAATGGTATCTGGTAACGATATAAATTTCTGCGTAGCTTGCAAATGCCTAGTGCATGACTGAACTTGTGTGTGTTGAGTGATTTTTTGTGAGCAGAATATGTGACTGTACAAAATAAGAGACCATTGTCAGGCACCATGTATTAAGTCGGGTGCATTAATAATTTTTATCTTGACCAAGTGGACATTTTATGAGTAACTATGCCTAAACCAATCATATCCAGTCTGGAGTAGGGCGAGGTTATAGTCTACTTTTTATTGTCCATTTTTGATCTGCGGTGAGTCCACCTTTTCGCAAAGCAACCTCAACTCCAAAATTTTATAATACATCAAATTCTGGAGGATTCACTCAAGTACACGATCTTGTTTGAAAAAAGTTTCATTTGCATAATTTCATGAGAAAAATTTATTGATAAGCGCGATTTTTATTAGTAACACCGATTTTATCTTTTGATACTTCTGGATAAGGCAGATCGCTCCTTGAGCCAAACTGCAAACTCACGATTTAAGCTGTTGACGGCTTATATGCGTTATTATGTATGATTGCACGAGTGAGTGAACAAGTATTTACAATAAGAATAGTACTAAGAATCGATCGAAGCGCCAACCAGCCGAATATACACAATGACTTTTCTGTGCACCAATCGCTGCAGCTGGACAGGACTAAAAGCGAAAGAGGAGGCAAACCACTGAAGCGGCCAAGACTCGATCTGAACGTTTTGCCGGTCTATCGGCTCGGCATCACGGGCCGAGGAGTCAAGGTAGCCGTTCTCGACGACGGACTCGAATACACCCACGAGGATCTGCGCTCCAATTACGTAAGATACGCATCGTACAAGTTCTGCCTATTATGGTCGATCGTACATCTATTGCTCGTTATATACGTATAGGAGCCGTCGATAAGCTACGACGTGACGGATCGGGACGAGGACCCGATACCCCGATACGAGGAGCCAGCCAACGGCCACGGGACCAGATGCGCCGGGGAAATAGCCATGGAGGCGGACAACGGCAAGTGCGGAGTCGGCGTCGCTTTCGAGGCCCGCATCGGGGGCATCAAGATGTTGGACGGACAGGTGAACGACCGAGTCGAGGCCGAGTCGCTCGGCTACAGGCCGGACCTCGTGGACATATACACGGCCTCCTGGGGTCCGCCCGACGACGGCAAGAGCCTCGACGCACCCGGCCGTTTGGCCAGCGAGGCCCTGGAGCGAGGCATCCTCGAGGTAGATACAACGAGCTTGCGTATCTCGAGCCTTGAAAACTCGTTGTGTGATTTCTCGTTGGGCGCAGGGGAGACAGGGCCGCGGCAGCATCTACGTATGGGCCTCGGGCAACGGCGGCTCCAAGGCCGACGACTGCAGCTGCGACGGTTACGTGGGTAGCATCTATACCCTGGCCATCGGCTCGGCCAGTCAGGCCGGTACCTTTCCCTGGTACGGCGAGATATGCCCGGCGACCCTGGCCACGACCTACAGCAGCGGCGCCTACCAGGACCAGATGATTGTCGGTCGAGTCCCAATCACTCATCATTATACTCGCTCATGCATTTCTCACGTAGACATCCACGTGCTCATCGTACATCAACTCACCTCATCCATCGCAATCGGTTCATTATATACCATTGTCCGCATAAAGATTGACGAATTTAGCCTAAATCGCACGTCGTGTGCACGTTTGTCCTGTCGCGCAGGCAACGACCGATCTCAAGAACACCTGCACCACTAGTCATACGGGAACCTCGGCCTCCGCACCTCTGGCTGCCGGTATTTTGGCTCTGGCCCTTCAAGCCAAGTGAGTGCAAATCAAATGTTTGGCTAAACGTTTTCCGCGTTTTTTGACATTTACTGGTCGATTCCTTATTATAAGCAAAAATCTCACCTGGAGGGACGTACAGCACCTCGTCGTGTATTCATCGAATTATGCAGCACTTCGGTAGGTATATACTACAGCTATAAGCTTAATTGCTATTTAAGCGCGATTTTCAACGAGTTAATTCATTCAGGCGAAATCCAGGCTGGTTCAAGAATTCCATCGGTTTCTGGTTCAATCCGAGGTTTGGCTTCGGATTGATGGACGCTCACGCGCTCGTACTGGCAAGCTCCAACTGGACCAATGTCCCAGTCAAAACTATCTGCGAAGTTACTTCCGTACCTTTGTAAGTTAAAGACCAATTTTTCAATGAATCTCGATAAATATCTACAGATACTTGTTGTTTATGTCAATTTCACACAATGAGTTACGAATAAATTATTCGTAAAATTTTTATCAACATTCGCACTAAGCGTATCTCAAATTTTCTCAAGTAGTAGTAATTTTTGGAGTATACAATTGCTGAAAATGCAAAATTCGCATAAGCGCGTACAAATATGAATGGCAGCCATTTGTGTAGCATTAAATGTATTATTTATATATGTACGGGGTAGGAGTTTGGACATTTGAAGTGGTCGATTTAATATTCGCAGGATCGCGCGGGAAGTGAGTTACGGCGTGACGCGAAGGGTGCAATTTGAGGTGGTCCAGTGCGGCGGTGGCGGCGGCGGCCCCGCCAACGAAATCCACTACCTCGAGCATGTGCAAGTCGAGACGAACGTCGAATACACGCTTCGCGGAGCTCTTCAGATGCATTTGACGTCACCCACTGGTATGTGCGCTGCATGCAATACGTCCGCATTTACGCTGCGCTTCCACTCGCACCCTGCAATTTTCCTCGATTCTCTTTGCCCTTCCGCCCAATGTTGAACTTATGCTAATCTTTCTCTCTCGCTCTCTTCCCCTTTTTCGGCAATATCTCACTGTCGAAGCCCCGGAGTAAAGCTTGTCTGTCAATTTTTACAATTCCCTAACTTACAAAATCAATATTCTTACAATATTCAACTGTTTTATGAATTGCATTGCAGTCTAAGCTTTCATTTGTTCCTATTTTATATCGTACAATATTAGTTTCCATTATTCATCCGGTTCACTTTATTTTCTCAACTGATCACTGATTTTATTTACAATAAAAAAGAATTCCCCTCTCTCTCTTTCTCTTGCTCTGTTATCTCGCAGGTACGAGCGTTCAACTATTGGGCAGCAGAAAAAACGACAACTCGAGCGAAGGTTTTGTCAAGTGGAAATTCATGTCAGTTGCTACCTGGGGCGAGGAGCCCAAAGGAACTTGGTATTTGGACATCAGCGATACGGTACTACTTTTATATGCAGTCCTCTCCCTTTTTTTTCATATCAATGAAACAATAGCCGACGGATAAGCAAACTTTTAATTCTCTTATTATGCAATCTCTCTCTCTTTTCTCTCGGTCTGATCTAGATAGGACCTAACACGAACAAAGGTACAGTTGGCGCTTCAAAACTAATTTTGCATGGAACAAAAGAGCGACCTGCGTATTTGGGCAAAAGTTTGCGGGACTATGACAGCGTGTACGACCACTCGGATGATAACTCGGTGAGTGCTCCGCTCAGCCAGACTATCAATTAACTTTCAATTGCAAATACTCGACGCAAATTTCGATCGCGTCTCCTCCTGCTCCTCCTTCATATTTTCTGCAATTTTTTTTTTTTTTTCAGAATTACATCATGGACGGAGACGGCACGTTGGAAGAAAGACTCGAGGAGCGAGATAATCGCAGCGAGGAAAACGTACAGCTCGATCAGCCGTTCGTTTTCTGATTGAATCAAGAAAAATTACTTATTACACCTATAACGTATAATCGGGGGTCGGTGCTAAGACAAAGAAAAAAAAATTAAAAATTATAGCCATATTCGAGTATATATATTTTTGAATAATTCAATTGTGCTAAGATACTGCTGCGAAAGGTAGTGGCTTGATTTCCTTCGTTTGAAAACGAGCTGCTTCGTATGCGCCAACTGTTGCGAGTCGTAGAAAGTAATGTTATTTCTGCAGCGCTGCTCGACAGGTAAGGAGTCGAGCGAGCGACTTGAGTTACCAACAATAACAAGAAGCGACATGCTCCTCTTTATCACTGAAATTCGTAAACCCATTGTGTAATTGTATTTAAGTAAATATCCGTGAGAAAATTTATATTTAATTTAAACCCATTACGAGAGTATGAATCGAGTGAAAGAAATAATTATTTCAGTTGATCGAAAGAACTGTCTTGTAAATCTAATATTGAAATATTTATTCTCACATTTTAAAAGTCGAAAAATAAACCATTTTTTTTAATATATGTATAACTGAGGTGCGAAGGAATTGAAAAAATAAAAATTTATTGAAGCATACTCTGATAATTGTACTAAATATATATTCTTTAATATTTAACATTATTTACAAATAATCTAACAAAAAATTAATTTCTGAATACTTGAAGCGGTAACTTTTATAAAAAAAAAACGCACTTGATAAACACAACACCATTATCGAGTCGATAATCACACTCATGACATACACTATTTTGACATAAACATAAACACAATATTATACACGTAAGCATCGTCAAGTGTTTTTGATAAAAGACACCACAATATCACAAATACAATCAGTCGAAGCAAGAAAAAAAAATGTGGAAAAAATCAGCTATAAATATCCGTGATATTTGATCGTAATAGAAGACATTACTAGTGCGTCGAGCAGCGGCGGCGGCACAGGAAAAGTCTTGTTTGGCCGTAGCAGCTGCCTAATGGAATAATGATAGAAGATTAGGCAGCCGCTGGGGCTATGGCGGCCGATGCCACAGAGGCGTTAGCATTAGCCCGAGCCTGAGCTTCGTCTCTTCTGGCCTTGGCAAAGTCTAGGTAGACGGGGTTTCGGTAGATTATCTCGGCCAATTGCGCCGTGCTGGCGTAAGTGTCGGCTCGCGTGCCCTTGCACATGGACAACTGATGGAGCTTGAGGGCCTTGTCGCAGCTGACGCCGTGATAGATGTGCACGAGGCCGCTGTCGGCTCCCCGAAATATCTCCACGTCCGATTTGACCGTTCGGTCGAAGAGATCGACGTCTTCCTTGCCCCAGCCCTCGATGCTGAGATCGAAGCCTCCGACGGCCTCGTAGTCTTGTCGGTACATGGCGGCTATGCCGAAGCCGAAGATGCGCCAGAAGCCCAGCCGATCGTTGAAATCGGTACGGCGGATGCTGCTGAGACTGCTGGTTTCGTTGCCCGCGCCGACCACCGACGGGTCGTACTGGCTGAACACGACCGGATAGTACATCCGCTGGCCTCGTAGGGTGTTTCTACGGATGCGCTCGAGGGACTCGGAGTCGAAGCTGATGTCGACGTCGACGAAGAACATAAGATCTTGGGGTCCGAGCAGCTTGGCGGCTTGATCCAGGGCCCGGGCCCGAGAGAAGCCGTCCTTGCCCGGTACGACGCGGACCCTTTCGTGGCCGTACTCCTCGATCAGTTGCTCGAGCATCGCCCTCTGCAGGTCGGCTTCGCTGCTCGGATACAGAATGACCACGAGAACGGTGAGGTCGGCTTGTCGAGGGTCTCGCAGGCAGACGCGCTCGTAGTTGTTCAAAAATCGGATCATCGCCTCGAGACGACCCGCCACCGGCACGAGAAAGTGAACGACCTTGTGGTCCAGCTCGCTCGTCGGCACATCTCGCCACTCCATTTCTGCAACAGCGAGACAATGAGCATCATCGACTATCGATCGAAGGGAGCTGCTGTCGAGCTCGAAAACTTACCGGTAAAGGTCTGGTGCAGGTACAAGTGGCGTCGAACCGGCAACGTGACCTTGCGACCTCGGTACTTTTTGTAGATGAGCAGCAGATCGAGGACCGTGTCGACGCCTTTGCCGGTGCGCCTGCGGTAGCCGTAGAGGGCCTGGCGCTCCTCGACGAAGCGGCCCCGCTGCCTCGAGCAGGCGTTTATCGACGCCATGACCTCTCGAGTCAGGTCCTCGAGGCCCTCGCGCAGATCGCTGTGCAGGCGTCGCCGGGGATTGGCGTCGCTGAGGCTGTACTCGGAGCGCGATATAAAGTCCCAGTGACCGGTTTCCTTTCTCTCGGCTTTTTTTCCTGCGTATACAGTCGATCGAATGATTCATTTCGCCTTGTTGCGCGTGATTTTACAAAACACGCGATCTTTATAATTATATCATACGTACTGGTTGCAAGCTCCGTTTTCCGATTCGTTGAGTCGGCTGCCAGACTCGTTTGCATTTTCTCGATATCTCGCCGCAAGTCGACTTTTTTCTGCTGCAAATCTTGAATTTTCAGTCCCTGTGAGCAAAGGAAAAACATCGTTGCTATCAAAATGAAAATAAGAAATGGATCGAAGGTCGAAAGCGAAGATAATAAAGACGCCCGATCATTGCGATCGGCTGATTAGTGCAGTTTTAAAGAAAGCAGGTCATTGGACAAACTCATTAGGTTCGTTGTTCTCCCTCCTTTCCTCTCTCTCTCTCTCTCTCTTTCTTTCTCTCGTCGTTCACTCGCAGTCTTTTTTCCCGTACGGCTATATGGCACGGATTAATAGACCAACACTCGTGCGCCGCGCACACTTACATGCCACTAATAAAGTTCATCGAACCGTTAACAAGTTACTCTGCGAAATTTTTTATGTATGCGCGTCTTTCTCTCTTTCTCCTCGATCGAGTATATACGCATACAAATGTATTAATATGTATACTCGTGAGCATCGGTCCGCACGTATAGTCGCCGCAGACACACGCACACTCGCTTGATTCATAATAAACACGATGATGGATATAACCCTCCGATAGGATATCACGCAGTTTAGTCCGAGCGAGGCGCAACTTGACGCGTTATAGCATAATACAAGTATTATATACAAGGTTTATGATTGATACGACCAAGTACATAAGAGATAGAGAGAGAGAGAGTAAGTATATGCATGTATGAGCTGACTGACCCGCATGTAGTTGTGAAGGCGATACATGTGAGGCGGACTCTTGACCGGGTGCAGGCTTATGGCCCGGTGAACCTCTCGGCTTTTGAGACGCCCGGTGAACGCTAGACTGCCGCTGCTGTTGTGATAGAGGATCGATTGCATCTGAAATAGGCATGGATAAAGCGTCGAACATTATTAAAGCTGCTGCTGCTGCTTAGAAAGCTCACTCGGAAAGCCAAAGCTCCGTGCCATTAATTGCATACCTCGTAACTCCAGGTGCAGGAGATGCCGGCGAACTTGCGGACGCATCGGCCCAGCTCGACGTCCTCGTGGGTCGTGTAGAGATTGGCCAGGCAGTACTTGATGTGGGGCACCAGTCGGGCCAGGGTCTCGCGCGATATCAGCACCCCGGGCCCGCCCATGCAGAAGTTCTCGTCGTACTCGAGGGAGAGCAGGCCGAACTCCTCGGAGTTGCCGCGGCCGGCCTGGCCGACGTAGAGGGCGCGCCTCGAGTCGACCGATCTCAGGAGCCGCTCGAGGCGATCGGTCCGCACGTAGAGATCGTCGTCGGCGCGCAGGAACCACTCGTAGCGATTGCCGTACTTGTGCCACATGTGCTGCAGCATGAGGAAGGACTTCTTCTGGGGCGGGTAGCTGTCGTCGACCCGGGGCAGGGCGATCAGGGGCAGCCCGGGACAGTCGCTCGGCACCTTGGACGTCTCGGACGAGTAGAAGCCGATGCGGCCCGGCACCGCCGCACCCCAGGTCTCGAGGACCGCCTTGGCTCGGCTGGCCAGGTACTTCTCGGCCGTCATCACCCCGACGTACAGCAGCTCTCGGTCTCTCGCGTCCGTGTCCGGGGGCCCCTTGTTGGCATCATTGTTGCTGCTGCTGCTGCTTACACCGCCGTAGTAGTGCAGGGTCGACGGAGCGTCGCCGGAGGAGAGACCAGCAGAGACGTTGGTCGGCTGTCGCTGCTGCAGCACGAGCAAACCGATCAGGAGACCGGCGGCCAGGCCGAGGGCTGCGCTGCTCAAGCTGTTGCGTCGCTTCTTGCGCATGCTGGCCGCTGCTAGCTGCTCCGGGGCGAGGCGGCCCTGCTGCTGCTGCTGCTGCTTCCCTCGTGTCGCGTTGGTGGTGGCCTGGCTTGCAGCGCGAGCAGCGACGGACGAGGCATGGCACGGCCCCGACCAGGATCGGCTCGGAGGATGAGGAGGCCCAAGAACGAGAGCTGCAGCCGATGGCCTATGTTGCTCGGCTCCGATACACGACTCCGACAACGACGCGCTATCGTTCGATCCGCCGAAAATAGAATCGCACCGCAGATAAGGTGTATAGAGTAGACGCGCGTCTGCTCGTACGGCTAGCAGCTGCGCGACTGCTATCTCTGCAGCAGTATCGGTAAGAAGCGGCCGCAGCAGTCAACGGTAATCCAAGTTGCGGCAGACGACGCCGCCGTTGCCGTCGCCGCTGCTGCTGCTGCTGCTGCTGCTGCTGCTGCTGCTGTCATGCTCCCCCGTTCGAGTACCAGAGAAATGAACTGCGAGCGATGCGACCGACTTTGTATTTGCTTAGCTGTAATCGACGCTGCTCTGCCCTTGGAACAAAGCGCGTATAACGTGCGCCTCTACTACTGTGCACACATGAGCCGCCGCCGCCGCCACCGCCAGCGTTCCGATTTTGCTTAGGACTCGAGCTCCTATATACTCGAGTGCGTAACTAACAAGATGTAAAAAAAAACTCGGTAGCGTGTATCACTCACTCGTACATCGCGTCGCGCGCTCGTCCGCCTTTCTATAAATACGAGCCCAAGAGTCGAGCACGTTTGCCGACGCTCGAGTAGGAGAGGAGCCGAAGGAGATCTCAAGGCCCATTTAAAGCGAGCATCTGCACGCTCTTGGCTTCCTCCTATACAGCCAACAGGTTCGCCCGTCTTTACTGCTGTATAGCAGCTCCGAAAAAACTCTGTCTCGCTGTTGGCTAGTCGGTGTGCGTATATACGTAAGCGCACGAGTTCACGGATCGACGGCGCGTATGCGATGCGTCGCGAGGGTACAGCGAGACCCTACTACTATATACTCCCATCGCTGCGACAGCCGAGACGAAGAAAACGAGCCAGCAGCAGAAGAAGAAGAGGAGGAGGAGGAAGAACGAGAACGAGTCCACGAACAAGAACATGGACGAGAGTACGAGAAATAATAAGAGAGAAAAAGATGGAGAGCCTATTCTCCTTTCCCTTCCCATCCGCGCGGCCCGCTACGAGAGAATTCCCTGCGAGCTCTATTCAACTGCATGCGATATTCTCTCTCTTACATGTAACATGTGTGTATGCAACGCTACCAGCCTCTTCTCTCTCTCTCACTCTTGTACGTGTATCGCCTCTCCGTACTCGTGTCCCTATGCATAAAGTTCAATATAAGGATATACGATTATGTTGTATGCGCGTATCCTCGAGTACGAGGACGAATTTTCATCCTCTTTTCTTTGTAATTATGTTCATACGCGAAAGGGCTCCTCGTTACGCATGCTTATTTACTTTGGAGTCTTCGATCTTCCGAGCCAAAGAATAATATTTTAATTTTGTCAAGTACCGATGATTTACTCGTCATTCTATCCAAGAGCTTCGTTGTCGAATTTCAACCAGAACGAACCTAATCAAATTTTCGCTCGTGTATATTCCCGCTACCAGCTCCTAATCGCCCAAACTACTGCTTGACTAGTGCTTATATCAGAGTCGATCGATCATATTTTAGACTGATTTAGAAGATACTTTTTTTTCTTCAGATTTTCACTTTATTTTTTTTATAAATAGCTTTTATAAAGGGAGTGACTGAAAATAATAAGACATATACGTTGTCTTTTGTAAGAAAAAATTTAGAATAATATCTAAAAAGGTCAATGGTCAATTGAATATTGGAAATTCAGTTATCACGAAATTTCCATTTTAAAATTTGTTTTAATAATTAATTCTGGTATATGAAAAATTACATGAAAACTTGAGAGAACGCGGCTACATAAAGTTATTACAGTAATATTCAAGAAAATTGAACTTTAAATTAATATTGTAGACGTTATCACAATATAACTCTTATCTTTCGATAAAAACTATCTTTCTTCAATTGAAAATCTTTGTAAAAATGATATCTCCGTTGTAAATCCAGATGTTTATTGCACTTAAAACGTGATAAAATGAAAACCATTTCAAGTTTCGCTGAATCGATAATTGAATGATAACAGATTTACAGAAAACTGCATTGGCTAAATAGTGCTCGTTACATTTAAATGTATAATTAACGCTTTCTTACGACCAAAATCGCGGTAAACAATGTTGTCATTTAATAACTAGACTGACAAATGTTATCAATAAAAAATACAAAATATTATCATTACCATTGCAAATTTAAACGTTATTTAAACAAACACACTTTAAATTAAGTTCAACTTTATCGACAATACAAAAAATTTTACAAGAAATTCGATTTTCTGAAATTTTGAGTTTTCAGAAAGAAATTACTTGTATTTTTTATAAGTTTTGAGACTTTTGTAACTTACGAATCTTTTTATTTGCACATTCAATATGCAATTTTGACGTTCAAAATTTATTTGAGCTTCGGATAAGCCGATTTATTTCCTTCTCTCTTTGAAGAATTATTTATTCAAGTTTTTATTGGCCATCACATTTGACATTTGTGTCTTATCCGCAGGCACAACAGATATAAGATATCTTATAGAGTATTGATTATGAAAGAATAATGTTTACGAATAGGTTAATGAAAACTTTATAAAACTTCTGACAAAAACCTCACTCAGTCATCTAAGAATTATGAAAAAATTTTTCTCACATTAAATAAATAATCTGTATATATAAAGCGAAGTTGGTGTTTGTTTGTTTTTCATGATCTCAAAAACTATTTGTCTGATCAGCTTGAAATTTTTACTATGCATGCATTATACCACTGCGCGGGTTTCTATCATATTAAGACCATTATTTACTTCTTTATTTTTGAGTTCAGAATTTTTTTCGTATTTTATCCCTTCGCGCTTGCTCGCCCCTTGCCCGATCAATTGTTATAAAAAAAAACCAACATTTGTTATTATTATTTACAGGCGATCGAGCGTTCCCTAACACTCACTTATATTCGTATCTTACATGTAAACAATGTCTTTCTACTGGTCTGGACACCTCCGTACCGCTGTTTATGTGTTATTGTTATTGATACCTTGCTCAGCAAAAGTCTACTTTTATCGCTCTCTCTATCGATTTTCTGTGAATGTTTCCAATTTTTGGTTTATAAGTTGTGAAGTTTTTGCGAATTTTGTGAATTTTCGTGTATTTTAATATGCCTCCTAAACGGCAGTCCAAACGTGGGCGAAGCCACGACAAGGTTGCTAGTAATTCTATAAAACATAGTATCGACAAGGATCAAATGTACGTAAGTTTCATTAAAATAAATTTTAAAGTAAAAAATCATGTCAATTTTTTGTAAAATAATGAGAAAATTCTTTTAATAAATAAGAGGGCTGTGCGAGTTCTCGAAAAAACTCGACTCGTCGAGTTCGAGTTTTTTCCTCGAGTTCGAGTTGAGTCGGGAAAATTTGAGTACTCGCGTTTTTGTCGAGTACTCGAGTTTTCCCGACTCGACTCGAACTCGAAAAATCGGATACTCGCACAACCCTAATTAAATAACTTCATAAAATATTAACTTTTCAATATACGCGAAATTTACAAATCGTGAGTCATCTGACCAATCGTGAAGCCGTTAAAGAGCCCTTTTTAATTCAAGACAAGAATCTTTTTAATGACAAATTATGAATATTTTTAACTGCATAAGATCTATTTTAAAACCAATTGGCAATATTTTAATTGAACAGTTCTTGCATTAAAAAAAGAGGTATCAATCTCTAACATTTTTTTGAAAAATATCGATAACGCAACTAGTTCAACTCATTCTTTGTGAGGTGCAACATTCACATAGTTCTGTTTTAATAGATTTATGTTTAGTATAAAACTCGCGAAAGAACGATGAAAGCCATGAAAACATATCGCACGATTTAGGTGCGTTAGCAGTCAAATTAATTAATCGAGCTAGGATCATTAAACAGAAGTTTTGTAAGTCCATTTAGTTGAGTCGAGTTTTTTTTATTGAATTATAGACTTATAAGCATCAGTTGCAATTTCAACAATGTATCAGTCATCTCGTTAAATAAAATGAATCTACATAAAACTGCGCTGAAGAATTAGGAAGAGGAGAGGCCAGCTATAATCGTTACGTACGATTTATGAATACGTCTATACAAACTGTATGGAAATGATTTAGAAATATCGAAACGGAATAAAAGACTGGCTAATAATCGCTGATACGTCAATCGAGTGATGTTTCTCCGAGAAATGAATTTGCACACAGACTACCTGTCTGAGTCAGCTGGAGAGCGATAGCATACGTACTACGTAGTACAATGGTCACTGCTGCTTTTGTCTTTAGAGCTTTGTCAGTGTGATCGCATTACTGCATCATTTGAAGCTTCAAACGCTCATCTGATTTTCTCCCACTGCTCGTGCGAATGCATTGTACCGCGTGCCGATTTTATATTGATATTTAATATAAGTCGATAATACGAAGTGCCGAGAAATGCAAACGTTTGGAATGCATCGTATTTGCTATCAGACCAGATTAATAATTCAACGACTCAACTAAAATGGAATGATAATGATGAACTTGTCTGTATTTTAGACGGAATTAAATGCGGATAGTGTCAATTGAGGGTATATATTTTAGGGTGTCGTGAACGTAGGGTAGTAGAACAAGTCACGCGAATCTCGTCTATAGCAACAAACTTTATTACCTTTGAATGGCTTCAATGTATGATAGATACATGCCACTTGTCTTTGGTAAATTCTTCGGAGTAACATATCCCTGCAATTGGCATAATCCATTGATTACATTTTGTGATCGTTTTCATGTCGTTGATTCAGCTAACAATTTTTAATAAACAGTTGACAAATGAAACATTTATGCGATTTTACAAGTACTAAAGTTTCCTGCTTGTAAGTTCTGGCATGTAGCCGCTTACTGCATACCTAACATACGACTAATTTAAATGCCGGCAATTCACCTATAACTCATGAGATCTTAGCTCCTATTATACCTCTATGTAACGCAGACCGCAGTCAACAGGAGCAGCAAGCATAACCTAAAATTTAAAAAACAAACACAGCTGGGGTCGCTGCGCCCGACTTTACCATCGAAACAATCATTAGACAAGAAACGTGTACACATTTCAATTTATATGTCACGGCGTACCTGATCTCGAAGACAGTTTTTCACTGAATATGGTACATTTTCAACGCAGTGGCACTGGTCAATAGTAAAAGAAAATAATTAAGAGGGTCCTGCGTAGTTGATGACTCAAATGATATGAAAATGCTCCAGATCAAAGTAATTTCAAAACGACCCTCCTCCGAGTTTTGTCGTTGGTCGTTGTTTTATTACGTCGGCCTTAAAGTTCACGTGTCTCGACTTTCGAGTAACCTGTATGTGTACCTATGCTGCTTTGGAATAAAATTGCTGAGCAATGAAATTTGTGACTCGTGTAGTCGATCAAATGGAGCTCTTATCAACAAGCCTCGTTCAGCAGTTCACTCGCCGAGAGTAAAACGCACAAATGATCGAGGATCATCGATAGCATGTCTTTCAGCATATCATAGAATAGGATGGAAGTAGCTCAGACTGCAAAATTACGAAGGTACAGGTGAGGTTGGCCGCGCGCGCGCGTTTACAGCAACGGAAGTGACGCTTTAGCCTCAAATGCAGTGGACTCGTGTGAGTCGTGCGCGCCGCCACACATTTTGCCACGGCAATACATCGAAGTAGCTACATTCGGCAGCAGCGATGACCGTCCAACAACTAACAAGAGTCGCGGACTCCGAACTCCGAAAGTTTACGTGTACACAAATGTGGCGCGCTGGCACATTCGCTACTGTAACGTGCGATGCACATAGCCTCTTACAAGCAAAGACTCGGCGACTCGCGAATCTGATTTCGTATCTGTTTCGGAGTGAGTTTTCATGGTCAATGCTGCAACTCATTCGTCATTCATCGCGTGCAACGAGATAGGCTCGATGAATTATTTAGTGGAGGCGAATTCTGACGATGGCGCGCACAACAGCGAGCGCGGGTAATCGTACACAGTATGGAAGAAGAGAGAGAGAGTGGGCTGAAAGATAGCGCGGGCTCGCAGTCGTGACTCATCTTGCGAGCAACCGGCGATGGCGCCACTTTACGCGTCGTACTCGGTATTATTTCGCCAGTAGAAAACTCGCGAGCGGCACGGCCGATGCCGCCACGAGCCAGACCTAGCACGAGAAACGAAAGACGATGGCGCGCGGTGGAGTCGTTTAAAAATCGAGTCGTCTCGTGCGCCGCCGCCGCCACCACCGCCACCGCTGACGCTCTCGTGCAATGAGCATCGAGCATCTGCTCTCTTTCTCTCTCTGGAGCTTTGGGCCGAGTGCGCGAGCATCTCGGATTCACCGCTACGCGTCGCGTTTCGCGCACTCCTCGTCTCGCTCTCTCTCTCTCTCTCTCGCTCGCTCTGCCTAGCCGCTCTCCACTCTGCCATTAGGTACGAGCTCTCTCTTCGACGACGACGCTATTAGAAGCCAGTCGTCTCGTCCTCGCTTCTCACGGCTGCACGCAACGCTACTCGCAACGCGCTGTCGCCGCCTCAGCACACCCGCAAGCCATCGTTGCTACCTACACCTCTGTTCCTTCAACCGCCAAGTTTTACCCAAAGGAACGCCCTTGCGACGCTGCCGCTGCCGCTGCTACTTTTCACTGCTAATTATTGCAGAGTGACTTTTTGTTGATTATGAGAGTAAAGAACGAAATGGACGACGACGAAAAGGGGTATGTTCACTGTTGCTCTCTCTCTCTCTCTCTCTCTCTCTCGCTCTCTCGCTCGCACACACACACACGCACGCACGTATACACTCACACGCTTGAGCATTTTATCATGTACGCGTTGGCTTGCTCTTGTTAATCGTGCATTCGTTCGATATTGGCGAGCTCGAAATCATTGCATTGTTTATCTCGTGAATATTTAACTTCGGCGGTTATTAGCCAAAAAAGCCAGCCGTACACCACCGATGAACGTATGGCGTGGCACGGATAAAACTTGCCTCTATACGTTTCTTTCTCTCTTTCGCCATCATCTTTGGTTTCTGTTTCCGCTGCCTTGCGCGCCGCCTATGCGCTTCGCCGAGGCTCTCGGCTTTTATGCTCTCTCTCTCTCTCTCGCGCTCTCTCGCTCTTTTTCTCTATCTCTCTCCCTTGCTATCTTGCACGATTCGGGACTTTCGGAGAAAACCGGTTCCCTTGCCGCTGCCGCTCGAGCTACTGATGTTTATTAACGTTTGCTCGCTTCTCATGACTTATTTGATAAATGCCGCAGCTGCTGTCTAATTTATTTTTAAAAATAAACACCGTATAAATTGAAATCTAATGTATTTTGCAGAAAACTCTTTGTCGGAGGTTTGTCATGGGAGACGACCCAAGAAAATTTGCAAAGATACTTCAGCCGCTACGGCGAAGTCATCGACTGCGTTGTCATGAAGAATAGCGAGTCCGGCCGGAGCCGTGGCTTTGGCTTCGTTACCTTCAGTGACCCCTCCAACGTGGGCGTTGTTCTTCAGAATGGCCCTCACCAACTCGATGGTCGCACTGTTCGTATTCGCATCTGTTTACTTTAACCTTACTATTGCCATGTGATTTTAGCACTAATGGCATCTTTTTGCAGATTGATCCAAAACCATGCAATCCCCGCACTCTTCAAAAACCCAAACGAACAGGTGGTTTCCCTAAAGTTTTCCTGGGTGGTTTGCCTAGCAATGTCACAGAAACTGATCTCAGAGGATTCTTTTCAAGATTTGGAAAAGTCATGGAAGTAGTTATCATGTATGATCAGGAAAAGAAAAAATCCAGAGGTGAGTTCATTCAAAAGCTTAAAAGAACTATATTTGCTTGTTAATTGGTTTTTTTATTTTTTCAATTTATACTTTTTGTTTTTTTCAATCATAATATTTATCTTGACAATCATCATGACAATTTTTATTATTAAGGAGAAAACACACTTGTCAGTTTTAAACGTCATTTATTTGTTTTTGAATTATTTTTTCTTCATTACTTGAACTTATATTATGCCTACAATCACCTTATTACATATAGTTTCACACTTGCCTTGGTATAGTTATTTATGTTGATATTCAATTTATGTGTTACCTCAGCCAAAAACAGTACTTGCAGGCCTTAAGCCTAAACATTACTTTATTCCACTTATAAAATCACAAAAAAAACATCATTTGCACCTCAGGAAGTACAAAAGAATGGCAGAAGCTATGTTTTTGTCAAATTACATGCTCTCTTGTACATTCTTTATTTTACTTTCCTAATTATGGAATGTGCTATTTGAATTATTCTAAGTTTTTTCTTTGATATTTTAACTGTAAAGTAAGGCTAACACTAGTGAATAAATGAGTTGCAAATTATGACATAATGTTTAAAAACTATTTGCAACGTGCATTTTTATTAGTGCAATTAATAATTTGCAGCTCATTGATTAAATTTTACTTTCACCATAAAGTTAATATCTTTTGTTCATTCTATTACTTAAATGTAATAATTTAAACTTTAAGTGTATCATAAGGCATAGGTTTAGGCATATTTAATAAGTTTTTGGATTAAGCAACTGTGTACTTTTTAAATCTAAATTTATTCTTAATGAGAAGTGAAATCATATATATTTGATATTATGTATATGTAAGCCAAATTCTCAAAAATATTTGCGAAAACTTTTCTGGTGGTAGTGTCTCAAATTAAAAAAAAAAAAGTGTGTTTGCTTCGAAAAAATACTTTTTTCGACTTTATTCATAAATATTGTGTCACATTTGGATGGCAGGCTTTGGATTCCTCAGCTTCGAGGACGAAGATGCTGTGGACCGCTGCGTTAGTGAACACTTCGTCAACTTGAATGGAAAACAGGTATAGCATATATGTTCGAAACAAATCTAAATTTATGATCTAGTGAATCAAGAACTATAAATGCTTGATTAGTGTTAAGAGAACCAAATGAGAGTACTTATAAGATAAGATATAGTTGATAAAATTAATTTCTAAATTAAGTTATCTTAGTTAAGCTTCAAAAACTTAGAACTAAGATTATAAGTTAATTGGTTTTAGAATAAATTCCCATTTTGTAATAATTGAATCAAATTTAATATTTTTGTGATATTATTATCATAAGTCCAATCTTAATGTTACTAAAATGTTATTTTAAATTTTTTCTGTTTTGTAAAGTTGATATTACTTATCATTTACTCATGCATTTATTTAAACTTACATTCAAATGATCACAATATTTTTGAGTTCTTGTTAATAGATGCGATTTTTTTAGGTTGAAATTAAACGTGCTGAACCCCGTGATTCGTCAAGCAAAATGAATGATTCTCATCCTGGACAATGGGGTCCTCCTCAACAAGGACCACCTATGGGAATGGCTGGTAATATGGGTCCAATGGGAGGACCTAATGGTCAAATGGGAGGCCCAATGATGGGAGGTCCAATGGGACCCCCCGGTAATATGATGCAGCAGTATCAAGGATGGGGTACCAGTCCTCAAACCGGAGGATACGCTAGTTATAGTGCACAGTACAATGCTCAAGGATGGGGTGCACCACCAGGACCACCTCAACAACAACAAATACCACCTCCTCCACCTCATCAGTGGGGAAGTAGTTATAATGTACAACCAGCTGCTGCTAATCAAGCTTATGGTAGCTATGGTATGTAAAAGATTATGTAGCTTTTTATTCTTTCATAATTAGCTAATTCTGTCATTAATTATAAAGTATTTATTAGAAAATTAACAAGCTCAAGGTGTATATTGGTATTTTTAATATAAAAAAATTCATCCCTATTATTATTTTAGTGATAAGAAAAAGTTAACTTCGTAATGACTCAACTCTATGATACCTATCTCTCTTATTATTACTTTTTTCTCTGGCGTTCTGTTTCTCAAAAATGAAATTGAGACATTATTATAGAGATAGCCAATAACTGAAACATTCATCGATTCCCAACTACTTGCTCCTTCTTGAACGTAAAATAACTTGAAACATGACATATTGCAAGAGTTTTCATTGCCCCCCTGAAGAATTTAATACTCGCCGAATGCGCCCATCTACATTAGTCCATTTCAACGAATAAAGATTAAATTGATAGGGGAAAAATTAAATTTTTATCAAAACTGAGATAATTAATAAAAAGTCAATCGGCGGTTTGTGAAGAACTGTTCTGACTGATTATGATGCAGGTGGGCCGACGGCGGCCGCTTCGGGGGGCTACGGACCCGCGGCGGGTACTGGTGGGGCTGCGGGGGGAGGGCCAGGGGCTACTTGGAACTCGTGGAACATGCCACAAAATGGCCCTCCACCAGGTCATTCAAGCCAACCTCCACCCCAGCCCCTTCAACCCAACTCTTCGCAGAACTCCAACTCGAATCCCTCTGGTCCACTTGGTGAGTCTTGAAAGTCTCAATTTCTCAAAAAGTCACTGCAAATGCATACAACATATATCCAACAACACATCCATCTTTCATTCTGTTTTGTCATTTCTCTTCATTTAATTATTGCTGATTTTTCTACACCAATTTACTGATTGGTTGTTCATATATAACTAAGTATGTTGTTCCATGAAAATTCTTTAATTTTTCTAACTTTATTAGTCCACTTGTTGCCATAACAGTCCTCAAGTTTTTCATTTTCAGTTGTTTTGTACTCCTCTATCCTCGAGTGGAAAGATTTTTTCTCATAATTTATTAAGCTTATGAAAGTCACTGTCACTTGGAAAATTGAGTTATTTAAATGTTCATCAAATATGTTATTCAAGTGCATGTTTCTACAGTTATGAAAACGTCTGTTGTTAGAAGTCCATTAGTTAGGCCAGAACCCTGTATTTGTTAGAAATGCGAGGATTATAAATTGTATGTGTGTTCCTACTTTTTTGAGTTAGCAGTTTATGTATTATTTTACTGTTTAATAAATGTTTTAAATAAAAATTATTTATTCTTCGTATATATATCTTATAATTTAATAACATGTCAATGGATGACAGTTTTGAAAAAAAAAAATTTGAAATCTAGGTTTCTCTCAAATTATTTTCTATGTCTTTAGATACTGTAATTTTGAGTTATTTTAAAAATTTTACAACTATTTGAACTGAGCCTATACATCAATAAATTATCCTTCTAGCTTAATTTGTTTATGAATGTTGCAGGAGATATATACTCGAGACAAACCACCGGCTCGGGTGCACCAGGCTCCAGCAGCAGTTCAGCTAAAACACCAGACTATGCCGGTTACACTGGATACAGCAACTACGGCGATACCTCTTATCCTCAGCGTTCTTATGGAGGCGGCGAGAGCAGCCAAGGTGGGTACGCTGCTAGCGCTCCAAAGCCCGGTCAGCAAGGCTTTGATTTTAAAGAATGGCCAACTTCATGACCATTCTAATTTACATCTCAATACGCATCTTGCACATCTGTGTAAGATAAGCGCCTCCGGCTTTACTAAGCCTTGACATTGTGGGTTGTTCTTTTTGACTTCTACTTTTACCACAATTTTCTCTTTATTCATATTTTCGGACCTTCGATTTTAGTGATCGAATTCAGCTATTGAATCAACTGTTTTTCGACGTATTTTATTCATAACACACCCACACTCATAGGATACTTTCTTAAGGGTGTATGGATCTTGTATTCACATTTGTGATTTAATCTCACAGAGCCCAATTGGATCTTAGCGTACTTTTGTCATAATCGCCTATTATCATGTAATTATCGATAAAAAAAAATTAGATAATTAAGCCTCACTAATATTGAAAACAAAAATCATGTGTCAAAGAAAGTAAAATAAGTAGAATACAATATTATAAATATATTTATGTGTATACTCTATAAAAGGCGTAACGATAAAGTAAGTGAAGATAAGCTTTAAACAAAATTGAAGTCAATTGTCATACGAATATTTTAGTTATCATCGAACATTTAGACTGATTAATGTGAAAGTTCGCTAAGATCTCAATCCCAAATCTAAAAATTGACAAGAAAATTCCGAGTTATAAACTTGTAATGAACTTTTCGACTTGACTATGTGCAAATTTCCACTCCCAACTTCAAGTTCTTCTATTGATTTAAAATTTTTGATTACCCATGGTGCAAGCTTTGAGTAAGCCATAGGCGCTGGTACACGAAGGCGTTAAAATTTTTTGTCAGTTCAGAACAGAACTTAAATTGAGTAATAATGTTTTAAGTGTATTCATTTAGTGAAAAATAGAAAAAAAACAGAAAAATATTACAAAACCTCAAAACAGAATTGGTATGAATGCCAATACATTCAAACGTTTTTACACATACAATCTGAGCAAAACAGTGTATCCTATTAGATTTGAAAAGTATGAGATATCAACGTCTATATGTATGGTAGCCTTTTCGTTACTTGAAAGATAAACGAGCTTTTGCTTATGGTATTCTTAGTAAAAAATTTTACTATTACTTAAACAAAAGTTTATTTCTTGAATACTACATAAACACCTACCCATTGTACTTAACTGTACAATAATCCTAAGAATATGATTTTTAATGACCAAATTGTTGCTATTCCTTCATAGGCTCGTGTATCTTTCATTAACACTCAATATATACTAACAGAAAATCGAGATTACTATAAAAAAAACAAAGCGAAATTGATTCATTAAACTGGAGTGTATTATCGATGTATATCTTGAGTCATCCCTTGAACAAATACATTTAAATCGGAAGATAAAAGTGTTATCAACTATAAGTATGCCGAAATACAGAGAGACGGAGTAACAAATAATTGAGAAGATAGTTTGATAAAGAAAGTAAGAGTTAAATAAAAATTGGTGAGAGAGTCAGAAACTTAATGAGGAGAAAATAAATTAGATCTAAATTATAAGGCGACAGGCTCGCAATTATTTTACGACCAACCTACTTACAATCAATTATCACGGCGCTACTAATTCGTAGCAGTTGATATATTAATATAATACAAAAAATCTTAAAAAATCTCAAATGACGAAATGAATTCTTTAGATCGCGAGATTACGTAAGTCAATAATAATATAATAGGCCGATTAATTCTATTCAAATAATTAAGAAATATTAGCGATTCGACAGTATATAGTGTAACATAAAACTTAGAACCTAATTTTGACAACTGTGTATGAGTGTTTGTAAGCCAATTATTGACATCGGAACATGAGTTCCTTCGTGATCTTTTTTTTTAAAATAAGCCTATTTTCGTTTTATCATAATATCGTTGTTTTATTTCTATTTTGTGCTATTATTTATTACATTAGACACGGAAATAAACTAAAAAATTTTTCCTTTTAATGACAATTTTTGTCAACGAACATTTTTTTACATATCATTGCTATTATATTGTATATCATCACACAGTAACAGCTATTTTTACAAAAGTATTTTCTTACTTCGATAATTTATCGAACTTACGTGTACTTGTTTTTTTTTATATAACTGCAATTGGTGATTGTCCTGCAACATCGATGTAACTTTAGAGAAACAAGAAAACGATTAAGATTTATAAAATAGTAAATAAACCTAAGTCATTGTAAGTTGAAATTGATTTTTTATACAGAAGAAAACTATTTGGATGTAAGAAATGAACTGATTTTTTTTAAAATCTTAATATAGATGATAATGATATTTTACCTCGGTTTTTAATAGTTATATAATACTTAAGAAAAACTTTGGATGTAAGCAGCATGATTTTTTATAATAAAAATAATTATAATGAATATTGTCAGATGATCATTGTTATCGTGTAATTTTCTAAGGTTATATTTTTCCAAATCCAAAATGGAATAAATGGACTAAAATGAATTATATAGATCTGCTAGGGAATTATTATTTACTATTACAATGATAACTGTTATTGTAAATTGTTAACTACTGTTACTATATACTGTACTTCATGAACTTTGTAATTTATTATTTGTGCCTTCCGCTTTGAAATAACAATTATAGGAAATAATTTTGGTCTAATGAACTAAATCGATTGTATGATAATGCTAGAGCTAAAAAATCTACCTCTCACATTTTATTTGGATTCTGACTCTCTCACTTGACAATTTACAAACTTAATATACAATGTTTCCTATTTCGAAGGAATTAATTTATCATTTTATCGCAATAAAATCGTTTTTTTTTTATAAATATATTATTTTGTCTTTGTAATTTATTTTTTCAGTTATATCCTCCATGACACGAGATGGCTTTTGAAAGCTTTTATTAAACGCGGTATTCTTAAATGGAACGAATGCATATGAGCTTCGCGGTATTTTTGCGTACCATTAATTATGACAACCTCATTGAAGACATGGGTCTTTTGTTTTATTATATTGAACGAAATGAATGTAATGTCATTTAATTAAATGCTTACTCCTTTCACTCCGGCTCTCAATGTTTTAAATAAATATTAGTTCATACGCATTTAATTACACATATGAAGTGAAAATGAAACAAATTTCAGTGTCCTTGTTGAATTAAGAATTTTCAAATAATCTTTGTACAATGAAAAATTTCTCGTTGATCCGAGAGCATTTTTTTATCATAATAGTATACATGCGTATCAATTTTTAATCATAAGGATTACCACATTAGGGAGATAAAGGGCACAAACAAGAGCAAATATTAAAATAAATAATTTTGACCTAAGCTTTGAGTAACTATGAGTATGAACTAAACAGAATATAAATTAGATTTAAATTTTTGCGACGGAATGATTAAGGGAAAAATTTTATAAGCACACATACACAAGGATTAACGTTATTGAAAAATTATACAAATATATTTATACGAGATATTAAAGAGTAAAAATGTTAGTATTTTTCAATAAATAAAAGTCGGATAATACAACTGAGCATGTTTAAATATTTGTACTAACTGATAAATAAGCGAACTTTTGAAATTTTTTTAAGCGTAATCCTAAGGAATATAATTTTGAACACCTGCACTACTGTATTTTCTGCCTGCATCATAGCGGCTAGCTCTCAAGGTTGTTGACTACTTTACTAAGTTATTAAAGAGTGATCTCTCGTTACTTTACATATAAAATATGCTATTCGATTATTAACATTTCGAATTCTCTCTCTCATACTCAGATTGATATAGGGGTAGAATGTATGTAATAATGTAAAAGAATCAAATTATTTTAAGATTAAACGACACTTTGTTAATTAAATGTACAAAATATATTGCAGGCAAAATTTTTTTACGAAACTAATATTTTAGATTTATGATAAAGTTAAGCTGTATGTATGAGAGAACAGAGAAAGAAGGGAAGAAAACGTCTATCGTTCAAGCTGTGAAAAGTAAAATCGAATTAAACTGTAAAGAATTACTAGTTCGTATTCCACAAGTCATGATATTAAAAACCCGCATGTCTATAGACATCAGATATGAAAGATTTTTTTCGTGTTTTTTAATCAATCTTAATATAAAGTCAATATAAGTGATAAATCAGTCGATCGATCGTTATTACTAATTTTTACGTAAAAAGACCTTAATTAAGAATAAGCCTGATCATTTTATAAACCTTACATTAATAACATAACAATAAAATAAAACAGCTTTTTTGTCAATGTTTGTATATGATGAAGACTTCATGATAAATCTCAAAAGTGAAGATGAAGACTGCTTTTTAGCAACTAATTAAATACTAAAGAAAATTTAACTATTATTATAACTTAATGAAGTATAATAGTCAAGAAGCGTGGTCTGAAATAAATACTAAAAACAGTCCTTTAATGTAAAGAAAGACTAAGTCCAATTATATAAGTTCTAAATAATGACTTGCATAAGCTGCGATGAAAAAACACAAACCATAGCTAGTATAACGAACGAATAAAAAAGATGAGAAATAACGAATTTTACCTTAAATTTTATTCATAACAGATAAAACGACCATTTCGATTAGGATGTATGACGAACGCGCGAAAAATAAACCTAATTTTAAAATATATAAGGTTTTTTCTCAATCGAATACGACGTCAACAATACAGCCAGCCATTGAATATACAAAAATGTCGTTGATATCTCATTCTGATAGACATACCTTTAGAACTCTTTTGCTCATGATTGTATCTCAATTGTTGTGTGGTGACATATAATATTACTCACATGCGTGCGCGCGTGCAAAAACACACTCACTCACACGCACATACACATACATTCACACCCATGCTGAAAAATATTACAGGCGTTATATGCTACGAAGTAATATTCATATGAATAAAGATAACAGATTCATAACGTATGTATTGAAATAAGGCCTCTTTTCTAAATTATATGTAACTTATAAATTTTTCAGTTATATTTATCACTGCTATTACTCTAATACATTTTATTTTTAATTGAACTTCCATATTTTTTGTTTATTCATTCAGTTATTTTATTTTAAACATTATTATTATTATTATTATTACTATTATTATTATTATCATTATCATCATTATTATTATAAGCATAACATGCGAAGGACTATTTTTATAAATTATCTTCTAAGATTTTTTACATGATTTTACAATTTGCACGTCGGGCCCAAATTTTTTTTTCTAATCAACATTTTTGACCATCGATCTCTCGTCCTTGCTGATCTTTTATACGTGCACTGCCATTTACAATTAATAAATTGAGGTTTTCCTTGAACATGCTCAAATTTATTTACGTAGAATTTTTATTCGTTAACGATTCTTTATCAATCAGCATGCTTTAAATTTTTTAATAACTCAAAAGGAATGAATTTTTATTGAATGTATATTTTAGATTTTTTAGCAATAATATGCGTGCGCTGTTGATTCAATATGTTTGATCCAATATATTACATATATCCATTTAGCAATATATCCATTGCTAAGACATCTTGAAATGTTCAATTGGACTTGCGATGTTTAGCAGTAAATACGTTTTCTAATTTTTATCCCGAGAACAGTGACTAGAACCCGCGCAGTCTAAAATTACTATAGCTTTAGAATAAACAGTTTTTAAAGATTAACTACCAAAGTCTAAGATCATTTTTCTAATTAAATCAACAGTTAAATATAACATTTTTTACTTATATGTACCTTTAACAAAAACATTTCCTGAAAAAGTTCAAAGTACTCGGTATTGGTACGCGCACCTCAGTTTAAAATTAATCGTTCTTAATCTTAAAAAATCTTGAATTATGCAAATTAAGGTTTATTCTTATAGTTGAATTTGGAAAAAGTTGTATAAAACAACTAAACCTGGACAAGTCAAAAGTTATCACAAAATAATGAGACTATAATTGAAGAAGTTATTAAATTTTAATAAAAAATACTATTTTGTCTTTTTACGATTTTTTTATTTTTGGTAGAAAAATTAGTATCGTTAAAAATCTATAGGCATCAAACAGAAAGTATATAATAATATTTGAAAAATGAACGACATTTACTGTCGTTTATTGCACATAAGCTTTACGAACGTTGATTAATTTTCAAACGTAAGTAGGTGATAATGTTTGAGCAAAGACAAGATGTAAAAATGTGATTTAAATTCGACTTACTTATTCAAAAGATAAATAATGTATAAAAAATATTAATTTAGAGCTGCCGAAACTTTTCTACCGGAGAGGCTAAAGTAGAGATAAAGATAATTTTTTAGGATATAAACCCACTAAATATTAAGGATGAGAGATGTCGAAAAGAGGCTTGTTTTCTTGGCACACCCCATATGATAGTTGATGTGATTTTTCCCTATTTTTTATTTGAATTTCATAATACGATGTAATTAAATCTATAATAATCTCAATATTGTCAGTGTAACGTTTATTATAAATCTACAAATGTATGAATTGTATACATTTAAATATTCGCATATAAGAACACATGCATGAATCATAAGGGTCCACGAGAGTATTGATTAAAAAAAGGACTCTGCGTTGAGGTGAAACCTTTCGTCATTCTATAATTATAAAAATTTTAATATGTTCTAAGAAAAAGATAGAGATAACATGAAAAGCAAACATTATTTATAAAATATCAAAGAAAGAATTTTACAAGTTTAATCGATACTTAAGCAAACGTATGATGATAATAATAATGATATTTACTTATAATATTATATATATACAAAAATATATATATTAAAAATATATTAAATTAATTGTAGTAATAAAGAATAAAACAATAATAATAATAATAATTAATTAAGTAAAAGAGCTATATAGCATTAATACGTGTGCGTATACTTCCGTATATACGTGTATGTATGTGAGCGTAAACACTCTTTATTAACTGTCGTTGTATGTCACCACTTTGTAACTATTACTTTATTAAATAATAATAGTATATTCAAATTATTAGAAGTATAGTAACAAAATGAACAAGTGGATTATTTATATTAATTATGTGCTATGATAAAATTGATGATGGTGATAACGACGATGACGGTAATAATCGCGGTGATGATGATGATAATTAATATATTATGATTATTATTATTATGATTATTATTATTATTTTTATTAATAATATTATATACAATGATAATAACGACGAATTAAATGTAAGATATTAAAGAAAATGGTGAATCACTTGATGGGTTTTTTATTCAATCCTTTCTTGCAATCCTCATATCCTCGTACGTTAAGCATTAAGTTTAATTTGAAAAAATAATTTAATTTATTTTAAGTCAGTCTCTGTTGCAAGATAAAAGTTGTATTAAGGTATGAGTGTGAGCGATGGATTGAAAGGTGTGGATAAAGACACAGATGAGGAATGTACGGAATTCGCTCGCAATTCAGCTTTATTTTTTCAAAGTGCGCATTGAAAAAGCAAAGCTCGTTGGACGCTCGAATTTCGTCGATTCACATTTGTGTTATCTATGATTTTTTTTATTGATTATCATTTGCCGCTCGTTCGGTCTTTGTTTGTATTCGACAGGATTAGGCGATGGTTCGGGTCCGTCAAACGTGCCACGACAGCAGACGGGGAGCGGTAACTTGCAACTGGTGCGCTGCGGCTCTGCAGAACGGGATTTTGAATCGGCGCAGATCGGCATCGTCGTCAGTCAACCGAGAAATGTTGTCGGTCCCCAAAGAGTACAGCCAGTCAACTCCAACACTTACCACCCGTATCGACGATCTTGAAGGCGAAGCATCCTTTCTTTAATATGTTTTATTTATTCTTTGTTTTATTGACTAGACATTAACGCTAATAATACTTTTATACGATTAAACTGATTAAGACATTATAAACGAAAGTTGAATAGGGTATTTAGTTGGCGTTTATTATTTTATTAAATTGTTTGACACATACTGGTATTGAATCAAGCAGCCTTTTAAACCTTGATTAAAGAACGAGCAACGATTTCTACGTAGATATGAATAAATAGACTCGCAAATTTTTACAGGTTACTTATTACAATCAGCATATATTTAAATTATAACATTTATAAGACTTGAATTTGGTCAATTTTTTAAAATACAAACTATGGAAACTAGATGCCCTGTAGACACATTAAAATGTTGGCGAAGTTGAATCAGTCGTTTTTAGGCGTGGTATAGTCAAGCGAGTAAAGAATGTGGGCAGTTCGCGCCACGATACTAGCCATGTTGGTGAGGCCACGGCCAGTAATCGCCAGCATCCGAGCCCTGGACGAGGACTGCTCCTGTTGCTGCTCGGCCCGAAGCAACGAGCGGCAGACCTGGCCATGACCGCGTTCCTCGGCCAACTCGAGCGGCGTCTGGCCTAGCTGCAAAAAGGACCGAGCGCCGCGTTTGAAAATTAATCTAGCCAAACTATACCTTTAGGCAGAACTCACCTGGTTGCGCAACTTGAGCTCGGCCCCGTGTTGCACGAGCAGCTCGACGGCTTGGAGTTGGCCGCTAGCCGCAGCCAAGTGCAGGGCCGAGTTGGCGGCCTCGAGGCAGCCCGTCCTCAGCTGCTCGGCCAGCTCCGGGCCGGTCCAGAGCTCGCCGCCCAGCAGACACTGGAGTATGACGCAGCAGCCGAGGCTCGCGGCCACGTGCAGCAGCCTGTAGCCCCTGGAGTCGCTCAGCTCGAGCAGCGCCCGCGCCCGCACCGGCCCGAGTCCGTCGCCGCTCAACATCCAGCAGCAGAGCTGGCTGTCCCTGCGCTCGGCCGCGAGCTGCAGCACCGAGCGACCCTGCGAGTCCTGGACCAGCGGATCGGCGCCCAACTCCAGCAGCTGAGCCGCCGCCGAGCGCTGGCCCTGCTGGCAAGCCTCGTGCAGAGCCGTGCGGCCCTGCAGATCGCGCACCTCCAGCACTCGGCGTAGCCCCTCGACGCCCAGCTTTCGGCCGATGCTGCGGATCGGTCCGCTGCGCCCGTGACGCGCCGCGTGGTGGCCAGCCGTGGCACCCTCCACGTCCTGGACGCAGAGCGCCTCCAACATTTCGGCTTGGCTCCCGAGCCGATTCAGTAGATGCAGCACAATTTCTTCCTCGTCTTCGTTTCCTTCTCCTTTTATTTGTCTTTGGTTTTCACTGCTGCTGCTGCTCGAATGGCAACTCGATTGCGCCGCCAACATGAGTAAACTTCGCTGATTCTTGTCCAGAGCCGTGGCTTGGGCTCCGGCCTCCAGCAGAAGCTCCAGCGCCGCCCTTTGACCGTGCAGGGCCGCCATGTGCAAGGGCCGCATTTCGAACTGTCGACGACGCGATTACGTCAATTACGTCAATTACGTCGGCCGATATTGTAAGGGATAAATAGTAAAAATGTTGTGACTCTTCTTACCTTGTCCTTGGCTTCGATGTCGCACTTGGCGTTGATCAACAGCTTCAGTATCTCCGAGTTACCCCGCGAAGCCGCTAGATGAACCGGAGCTCGTCCGTACTACTCAAATAATCAAAAATCTCAAGTAAGCGACTTTAATCGCTTTGAAACCGCACGATCATGGCTCTTTTAATTCATCCTAGGACTTCTGTACATAAAAGAATGAAGTAACACAACTGTTCAAGTTAGGCTGAAATCGAGAGGGTCCCAAGTATCCAATATTTAGCAAATTAAAAAAACTTGAATGCAATTGTGCAAATGAGCCGAAAGGAAGAATTAACGAAATGAAAGGCTGATTCATTTGAAATCTTACGTTGTTACGACAGTCGATGTTGAGAACGTCAGGATCGCTAAGAATTTGGCGAACAACTGCGGCTTCGTTCGAGAGAACCGCTTCGTGCAGGAGCCACTCCTTCCCCATCGCTACGCATCCCGATTTACCTGCAGCAAATGCATTTCGTACTACGTACATGTATAATTTTCTTACGTTTTTTTTGAGACAACTTACTATTCGTATTTTTTTCTGTCATTTCATCACTATATTTTAACGGAGCAGCAAGACATGCAGTAGGAAACTAAAACTTTAATTTAGTTTTAAGCACGAGTCGATATTGTTAGCCGAGAATCTATCACAGCCATCTCCTCATCGATGTCTTTATAGGTCAGATGTTCAAAGTATTTTATACTTTTTTATTTTTGTATTATTATAACATAATTTTGACGACAAAAATCAAAGCTCGAGCTGCTATGAGCGGCACTTCACGGACACATAACTCGAGAGAAAAAAAGTTTTATTTTTAAATTAAGAATAACTAAATAAAATTGTTATGTGACAATCTTTGCTCCCTTATGTTAATTGCGTGCGTGTACTTTCAACGTAAATCTTGAATAATCTGATAATTAGCGATTTGCGCGAATATCTGCAATTTATAAATAACTTATGAGCGTAGGTCAATCAAGAATTTTCCGGATTCACCTGTTCATAAACTTTTTAACAGTATACATGCTGGAGCGGATCAATACATACGAATAGTATATTAGTCTATAGTTTTTTTATTCGATGAAATTTTTCTCAATTTTTCTTAATTTTGTTGACTTGCAATACTAATAAAGAATTGACCTTGTTGAAGAGGTTTTATTTTTTCTACCATAATAAAATAATAATATACTTACAATCATTATACATCTTGAAAACGCTATATTATTTATAAAAATTTGAGGTATAGATCTAAAAATGAATTGGTCGAATATTGCAATGTTGAAATACAAGCTTGCAATACATCCTTAACGACAATCAAACTGATCGAAAGAATCCCGAACTGAAGTGTTAAGCTAAGAAAAAACGACGCATGCCCCGATGAGTTGAAGCTCTCTCCCTCCATCAGGATTAACTCATTAATTATTCGCAGTGTCACCTTTTCGATTCAGGTATAATGTATACAAGTGTACGTAGTATTTGGTGGAATTTTTAATGAAAGTAAACAAATATTTTATTATATATCACTTTTTTATTGTATTCAGATATTTTAATAATTTGAACTTCAGTGGTAATATATTGTTAGAAATTGGAATTCTCAAAATATATCTTTACGTAGGTTGCTTCAAATAAAGTGACAATATTCAAAATATAGAAAACATTAGTTTTTGAAATGTTATATCTAGTTTAGTAAGTTATTAACTATGATTTCTTGAATTTAAATAAAAAATATCGGTAAATTACACTTTAAGAATAGATTACAGAATTATAGAGCAAATATAATAAAATACAAATTTGATGCGTAGTGCATAAGCAAATTACACAAACATTTGAACCTTAATGAAGTCCAGGTAGAGACCAGTCAAGTTTTCTAATAGTCATTATTTTATCGTAAATTATGAACAAACACATTACGATCAATATTTAATGCAAAATCTTGACTCATATGAACAATGAAATTCGTGTTTTCTTAGAAGTGCATGACAAAAGTGAATAATTACTAATTCTATTTTCTTAGGGCGATGTTGGTCTGTACCAAGTCCTTGCTTCAATAGCTCGTTTGATCAAGACGTTTTGGCTGCGCATCTTCATACGCTGCAAAAAAGATTCCTTGTCTTCAGGAGCAATGTCGTCGGCCAAGTTATCCCCTTTCTGGCAACAAACACGAATGATGTTATATCGCCGTTACGTTTGACTGCTTCTGAGCTAAATAAATACGTCAGAAGACAAATACAATCAGTCTGAGGAAAAAGAGGACGAAGAATGGTACTAAACACGCCGCAGCGTGAGCGAGAAGAAGAGAAATAAGGGAAAAATTAAGTATGAATAGAACGTCGACTTCATCAATTAGATTAGTCTTATGTCTCTCTTTCTCACTCAGGCTAGTTGTTGACAAGGTTGTTATAAGAACTGACCTTTGCGCTAGCTTCTTCCGATGCTCCCCAATGTTCGTAGTCATCTTCTTCTTCGGTGGGTTGAGGTGGTTGATTCTGTTCTGGCTGTTTACCATTGGATCTTTCTCGACTTCGATCACGAGATTGTTTTCGATTTCTCGAACCCGAACCTGTGGCGGACCTCGACCTTGATCTATCGCGACGACGATCACGAGATCTTGAACGACTATGCGAGCGTACCGCCGATCCTGACCTCGAACCAGAATGTGATCGAGAACGAGAACGAGATCCACCATCTTCAAGGGTACGATTGATGCGATCCCTTGCTTCGTCAGCCTTGCGCATAGGATCCGGGGAATAGCTGCGTGAGTAGCGTTTGAATCCGTCTCGCCTAAAGTTTGGACGATTATTGTGGAAGTATCGACCACCACGGCTTCGTCCATTGCTGTTGCGATTATCGTATCGATTGTCGAAACGAGAATTGCCTCCACGATTATTGTGGAAATTGCCTCGACGGTTGTCGAATCTATTATCGAATCGTGGATTGCCTCCGCGGTTGTTATGGAAATTGCCACGGCGATTGTCAAATCCTCGACGATTATCAAACGACTGGAAACGTGGTTTGTAATATGTACCTCTTTGGCCGCCAAATTGACGTTGGAATGGCCTGCGCCTAAAGCGATCGTCGCTACGCGAACGTGATCGTGAGCGCGAATAGGATCGCGAGCCACTTCGAGAACGCGAACGGCTACCTCGCGAAAAACTACGTGAGCCAGATCGGCTGTAGCGACGGCCTTCGTAACTTCCGGATCGTCGGTCACCAGAGCGTGATCTTGAACGAGATTGACGATTGGGTGATCTGGCACCCGATCGAGATCGTGACGATCTACTACTAGATCGACTGCGGGATCGGGACCGAGAAACTCTGCGCCCGCTATCCGGTCCGTATGTTTTCGGACGGCGATCTCTAGCAGCTCGTTCTCTATCACTGTCGGATCCAGAGCGCGACATGGTTTTATTCGATTTTGTTGGCTGATCATTTGCTGATCCTATTGGTTGGAACTTGCTGCCAAGAGACGAAAACTTGCTTGGTTCTTTCCCGTACCCTTGATACTTTGAAGAGCTCGTTTGGGGTTGAGGTGTGGGATATTTGACTGGTTGTGGCACCTTGAGCGGCGAATCTTTGTGTCCAATTGAAGGAGGAGTAGGCGCAGACTGTTGATTTCCACGCTTTTCAACAATTTCTCGTTGCATGTGTTTACGTATGTTGACCGATTTTTCTATTGGTATTACTTCATTATCTTCGCTTTCACTATCAATTGCTGTCTTCATTTTTTTTTCTGGTGGTACTTCTTGCCACTTTTGTTGTAACTCACGCCTGCTGAAAAATTGATATGATTGAATAGTCATTCATAATAGTTGGTGACAACTATTATCTAAACAACATTCGTATAATCTTAACTAAATGACCAATCTTACATACCTAGAGGATTGTACAGCTTTCCATTTTGTATTTAAAGCTCCAGATTCCAAGTTGGTACTTTTTGACTCGGAATGACTTAGTTGAGAATCTTGATCAAACAAGTCTGGGAAAGATTTACGTTGATCTGTTGAAGGTAAAAGAAAATTGCTTAGTAAATTCATAATAAATACACCATAAATTTAAATATAGATTTTTGTGACATCCCAATCTAAAGTAACATTTTGCTACTCCCTAATAATTTATAATATTAATTTTTACAGTGATATTCACAAAAAACCATATTTGCATCTATGTAGCGAAGAAAGAAAGTCTTAGAGCATGTGATTATCAATCTCTGCAGAAATCATCAAAAATTCAAAATTTTTACCTTTTCTTGTTAAGGATTGTGATAAGCGTGAATCTCGCTCATGGTATGCTTTGAAAACATCATCTTCTTTGCGCAATGTTTCAGTCAATTTTTCGTTGCTAATAAAATAAAATGTTTCTTGTTAACCACGAAGTTTTCAATATTTAAAATAGTAACAAAAAATCAATTACAATTGAACCAAATTAAAAAAGAATAATTTCTTTTCATATAAGTGAGTTGAACAGTTATGGTTTGTGAATAAAAAATTTAAGTTTTACCTGTTGATGACCGATGTGTCTTTTCCGACTTTGGCATAGTAGGCATTCAGTTTAGATTCGAGTTGTTCTAAATCTGGTAGAGAAGTTTGTAAATCTCGCTCCAGTTTATCCTTCTTGCGTTTTTTACGCTCTTCCTTTTTCTTTTTCTTGCGAAGTTTTTTCTCTTCTTTATCTTTAGCTTTTTTCTCTTTTTTCTTTTTTTTCCCTTTTTTATCTACTTCGGAGTGTTTCTTTTCTTTTTCCTTGTCTCTTTTCCATTTAGCTGTTTCCTCCAAAAATTTTCTTACCTAAAAAAAAACAAAAAATGCAATTACATCATGATGGTTCAATATTTGATTATATAAACTAAAATATTCAATTTTTCCCGATTTATTTTCATTTGGAATAATTGTTATAGGTTTCATTAGTGTACTTTGCTTATTATAATAGCGTTCTCTTACCACGTTGTCCTTTGAGACAACTCATAATTATTAACCCTCATTCTTTACTAATAACAATAAAAAATTTGCCGTAATAATAATATTTTTAGATCATCACTATATAAATAGCTGAATGTAGATGAATGTATTCTGCTAATCATACAACATTGTCATTTTCGGTGTTTTACAACTTGTTTTGATATTTGCCATTAAAGAGAAAAAATCCATTGATCAAATCATATCAGAATCCATATTATCCAAAAAAGGTATATCTTATAGTGTGTGACTGACTCTGTGACAAAGAAAAAGCACAACATTTGACGACAACAGAGAAGTAAAAAAAATTTAATCAAGAAAGGATGAGCTGAATTGTTGAAGTAGAGGCATAGCTGGAACTTAGTTATTACCAAAACCTGGTTTTATTGTAACAAAAAAAAATATTTCACTATTCAAAACCAATAATAAATCGTACCTTTTCTTCATAATCAGAATCATCCTTGGTCTGTTCAAGAAATTTGCGCACTTTGACCTCGTAATCCTCCTTTTCGACTCCAACTCGCGAATGTGAAGTATAAAGTGACGAAGGCACCAACATATCGTGACTTGCAATGGGTGGAGGTAGATGAGTAGGAGGCAAAACTGGAGGTACCATGGTAATATTAGCCATTACTGGTGGTTGAACGTGAGTAGCTGCAACCGCAGGTGGATTGTTGTACTGAGCCATACGTTTCGAAAGAGGAGACAGTGATGAACCATGATCTTTCTTATGTTTTTTTTTGCGACCACTACTTGGTGAACGATCTCTATCTGGTGAGTTTGAGCGTGAACTAGCAGCAGAGGAGCCTGTACTACTACCAGAAGAATCAGAGCTTGACGAGGAGCTAGATGATCCACCGCCACTAGATGAACTTGAACTAGAACTCCAACGCTGGCGTTTTTTCATGCGCTTGCTTCGATCCTTCTTTCGCTTTTTTTTACTACTTCCACCATCTTTTTTAATGTCAAGATCTGGAGCAGGAGGTGGTATGCCTAGAGCTTCACTTTCAAACACTTTGAATGGCTCTAAAACTGAAGGAGGCAGTGAACTTTGCAAATTGGTTTTGCTTTTAATATAATCAATCGAGTTTTTAGCCTCCTCATGATAAGGTGCTATGCCAAGACAATTTTCATAAGCTTTGAGTGCTTCTTCATATTTTTTCTCATCTTCATAACTGCGACCTAAAGCAACCAGTGTTTCAGCCATGTATTTGCGGGCGTTCGCGTGGCCTGGATTCAATTTTAGAGCCGTTTCAAAGTCGTCAATAGCTTTCTTGAAGCTTCCACTATTAGCATACCTAAATTAATAAGATGAAATAAAAATTAACAATTCTGGTCAAATTGCAAACATTCAGAAAATAATAATACTTACAGAGCCCCTCGAGCAACCAGACCCTCCACATTTCGAGGATCAACTGTCAGAGCTTTATTCAAACACTGAAATGCTTCTGTATGACGACCAGCTTTAAAGTGATCTATACCTTCAGCTACACTTCGGAAAGCCCATTTACTTGCTTGTGCCTGACGTAATTCATTAGCATACTCGTTCTGTGGAAATCTATCTCTGTTGAAAATTTTATTAGATATAAATTAAACTTGAACTTTTTTTTTCAATACTCTTTACTAAATAATTATTTACCTCAAAGCTATCATGTTGGAATAATTACTTTGTCCAAGTCCAACCAAGTCGTTTAAATATTTAATATTACTGGGGTTGTTGAAACCTGAACTGTTTTCCATGATCGTTTCATAACTTTGTCCTTTGTTGTCCATTGCTTTTCTGTTAGAGAAAAAAAATTTTTATGTCATTAATACAAGTATTCATCTAAAGATCTTATATCATTATTATTAACTGTAACAATAGATTAAATAGTGGCTGCTTGTGTAACTGTAACTAGTCACAATCTCTTACTTTGACTATGACTACAATTTTATATTCACTATATATCCTATGCAATCAACAACTCAAAGGCCCTTATAACTAGAGGTCAAATTTCATCATTTTTCTTGAGTCACTCTTTGTGTACCTGATTAATTTTGTTCTTATAAGTTTTAATTATAAGGGATGATGATTGAATCACAAATTCCATTGTTAGGAGAATCTTACATAATTAAGTCTATTACTAATCAATGAATCTTTTTTTAGTGATTTTTATGCTTTCTGCACTTAAAGCACTTGAGCTAAAAATAATAAGTAAGTCTCTCCTACTGAATTAAGACAGGATAATCCAAAAATTATTGTTAACAAGCAGCCACCTTTAAGGAACAATTTATAAATACCCATTTTATACACTTTTTTACACCTGAAAATGCTGAAGTTTCAAGTCTCACCTTTCTAATTTTAGCCCTAAATTGTTTATAGTCTGACAATATTTTCTGTTATATATTTAACTGGGAACTTTAAGTTCATTTGTTTTTGTCAAAAGTCATTTTTTTGCAACAAATTATCAAGTACTTAACGTTTAAGTATTACAAGCCACGGCAAAAAGAGATATTTTTTATCATCCTCAAGTTGTTTCATAACAATTCTAATATGACATCATTTGATCATCATTATTTTTTTTCTAATTTTTGTCAAATACAGCTGTAATTTTAAATAAAGCATTAATTAACGTAACAATGACACGAAGTTTTTGAGCTATAAATTACTTGTGGATACAGGATTGATAGTTACCTGGTCTTTTATGAAAAACTTAAATATAGTTCAATAATAGTAAATTGTAAAAATTGACATAAAATGAAAAGAATAAGGAGATAAATTTAAAAGAAAAAGGTTAAAGTAGTTAGTAATGGTATAAAAGTGATTTTAGAAATGATTGTATGAAAGACCAAGTATCTAATTTGAAGCTACATACCTACCATACATAAAGTATAGCTTGATACTCCAATAACAGTATTAGACTATTTGAAATTGTGTGATGTTCATTGATGCTTCAAGTCTAATTTATGTATCACAAATTCAAGTAGATTGTGAATCAATGACAATTACGTCAAACGCTTTTTAAGCATCATACATTTCTCTATGCACTGCAAATTTTTGCAGTTATTAAGTACTGACATTTATTTAACAGACCTTCTGGCACCTGAATTCATAAAAGCTTATAAGAAAAAACCTCTGGTATAAACAATTACTGTCCATTTTTAATATTTTTTTCACGCAAATTTTGAGCTATTTACAACTAAATATATGAAAGAAAGAAAAATAATATTCATCAAATAAGCATGATCTAAGTAATCAACTAATTGTCATTGCTTTGCTTCAATATCTTTGAAGAAAAAAATCAATTAAGAATCTTCAAACAAACTTTTTGAATAAATATAAATTTTCATTTCCTGTTTTTAATTAAAAACAGTAATGGTAAAAATAAAATGATAAATATAGTAACATCATATGATTGTAACTAATAAGCTTATGAGCAGCATTCAATTGTAATTGTTACAAGTTTTATGAAGTACATTTATACTTACTTGTAAGCATCAGGTAGATCTTCAACGCCTATAAGTCCCATTGGTGGATAATGAACTTGTCCTTCACGAGCAGGTACATTCATAACAGCTACAACTCTTTCAGCTTCAACATTTACTTCACCAACAACAACGCAGACCAAATCATTAGCCATATAACCCCGTGTTACTCCTTTTTTGTCAACTGCAGGTACTGTTGCAGTATTTAATATCAAAGCCTAAAAATACAAATAATTATAAACTCATTTAAATTTAACTCAGAATTGAAAACATAATATATATTATCTGCAGATAGATATCAAATCACCTTTACTCCAAGATCGCAAACAACCCTTGGAAAATCACTACAATTGCACAAAACTTTAAGTAACAATCCGGCAGCACTTTTACCCATGACTTGAGCAAAAATTATATCTCCAACAACAAGGCTCTGAAAAACACATGAATAATAAATACAATATAAATAAATTAATGAAAACAGATGAAATATTGATGTACTTACTTCTAAGAAATTTCTAATTCTTTGAGATTTTTCCATTGGAACAAAAGAGTCAAGTCCAGGCATAGTGGCATAGAATTCTGCAAATAAAAGATTGTCAAAGTCTATATACTGTGCAGTTTCAAAATGGGAAAAATAAAAATTAACACATACCTTCATCACCAGGTTGTTGTTTTAAAATATTATCAGCTCTTAACAAATTGGATTTGTCATACAGAGTATCAGCTTTTTTAGCCAAAAACTGCTGTAACTTGAATCTTTTTCCTCTATCACTGAAACTGTAAACACAAGTAAATATTAATTACAATTTTGCAACACTCTTCATTTCAAGAGTAGTTTTCAAAATTACTTGAGTGTTTTCTGACGTTGTTGATATATTTCAAAACTAGGTTCTTTTAAATTCATCATTGGCAATTCAGTTTCATTGCGCTCACTCTCCCAAATTTTTTGCAAAGGTTGACCATGATAATTGAGAGCTTGAGCTATCAATCGTGGATCCATCGTTGGATACATAACCTGAACGCCTCTTTCTGACGAATTTTCAAGTTTTTTCTCAAGGAGTCTAGTAGGAGACGAAACAAAAAATCAGTTTAAAAGTCAATTTTTACGAAAAAAGTCGATTTTTTTGCAAATAAAATGAACTTTTTTACCTGAGCCTTGCTAAAAATGTCTACAAGATGTCGATCCTCTCTGAACAGGCAGAGCCCGACCCAGCTTAATTTGTTTCCGATTCTATTTTGTGCACTATTAAAGTTCTTAAAATGCTCTTAATCATATACAGACCCAATTATAAAAAAGGGACAAGAAAATGTAATCTACTTAAAATTCCATTACATTCGGTAAACATGTAATTATACACTTGCTTCTTGAAAAACTTATCACCTCGCATCGATTTTCATTAAATTCCACTCGTGTACAAAATGGTTGCATTATGCACAGTTCATGGAGTTGTGCCGCGCAACATTATACGGAATTGGCATAAGGCATTGCGGAATTTGGCAATCGGAATAGCGGTGCTGACATCTGCACAAACTACTGTTCTGACTGTTCCAGTTTCACAGAAATTCAACAAAATTTGAAATTATTAGAAGTAAAAGTATTGTAAATTAGAATTCAATTGCTATTGAACATGATATTTTAAAAACACAGTCTTCACTAGTATTACATTACTGATTTGTATGGAGGAAGGTCTCTCATTATTAATTATCCGCAAGACCAAAACCTTCCTTATCACTCGACCCATATACAATTATAAATGTTATAATGGAATATTTAGCATTTAGCAAATAGTAAATTACGCATCGGAGGCAGGAGGTTGTCTATATCTCAAGAGTGAAAGTTTACTATACCGCTTTGGTTGGTACTTTATTTTTTGTAATTGAATGCGGAAAGTGCTACTTTCGCGCACGGCTGGCGATCTTAAAATCGACTTTCCGCACGTTGCAATGAAAATTAGTGTACGCAACTGGGGTAATTGTCAATCTTGCACTCGTATCAATGCCACCCTCGCTACACTCGGGCTTCAAACTTGACACTCGTGCAGATCGACAACCTCCCGCTCCCGTTGCGTAATCTACGATTTAAGATTACAAGCCGTGCGCGAAAGTAACTTTTTCAGTACGCAGTAATCAAAAGATTGGTTTGTGTTTGAACATTTTTTTATAGTCGGGCATAAATTCACATTTATGGCACTCTTTTCGATGGCATAAGTCGCATTTTCTGGCATTGCTTCGTTTGCATCACATTCGCTGCACTCGGGCACTAATCTACGCCGCGCGTGCCAAAAAATGTTACTAATGGCATTTCGTAAATTACTATATTGGTCATGGTTTTACGTTTCATCGTGCTATTTATACCCCTTGTATCATACAATCACAATTTTTCCAATTGTTCGATTGGGATTGTAATAAAAATAATAATAATGAAAGTTTAAAATGATTTTTAAAAATAAATAACACTCGCTTACGATAATTTGAACCCATATTTGGGCTAATTGTTCATTTGCACAAGTTTTGAGTCACTACAGTATCTGTAGTTAAGAATTCAAGAATCAAGAAACCATATTAAATTTATGTTATCGATATGATAAATGATTATAATAGTTTTAATGTAGATAATGAATGTGATTTTTATGCATAATTAATAATTATGTTAAACAAAGCATTACGTAACCTAAATCAATTTAAACATTTTTTACCGTATTTTAATAAGGATAACATTTTATTAGAGCTTTATTTGATAAGTTTTTGACAATTTTAATTTTTTTGATTTTTTTTTCAAATCAATGTGTATATTATTAGTTTTGATGCATCCACAAAGGTTCATGTTTTATAGTTTAAAATTGGAAGAAACAACGACATTTGAATTTGCCGCTACGTTTATCTCGAATAGTTGGTAACTCGACGCAAATTTCAGTAAAACTCTTATCTTCGTATGTGTTTATAAAGCGAGATACACTCAATCGAGTGACAAACACCAAATCCCTATTATATTTGTTGTTTGTAAAGTTCATTATTCGTGGGTTGTGAACACGCTACATTTATATAGCTCATCAGTTTCATGCATACATTTAATGATTTGATCCTATAGTAGTTCAAATAATAAGCAAAATGTTCGGATTTACAACCTGAACATTTTTTTTGTAACAACAGTTGAATTCAACAATTTTGCCAAAGTGTGCATTTTGTAAATATGAACTTGCATCAATTAAGGGTTATAATTTTCTCATAATTAATTAAGAACATTAAAGACCTCAAAATCGCTGCCATGAATAGCCGAAGAAGAGCAAGTAATTTCACTTATGTGAGCCCCTGTGTTAAATACATGATTTTCATGTTAAACTTCATATTTTGGGTGAGAATGTAATTTTTAATAAACAAAATTGCAAGTCTCATAAATATTAATTTTTTTCTGAATTTTCTTAATCAGCTTTTTGGTGGTTTATTAATTGGAGTTGGCCTTTATGCTTTTGTTGACAAATGGCATATGACTGGATCTGTGAGAGTTGAAAATGTTTATGATATTGTTCTAAACATATCTCTTGTCATGATCATAGCAGGAGCTGTGGTTTTTGTCGTTAGTTTTGCTGGATTTGTTGGTGCTCTGCGAGAAAATACCTGTCTTTTGAAGTTTGTAAGTACATACTAGTTTTTATCAATTTGGGTGTTCAATGTTGTTTAAGAAATTTATTAATAGTGTATTACTGTTTAGCTATTAATATTTTATTACATTAATAATATATTTTTAGTTTAATATTCTTGCCTTGAAAAAAAATATGGTCTAGTACATTTTGAAAAGTTTGTTTAATGTAGCCATATATTAATTAAAAATATTGTCTTTAAGTGTATAGGACGATACAACCCATCTAGGTAAAAATAGATTAATGTTTATGTTTGTGCATGATAATTGGAATTTTTAAATTAGAATTAGTTTGATTTTTATAAGGTCATGCCAAAGAAATGAAGATTTAAATATTTCAAATCATTTTAGTTTCATGATTAATTGAAATCAAAAATTTCTCTAAAAAGATCTAAAATATAGAACGAGTGTTAGCGAGTGAAGATAAAGCACTGGTATAATAATATTAACAGATTACTACATAATAAGTAATTTAGACAGTTCAGTTTAATCTTTTTTGTGTCTAATTTTATTGAAAATTTTTCAACAATATAATAAAATTCTGAAAAAATTTTGCTGGAAAAGGTGCTTCAGCATAGTAGTTTTCTGTTACAGAATTTAGTTATGGCTTCCTCTTAGATGAAGCTCTGTGATAGGCTTGAAAACAAAATTTCGAACCAGGCATTGTAGGAAAATGTTGTTAAAATTTTTTGTAAATAGTTTGAATTTCCACAAAACGTCCGTATGTCTGCTTTGTCAGCCACAAGGCCTTTTGGAACTCAAAATACAATGTGCTCTCAGCAGACTGTTTTTTTAACAGTTTCATTTGAAGATTTAAAATTAATTCATCAATAATAAATGTTAAGTTAGTTTATATCAATGGTCATTCATAAAAGTAGCATTTTTTATGAGAAAGCTCTTTGCCAATGAATTGGCCATGGTTTTATTTATCATACTCTATTACAAAAAATGTTATAGCTGTGGTAAAAAATACTATATTTTATGTAACAGAAAACCATCATAGTGTGACCTTTCCTTTTCAGCTGTAGGTTTTCTCTCGGTGTATTTTTTATTGTCTGCAACAAAAGTTAAAATAATTGAGTAAAAAAGGAGAGAGCACATCGTCGAATGAGCATTTTATATTCCGGTTATAGATGAGCTATTCTCAGATCCTAATTAGAGATAGGCGCATCACACAGCTTTGCGAATGAAGGCTGATCTCATGCATAATTGAAGACGGTCCGATTGCAATTTGGCTCATCTTAGACTTTGAAATAATTTGGGTATAACAGGGATTTGCTCTGTGTTGATGCTACGAACAGATTCACCTAACATATAACTGAAACCAACCAGCTCATACAGTATTTTTGATCATAGATTATGCAATCTGAAGTAATCGAAGAGACCGGACCCTTTACATTTTTTTTAATAAACCATCGTTAATTAACCGAAATGACCCATGTTATGACATTTCTTGGATTTTTAGATATTCAATCCACCCAAGTCGACTCTTTTAACTTTTATTATGCAATATTGTATGATTAAGAATCACAAAAGCTACTTTTAAATTTGTACTTGAAATATTTAAAAACATTTTTTAAATTATAATAAAAATATAAGTCGAGTTCCAAAAATAAGGCGTATCCGTTTTTGTACAAAAAAAAAGTATAAGGCATGGCATATTTTGGGTAGAACACGGTATAAAGCAAAAAAAAAAACTTCAGAGCACATGTGATTATCAGACGAGGCTTTCCAGTTTTTCGCTCGCGAAGTGTGTAATCTCTTATTTCTTTTTTCATCCTAGATCGTTAACTACACGGCCTCGCTAAGTTTGTAAAGATACTTTTTTGAGCTAGAACGACGATGGACGTAAGAAGGGTACACCCTATAACTAGTGACATTAAGGAGTTGGACATCTCAACGAAACCACTTTTAAATTTTACTTCAGTTAGTAATTACCCATACACAATTGGTTCACATCTTCATCTGCTATAACTATAAATTCTTCATTCACCAAATGGAAATGAAGAGTTTAGAGGCAGCTTTTAAAGGCATCATATGCAAATAATTTACCCTCGCCCATAAATCTATTAGTCCCTCTTAGTCATTAGATTGACATGAGTCCAAGAATAGGTAGAGACCAATATCAGTATCTATAATCTTCAGTCATCAGTCCCCAAGATTTGTCAATGGTACCCCAGTTCTACATCAACCCATAGTAATAGTAAATTGGGAGACTATCTTTTTTTGCTTTTTATAAAATCTTTTTCTTGTACCAACCACCTCAACAACAAGAACTCAAAATGTAGACACAGCGAAGCAAAGGTTCCCCTTGTACTACCCCGTACATTATCATTAATAACACAAAGGTGAAACGGACAAACCTTTTCCTACATTGTAGTTACGTTTTCAGCAAGTGAAATGCTGTGAAAACCACACATTACACAGAGAAAACCTAGTGTATAGATTGACTCGTCTGATGAATGTATCTTTGCGTCTTGTGCAGTGCAGGAGTACCGTGTGAGATAATTAAATCGACATTTTTAAAATTATTTAAAATTGTTTAAAATTATTTAAAATTATTTAAAATTACTTAAAATTATTTAAAATTATTATAAAAAAAAATTAATGGACATTTTTTTCAACACTTTATGCGGCCAATGTATTTTTGGAGAAAATGGGATAAAAAAAATATACGAGTAACTAATTCTAATGTAAAATTTAATGCCCTTTCAGAATCTGAGCTCAGATTTTCGAAAAAATGATCAGGTCGAAAGTTGCACTTGATTTTATAAAAAAAAAAATAATTATGAAAGAAAAATTTTTTTTATTTTTCGATTTTCCAAATGGAAACCATTTGAAATTTCAGAGGTTTCGTGCAAATATAGTGTCCTCGATACCTAAACTAAAAGTTGATGGGGTTTAAATTGAAAAAAATAAAGCTCAAACAGAAAAAATGGCGGTCGAAACACGAAAAAATGAATGAAAACTTCTAGAATTTCTCTCAAAAACGATGGACTTGAGAAAAAAATGTATTTTTTAACTTTATTTTTTTCAATTTAAACCCCACTAACTTTTAGTTTAGGTATCGAAGACCATTCCAAATGGTTTCCTTTTGGAAAATCGAAAAATAAAAAAAAATTTTCTTTTATAATTACGTTTTTTTTTTTCATAAAATCAAGCGTAACTTTTGACCTGATCATTTTTTCGAAAATCTGAGCTCAGATTCTGAAAGGGCATTAAATTCTACAGAACTAGTTACTAGTATATTTTTTTTACTCCAATTTTTCCCAAAAATACAGTGGTCGAATAAAGTGTCGAAAAAACGTCCTCTTGGGATTTGATGGATTAATATTCCATTTTATTTAATTATGAATGATTATATCTTGTGTAACAAAACAAATGGATTTAAACTAGGCGTTTTTATATTAGAAAATACTGTTACCTTACTTTCGTATTTCTTTTTATAATTTATAATAAAATATGCTCTTAGTGGTATAGTTCAGTTAATTAATTTTTTTGATTTTTTCCTAAAATAATTATATGAAGATTGACATATGTTACAGTGAAGCTTACGTTTTTTTAATTATGAAAATGAATATAATTTAATTTTAGTTCTTAATTAAGGTAGAATTTTACGTAACGCTATTATTTGTTTTTACAGTATTCTCTATGTCTGCTGATTTTCTTTCTTCTGGAAATGGGAGTAGCAATTGTGGGATTTGTATTTCCACATTCATTGCAATCAATATTGGAGGAATCATTTACCGATAAAATCATACAAACTTATAGAGATGATCCAGATTTACAAAATTTCATTGATTTTGGACAGAAGAAAGTATGATTATGTGACATATAATGATAGACATGATATTTCATTTGTTTTTTATTTTCAGTTCAAATGTTGCGGATTAAGTCAAGGTGGTTATATGGATTGGAGTAAAAATGAATACTTCAATTGCTCTAGCTTACTTAGTACAGAACGTTGCGGAGTACCCTTTTCTTGCTGTATCAATGCGACTAATATTGCCGTAAGTATTTTAAAAAAATATAAAATATAATTTTTTACGAGCTTATTAGAAAAGTATTAAATAGAAAAACTGTCGTGAAGTTAATTTATCAACCTCATTAAATTGTAAAAATTGGTAGCTTTGATGGTCCCCATAAAGTAAAACTTCAACTTTTTATTTTCTGTTCTTACTGTTCTTAAAACATGAATAATTAAATCATTTTTAACTATCTTAAATTATTTCATAAATTTATTTTTTTTAGTAATATTTATTGAGTTTGCTTACTCAAATTTTCCATGAATAAATTTTTTATCGTTCTAAATTTAATTTATAAAAACTATAGAAATTGATGTTTATTATATGGTTCTGTTATACAGAGTGGCCTTGTCAACAATATGTGTGGATACAGCATTCAAAATACTCCTGTTTCAGAAGCAAGTAAAAAAGTATGGACGAGTGGATGCATTGAAATAGTTCGAGCTTGGGCCGAACGAAATTTATATACAATTGCCGGTATTGCTTTAGGGATTGCTTTGAGCCAATTATTTGTGATTTACCTTGCCAAAACTTTAGAGGGTCAAATTGAGTTACAAAAATCTCGATGGCATTCTTGAGAAAGATTAAAATACTAGATGAAATAATTCATTGATTTTGTAATCTCCAAAAGATTGTGTAGTCGTTGCAAACTTATATTTTTAATATTTACACATTTTGTATTTTTTTTTTAAAAATTTTATATTTCATAAATACAATTATTTTATATGAGTGAAACTATTCGATAATTGTTATAAGTATGTGACATTTAGTTTAAAATAATTTGAGATCATTTCTTCTTGAAATATGAGGTATTATACTGTTAATTAAATTAATAGAACGCAGTAGCTCACTTTTGACCTTGACTTCTTGTCAAGAATAATCTACATTTTTAGCCTTGTCTGACTGGATAAATAATGACTGTAAAAAATTTTTCCAAATAAATTAATTTTACATTAATCTTAAATAAAAAAGTCTGATGCAAACCTAAATACTCTTGCTTTTGAATACATCCATTATAATACTCATGCAAACACTGCGACTCAAATAACTGAAATAAAAATATAAAAAACAGATTGTTTTACAGAACTCTTTCTAAAATTTATTCCATAAATATGACTGATAAGAATATAACTATTTAGATGCTTCCTTTATTTTAAAAATTGATGAAAAAACAAATCATTTAATTTTTAGTTAAAGCGGCATCGAAAGACCATTCAATGTGATAATAAAAACGTTTACACTCGTTTTTCTTTTTATCACAGAATTCTTTAAACATTTAATGGATTCAATTGTTGTCGAGCCACGTTGAAAATAAAAACGTCATTAGATCACCGGTACTTAAGAAAAAAAATACAATGAAAAGTGTTATGAAATAAACCTATTGGTAAAATGCCGCAAAAAACACTTCACATCAAATCGCCGAAAAATACTCACCTCATCAAAATGTATAGGAAATTCCATGATGTTTCGATGAGGTGAGTTTTGAAGTGAAACTTCTATACGCGCGTTGGATATGTTTTTCTCCGCGTTTCGATGAAATGTGTTTTTTTTATAACACCGGCGAGACTTTTTCTACAGTCGTCACTACTGGTCCCTTTACTGATTTGCCTTGAGAAAAACCAATAAGGTCTCATTTACTTACGCCGCGACAGCTTAGTTTTCCTCCACCCAAATCAGTAAAGTGACCAATAGTAACGAATGTGAAAAGCCCTACAATTCGCCTTGATATAACACCATGACACATCGAATGACATTTCTATTAAAACGTAATAACTTTTGAAATAGAAGTTGGTAAGGATAAAAAATTGTTATAAAAATGTGTAGTCATTTTCGACTTGACAAGCATGTTCTGGATATTAAAAAAAGTTGTCATCAATTTGAAGCCAGAAAATAGTGTCTTCATGAAAATAATAAATCTTATGCAATAGTACGACGAAAAATGTCTTTTTTCGCACATTTTTTAGTGCGCAAAAAGCGTTTTTGGACACTTGTGTGCGGTAAAATGCCTCATTTCGACACTGGTGTGCGGTAAAATGCCTCATGGCCGGCACTCGTGTCTTTTTCCGCACACTCGAGCCCAAAAACGCCTTTTGGGCTCTTGTTACATAAATAACTATTAATGGTGCACAAACAAAACTCAAACGTAAAACAATTGTTATTGAATCTTCATAGAATCCTTGTTAAAAAAAGTCAGCTTACGCATAAGCTGATTTTTTCAGAAACGATGAAAATCATTTATCTTCCTATAAAATTTAACAAAAGACGAGAAGTTAACTTGAGATAAACGGAACAGTCGTGGAGCGCTGTACGACTTATTGGGACACTAGTACAGAAACCATTTATAAATAAAATTGTTAAAATGTTCACTTGAAAGTAATTTAAAAGTATCAATTTACATTAATTTAATCTTATTATGACACTACGTTGATTAAATGTGTCTGAAAAGGGCGTTACTGTAACGTTCGAAAAATTAGTACAGATGAAATTTACGATATGATTTCTAGTTTCTATTACATTTTCCAGTTCGTATATTTTTTGAACGACTGAGACTTTGAGTACTTCGTTATGATTGCTTATTTATAAATAAATAAATACACTAAATTAAGTAAATTTGTTTTTAAAGATATAGCTTATGTAATAATAAGATTATTTTAATGTTCTATGAATTTTTAAAGTAGATACGTAAGTTAGAAAAACCATTGCTACGAAATCGTTCTAAAACTGGGTCGTTTATCTTGCGATAATGCCAGTCAGATTAGGTTCAAAAAAGTTTCAAAGAGAAACTGACGTACGTATCCGTTTTGATCTGAATTTTCATTAATTATTTAATTCTATTTTTGATGAATTTGATAATATGAATAATATTTAAGTGTGTATTTAACCTGAAGTCCATGCAATTAAGTCAGCATTTCGTAATGAAAATCACAATTATATGCAAGAGCTTTAATGAAGTTGGAACATGTAATTACAGTAAAAATATTAACAGATCAAGTGTGAATAAATACATTGGTAAATCATGACATAAGTATTCAAATATAATCCTAAAAAAATATTTATATTTATATAACTAAAATGACTGAAATGAATGTAATATGAAATCTAATCAGCATCATGTGTTGGCTATTTATTAGTAAAATAAAAGAAATAGATGATGTGTGGTCTTTTTTAAAAAAGATTAGTACGCTAATTGCAGGAACACTCACTTATTCTAAATATTTATCTAATATGTAATTTACTTAATACCAATATAATCAAAGAATTGTCACGGCGATTACTGTTAGAATTCTATTCTTCAGATGAGAATACTAAATTGTATGAAAATGATTTTCAGAAATCAATTCAAAAATTGAATACAAGTGTGCAGTCTCCTAGTAAGCGAGCATGACGCAATAATGTTGAGTATTTTATTATCAATCCCTTGAAAAAATTCCATGTAAAAATAAAACGGGCGAGCGCGATATAGAAATGTAAACTTTTTAGAGACAGTCTTTAATTGTGCGATCTGTAATTGGCATGTTCTCTAAGGTGCCAAAAGTCTGCTTGCTTTCTCATTTTAATTAGTTCTGTCATTGGTATCATTCTATGGTAATCGCTGGTTTGCCACATTATAATCGTAATCTTTCCCAGTTGAAAAAAATTGCGTGGATTTCTACATGGATTATCCACGCAGATTCCGTGTGGAAAGTACGTGGATTCTACAAGGAAAGTGCATTGATTCCATGTGGAATCTGCGTGGATCATTTTTGTAAAAATCTGCCAAGATTTTTCGATTATTCCTTGAAAAAGGATACGAACATGGAATTAAGTTTTTAAGAGATAACCGAAAAATCTTGGCAGATTTCTACAAAAATGATCCACACAGATTCCACATGGAATAAATGCACTTTCCTTGTAGAATTCACGTACTTTCCACGTGGAATCTGCGTGGATAATCCACGTAGAAATCTACGCAATTTTTTTCAACTGGGTTGTTTTCTATAATTTTGATGTTCTTTAGTAACGGTGCGCTCACACTACAAAGGGCCTTTTCGTTTATTGAGATGTAATGTAAGAGCAACAGGGGGTGAATATAATGGCAGCGTACTAGATTCCGAACTCTTGTACTAAAAGCATGGGACCATTCATAAGGAAGGTCATATTTGCTAGGGTGTTAGTTCCCGAATTTGAAAAATTCCATTTCCCTATACGAACATCGTTACATACCCATAAAAAAAAAGGTTTTAATAGTTTTAGGTCATAAACAATTCCTTTAGATACTGTTTTCCGTTACCTAATAAATATGATTCCAAATCTTTTTTATACTTCATATAATCAATTCCAAAATTGTTATGTATTAATTGGAAAGCTTCAGCTCATCGTGATATCTAAACCTTGAATTTCATGTCATGAAAAAAATTTTTAATTGATCATAGGCTCACGTATGTAGAATGGACATTTCAGAAGAGAAATATAAACCCGATTTTTTATTACAGATTTGAAACGAGCGAAAACTTTTATATTTTAGTGTGCCTTTTTATATTTTTTTCAAGGAAATGTTATTCTAACGAAATGTTCCGCCCTTTTCAAATCTGCTATAAAAAGTAGGGATAATTTTGGCTAGTACTTCTATAATATTCCCAACCCAGAGACATAATTCCTGAAGAAGTTTTAGCCAGGGCCTACTGCGCGCGAATTAGGAATCAAAAACTCATTCTCAATGCAATGATAGCGCTAACACATTATCCAACTACTAATCACTTGGCGTTTATATTGATGATATAAACTGATCATCTCTTATATAAGAGAAATTATTTTTATAAACAATTTTTTCTCCTTTAGGTGATCATTACTATTATTATGGATTAATAATTATTTTTTGATACTTGACTCTGTTTATATTTTTTATTCTATATTTTAAGTCTTACAGTACAGTTGAAAACACCGTCGGAAAAAAATTAAAAGAAAATGCGTGAGTAGTACTGCTCACTCAGCTTATTTTAATTTATAAGGAATTCTTACCTTGTTTCTGGAATGATATCGTAAAATTACTTTATAGAAAACTTATAATGTATCAATTTTCTTATAATGTTAATTTTATAAAAGCAGATTAAAGTTTTAAAGTTTATTCCATTACAATTTAATTCAAATTGATCTTACAAAATGATATTTTTTAATTTTTTGTATTTAATACAAATTTATGATTACATTGTTTAAAATCTAAAATATATATATGTGGTTTGTAAATTAATTAAGATATTTTAATTTTATTTAATATATCTAAGTCATTCGAGAACATTGGAAAAGAACTCGTGCGATAATAGCTGCAACTTGCTGATCTAATATTTGGCTCATCACAAGAGCAAGCAAACGAGTTTCATGTTGGAAAAGTAACGGTCTATTATCAGGATGTTTAGAAAGATTCAAAAGCGTACCAGCTGCTCTACGCAACATATCTAAACTTGTGCCCATAGATTCTGGATTTTCTCGAAGAGCTGCTATGCCGTGTTGATTAGCTACATTTAGGGCAGTATTTTCAGCTTGTTCAATAAATGACACCAATAAACCTATACATGGTGTTTGTAGAGCTATAGTTCGAGTAACTCCACTATCAGCAGATGATAGGAAATATAGTAAATTAACACTGAATTCTCTCAAAACTTGCTCTTCACTTCTGCATAAAAAGCGTGATAGAACACAGCATAATTTTTGAAGTCGAGAAAATGGTGGAGTAGCTACAACGAGATCTACATTGCTGTCAGTAACACATAATTTACATAGAGCTTCAAGAGCTAATCTTTGAGGAGACAAAGTTGAATTATTATTGACAGTTGGAAATGGATCTTGTCCATGAGCAGCTGGGCAAATTGACCAATGTAAAAGACCATCTAAAATTGGTCGTGAAACTTCTTCTGGATAGAGGCTTAAATCTAAGTATCCAGCAATATTTGATGCTATAACTAAAAAGTTTTCACGAATGTGGCACAAAAAATCCCACCACCATTCATTTCCTATTTGTAAGCTGCTACATGAGTCTGTAAAATCAGCATCTTCTTCGCGATCGTAATTGCGCGTTTTTTGAATTCTAATAGGGTGATCATGATGAAGCAATAATAATTTACCAAACATGCTCAAAAATGTAATATTTTTAGCGAATTCCATTTCATTTCCAGGAATGAAAGATAAATTTCGAAGAATCGTGGAAAGACACACACATCTTCGAGCTATTTTATCTTGAAGTTCAGAAACGAGGTATAAACTCGCTTCGTCTTTCGAGTAACTTTCGTCTTCATAATCATTAAGCTGCTTGCGTTTGAGAGTACCTGCTGGATCTCGTATATTTAAATTTAATTGTGATTCACTTTTGTTTGAAGAACTTTCATTGGAGACTTCGACATCCGAATCACGAAGGTTCTTTATTTCTTCGCAATCTTTTTTATTTGATTGAGTTTCAGACTTCGGAGTTTGACCAATGTTATCCGGCGAGGAGTCATTCGTTTTTTCAACTTGTTTTTCTGAGTCTTGGGATTCAGAATTTTTTTCGTTTGAATTTTCATCTTCCAATTTAATCGAAGTAGATTCAGTTGGCTTCAGTGGAGTTTTGGTAATTCTAAAAAGAACTTGATTCAAGTTTTTCATTTTCTTTTTCTTATTTTCTTGAGTATTTTTCAATTCTTCACTTGTTATTTCAGACACTTTTGAAGATGATCCACTTTGAACTGATGGGTTTTCAATAGTTTTATGTATTTCTTCATGATTATTGTTACTTGAACCATTTAATTTTAGTTTTGTATCCACATTCGATTGTTTACCATATTCTGAATATTCTTTTGAATGACGATTTTTCATTTGAGCTTCGAAAAATGTTATAATGTAATTGATGGAATTAGTATCAATATGCCAAGGCTCAGCATCAGCATCGTATGCTTGATGATCCCATAACCTTTGTGAATCTGATATAAATATATCGTCATTCCTCGGTATAATTTTAACAGGTTTTCCTTTGCGAGACAACAATGAATAATTAGTTGAAGAAATTATTTTCATACTTCTGTCAAGATCATCAGGCGCGGAAACTATACCAAGATCAATTATAGATTTGCATAAGTCTGTTTCTGTATTTGAACAATTTGTTTGATCTTCTTCGTTTTCAAACATGTCAGATAAAGATCGAGAAAAGTGTTCCAATAAAATGTCTAATAGTCCAGGTAAACTAGATAGACCAAAATACTGTACTGATGAATCATCAAATAATAAAACGTTGAGAACGTCTAGAGCCCAACAACTCTCAGCTAATAAACCAGATCGTAAAGCCATCATGATTCTCCATGCTTCAACGGGAGGTATATCACTTCGTAATAATTTCCTCCTTTTATAAGATAAAGGTGTAACTGATTCAACACTCTCAATGGGAAATGCTACTTCTCTTTTTGTTAAAGATTGATGATTGTTTTGCGGGCCCATCCCAAATTGATTCTGAAACAAATGTGCCATGAATGTAAGTTAATGCCAATTTTTATTTTTACTTTAACAGTTTTTCTTTTTTTAATCAAATACTCGAATGAATTTACTAATAATTAAAATTCAAAATCCATGAAATAATATTTGATAAGTGTAAAAAAGTGTATGTTACAACGGTATCTTTAAATAGCCTAGAAGGCGTAAAAAATCTTAGAGTACTCTCTTTTTTTAATTATTGAAAAGAGTACTTTATGCGTCGGTTAATGGATCATAAGTGTGAGCTTAGCATAATACAATAAAGTTTCGTACGATACTCGTGCCATGGGGAACACTTTTCGGCCCAGTTATTAGGCTCACTGCCCATGGGTCATAAACTACACGGGGCCAAAAAGTGTTACTTATGACACTTGTATCCTAAATTACTATTATAGTCTTCTAAACTAAAAATCGCAACTTTTCCGCTAGTTTTAGGCTCTTGGGCTAAACTGGCATTTGGCTCGAGTTGCAACCCCTCGTTTTGCTGAAAAAGCTTATTCACACCCGTATCATAATAGTACTTTACGATACTAGTGGCATAAGTAACAATGTAATTAAAATTATCCCTCATACCAAAAGCCGATGAAGATATTTCACATAAAAAATACTGATGCAATGTAAAAAGGAAAACTTTCAAATATTTTTTTTCAAGGATTCTACTGAATATTTTTTAAAAGTAACATGAATGCTTTGATTTGATTGTATTCTAGAAATTGACGCTGTGATTTAAAAGAATATCCACCAGGGATATAAGATTGTTGAAGTTTTTTATTTTCAACATGACTTTAGTATATCTTTGAAATACACTTTTTTCTCACGAAGAAGATGTATAGCTCTTCTTGAATGTATGTTCAATTCATCGTCTTACTACGAAAAACTTTCAGTTAAAGAAATATACTTTAATTTTACCTGATTCATATTAGATGATGTATATAGAGATGGTGATGGAGCACATCGGTTATCCCAAAGAGGTGGAGAATGCAAAGAACTTATACTTTGAGATAAAGAACGAATATTCTGTTGATTGTTCCATGAATATTGAGAATTAGAATTAATCGCTGGTGAAATTGTAGACATAGTAACAATTTGAGTTGGTGGAACTTGTTGATGTGGAGGATTTGATTGTAGTTGAGTTTGAGTGTTTGGGTATTGCATTCTCACACTCGAACCGGAATTAAATTGATTATTTCCTCCAGGCCACCCTAAAAACAATTGCAATTGGGTAAAATAATAATTAGGCATGCATATGATATTCAAACGTGTTCACTAATAAATTAATCCACCCACACTCTCTCATGTAGACTCTACATTGTAGAGTTGTTTTTTAGTGTTTTTATCGGGACTCTACTAAAAAAATAAATCTAGCCGCGGGATTTTCCCGATTTTTCTTGGCAAGTCTAAACTTTATAACGAATATGTAATTTGTCTTATATAATGCGGTGACAATCTATTTAAAAAATTGGTGTAATGCAATTTCATGAAATTTTTAAAATAATACGATGGGCTTGAAGTATTAATTAAAAATCGAATTTTTGGTAAATGTGGCAAAATTAAGGTGCTGAGGATTGGTTGAAGAATATGCAAAATTTTCGTAAGAACTAATTAGAATTTTCTGTATCGCTAATCACAATTTCCATATTTGATTTTTCATGTGTGGCGATTAGTTGAACACCGGAATTCAGTAGAAAAAAAGTTGAATAAATTCTATAGTTTTTGTCAATTTGAAACGCCAATTGGACCTATAATTTTTAATTATTGTTTTAATTATTAATTTATTACCTGTATATGATGATCTGGGTTGGGTGTAAATTGGATATTGTTGATCTTTCACAAAGTCGGGATGTCGACGAGGGGTTTGTGGACCCAAAGCAGGTGGTGGCATATTTTTATTAACTCCTGCAGGATTTGCAAATATTGAGCTTCCCAAATTAGAATTGTAAGTCTGAAATAAATTTGAAAAAAGACATTACTTTATCATTGAGCCGTGCTAATTGAATGACAGAAAATTGATGATCGATGATTATTTAGTTTAATGACAAAATTAGGAAAGTAATTCAATGACTTATTAATATTAATTATTATTTTAGCGAACTCTAAAACTCAAAGATTCTTTTCGACCAAAATATTTTGTCTAATAATGAAGCGAGTCGCAGATACTTGTCGACTAATCTGGTGAAAATGACTTCACGTGCTTTTTTTAAAAGGGAGAGAGATAGGATTAACAAAAAAAACCTATTAAGGAAAGAAACTTTTATGTTTAAGTCGCTTTTTACCTGATCAGCTCTATAATAATCTTGAGAACTCGTAAATGGACCTCCTTGCGTTGGTTGTATTTGAGATGTAGATTGAGGTGGTGCAACAGAGTGAGGTATAGCACTATTGTGCGGTTGCACACCAGGAGAATAAGCATTTCTTACATTATGCTGTTGATTGCCTCCATAGCGATTGAATATGTCTTGACTTGTCGAACTATTAGTAGATGTACTACTTACGTTGTAATTTCTAGAAAAAAATTGCAATGTTATTGAAGCAGAAAAAGATTTTGAGTAGAAAGCTTAAATGGTTATTATACTTTAATCAAGTTATTGAATTAAAATAAATTTTATTGTATAGAATTGCCATTTTCAAGGTGAATTTAATGAATTATGTGCTGATCTGGTCAAATGTTGAGGTCCAAGTCAAGCTAAAAAAGTGCTCTTCTGGAAGTAGTTTCTCAACGATCTTTAAATATACACCGTGCATCTTTGGCATGAGCTCTGAACTTTGAAGCGGTTGAGCGTAAAAAATTTTATGAAAAATGTTTAGTCAGAATAAGATTTTAACAGAATCAAGTAACTACATCGGTCTTTCGACGAATGCCAGAGAGTCTGGTCTGTATCAAGAAAAGAGAAATAAACAACTGATTAAATAATAACTGGTTTAAGACTGCGGAAAGACGGTAAGATGAACGATCATCTCATGTAGTTCTGGTCAGGGCATTGATGCTTTAGATATAATTTATTCGGTATTGGTGACCTTGTAGTCTACTTATGCGGCCCAATAGAAGAAGGAAATGTTGAATACATATGGTATTAATGACCGAGATTTATGCGCGAGTGCAAATCTTTCAAACGTAGCTGGGTAGTGACTATCACCGGGGACGGTGGATTAGGGTGAGCTCAACTGAACTCAACTTTGGCGGTGGTGAGTTGTTTTGTTTCCACTGTTACAGAACTAAAGCTTGAAAGTATACTGGATAAATTAACTAGAAGATGGGTGCACTTTACATACAAAAATAGTGGTCGGTCTATTGATGATAAAGGAAGAACATCGTTTCTTATAAGGCAAAATGTACCGCAGTTGAGTTAACACTGAGCTACGACAATATTGAGTGAAATTGAAGGAAATCTAGGTATTAAAGTTCGGGTTTTTAGACTCTTTCATATACTAACGCTTTCCATTTCACACAAAAAGAAAGTTCTATTTCAATCTATTTCATCTGAATTTCCAGTCAAATCAAGCTCAATTTTCTACCTTGAAATCCAGCGATTTTTTTTAAACAGGATATCTTTTTACGCGAATCAAAAGTTAAACTTAAATCAATAATTTACAGTGTAAATTTAAATTGTGGTACGTCAAAATTCATTAAAAAATGGAGAAAAAAATCATTTTATTAAACACCAAACATTAATTTTATTACCTTTCTAAATCTGTTGAATATGAAGAATAATGTGGTCGAGATGAGTATGGTTGAATAAATTCGTTTTGTTGCGAAGCAGCGACATTTTGTGAGCGAATATACTGGTCTTGAGAGTAATTAGTAAACGCTGGTGGATTAGCATACGGTTGTTGTTGAATAACTAAAACGATGAAAAGAACATGAAGATCCAGATTATTTTTAATAACTTCTTATATTTTAAAAATAATTTTTATAACGCTATCTTTGCGTTAGTAAGCATTTCTAATTTCTAGATTTTTAGGAATTAAAAAAAACAGGCTAGAGCAGGTGTACCATACTTTAAAAATACTTTCTGATCGTACGATAAATTTAATAAAATCTCAACTTCGTATTATAACGAGCATAGAAACAGCAAGTTAATATTTTGATTTTCAGACGCATAACGATAAAAAAATTTTGACTCGTAGTTTTGTTCACGTATTTAACTCTAATAGTGGGCTTCGACCTAAAATTACAAAAAACATAAAAATTTAATCACTACCAATGGATTGACTGTGCAGGAACTTTACAAAAACGTGTTTGAAAAAAAATGTTATCCAATTTCTGATATTTTTGTAAATTTCAAGAAAAAAATTTTACTAATATAGAATGGAGGCATAAGTCAATATGAATAAAGAAAAGTAATAATCTATTTGAATGTTAGTTTTAATGCAGTTTCTGCATTATTTGTAAAAAAGAAACTCTATACTCTAATATTGGATTCAAATATTACGTTACATGAGCTTGTAGTGTCAAAAATATCCTACTCTTGGCGAAAATTGTTAAAAAACTGGTACGCAGATTTTCACAAGAATTAACGATTTTTATTTGTTGTGTAAAAGTGAGAAATTTAAGGAGGTACCTCCGTCGAAGAACGGAATCGAACTAAATTACGTAAACATGATCATTTTTATAATAGAAAGGCACTGTTAAAATTTGGTGCAAATTCACTACTTAGTTGAAGAGACATCAGTAAAACATTTTTACATTGTTTATCATGCAAATGACGATAATTTTGTATATTTCATAGCATAACTCATAATTTTTCAGACGAATTTGCGTGAAATTTTTTGAGCTCTTCAATAAACTATCACAGTACCTAGTGTTAAAGTTTTGTAAGCTTTTACCGCTTAAATACTGTTCAATTAATTGAAAACTATTAATAAATGAACATTCTAGTGACATTCAGTGTAAATCTCGGGCGACGGTAAAAGAGCGAATCAATATAGCTAATCAATATAGTACGCGAACAACGAGCAGACGCGCCTGCCTAGGGACCATTTAGTTAGGTTAGTACCGTTACTTTCAACACACGAGCAACTGTGAAAACTTGACTAGCGTAGTACTCAGAGGTACCTCCTTAAGCCTAATCCGATCTTTTCACCCACGTTTCTACAAATCCACGCTCTCGAACGACAGTAAATAGCAAATTACTTAAGTGAAGATCAGGAAAAAAATACCCGTTCATAGTATACTTTGAATATGGGGCCATGTACACCAGTGGACTTAGATACTCGGACATTGAAGATCAACAATCGATTATTCGATTCTCCGATCACACGTGAACTGAGTCACGCGCATATAATTCCGCGAGGTACAACTAGCAATCGAAATCGATTGTTGACTTTCGATGTTCTAGTATCTAATTCCGCGGGTGTGAATTTCACGTCAAGTCTCCAGCGCTGTGTCCTCTCGGCATTATTAGGCTAAATCGCTCAATTTCTAACTCGTCAGGAAAGCTTGAAATGCATTCAGAAAAAATATAAAATATGATTTAGATGGAAAAGTAACTCAATTTTCCGTTTACATAATTAGATTTTCAAAAATTTTCCATTTTCCCGAATAAACATGACAAATAATTTTAAATTCAAATATCTGAAAAATTCGATTTTTAAGATTTTTTTAAATAGTCTATATCTAAAGAGGAGGCAATGTTACATCGAAGCAGCTTTTTTTAGAAGACAATTTGGTGATTTCTCGAGATATTTCTCGATAAATATGAGAAGTAAGGACCGATTCGCTAACTACATTGTTTTGCTTCCTCATAGAGGAAGCTCTGTGATAGGCTCGAAAACGAGATTTTGAACCAGACCTCGTAGGACAATTTGGTTTATATATTTTATAACAAACGTCTGTGTGTGTGTGTGTGTGTGTGTGTTTTTTTTTTTTTTTTTTTTTTTTTTTTTTTTTTTTTTTTTTTTTTTTTTTTTTTTTTTTTTTTTTTTTTTTTTTTTTTTTTTTTTTTTTTTTTTTTTTTTTTTTTTTTTTTTTTTTTTTTTTTTTTTTTTTTTTTTTTTTTTTTTTTTTTTTTTTTTTTTTTTTTTTTTTTTTTTTTTTTTTTTTTTTTTTTTTTTTTTTTTTTTTTTTTTTTTTTTTTTTTTTTTTTTTTTTTTTTTTTTTTTTTTTTTTTTTTTTTTTTTTTTTTTTTTTTTTTTTTTTTTTTTTTTTTTTTTTTTTTTTTTTTTTTTTTTTTTTTTTTTTTTTTTTTTTTTTTTTTTTTTTTTTTTTTTTTTTTTTTTTTTTTTTTTTTTTTTTTTTTTTTTTTTTTTTTTTTTTTTTTTTTTTTTTTTTTTTTTTTTTTTTTTTTTTTTTTTTTTTTTTTTTTTTTTTTTTTTTTTTTTTTTTTTTTTTTTTTTTTTTTTTTTTTTTTTTTTTTTTTTTTTTTTTTTTTTTTTTTTTTTTTTTTTTTTTTTTTTTTTTTTTTTTTTTTTTTTTTTTTTTTTTTTTTTTTTTTTTTTTTTTTTTTTTTTTTTTTTTTTTTTTTTTTTTTTTTTTTTTTTTTTTTTTTTTTTTTTTTTTTTTTTTTTTTTTTTTTTTTTTTTTTTTTTTTTTTTTTTTTTTTTTTTTTTTTTTTTTTTTTTTTTTTTTTTTTTTTTTTTTCTACTCCACCCCATTCGGACACTCACCGGTATCCGCCGTTAGGCATTGCTTCGGTGAGGCCGGGGTTAGTTGAGCATTTCTGCTACTCCTGTTAGTCGTTGTTTTCCATACATCCCCCATCCGTCGCATAGTGATATGCGACGATTAGGGGTTCAGGGACTCATCTTTATCTTCTTGGTGAACCTCCGATCCTGCACGATGCCGTCGGCGATTGTCGTATCCCCTTTTTCAGAGCCGTCTGCGTGGTCACGCATTGCTGGCATCTCCTCCTGAGTTGGGCCTCTCTTCTTAGGACTCGCTGTCAAGTGCCATCTTGTGAGTGTGGTTCTCGCTTCTGCAGCCGATGGCAAGTCCGCCGCTTTGCTCTGTCGGCTACATCTTGTGAGTGTGGTTCTCGCTTTCCGGCGCTACCCTGTGAGTGCTCCTCCTTTTTCTGTTGTCGTCTTGTGAGTGTGGTTCACGCTTCAGGCGCCATCTGTGCTCCAGCAGAGCCTTGGCTCTCACATCCGGCGCCCTCTTGTGTGTGTGGTTCTCGCTTCCGACTTCATCATGGGAGTGGTGTGCTCCATCTATTGCCAGCCTTGTGAGTCCTCGCCTCGGGCTCCTACTTATGGTTTTCCTATCGCTTCCAGCTCGCACAGTGATCGGGGTTTTTTACCGCTTCGGAGGCTGATGACATAGCCCGGGTCTTCTTTTTGAGTGGTACCCGCTCCACCTCAGGCACAGGCTCGACCACACCAGGCGAAAAAACGAACCTCGAAAATTCGTCCGGTGGGGATCGAACCCACGCCCTACGGCGTACCTTGTATCAGCAGGCAAGAACTATACCCACTGAGCCAAGGAGGCCGATTTTGTGTGTGTGTGTGTGTGTGTGTGTGTGTACGTCTGGTGGTCTGGAACCAGTGTAACTTTTGAACGGAGACACGCAGCGCGAAGTTCTTCGGCTTGTTTTGAAGGATTTGTGTTTCGTAAGAAGCGTCATTATTTTAGGATCCACCGAGTAGTTAAAGAGTTATGCTTCATTGTATAGGGATGAAAAATGGTTTTTTTGAAAAAAATTTTTTTTCGATTTTTTTTCATGTATAAATGAAGGAATTTTTATATTTTTTTTACGGTAGAATGGAAGCAGAGCAGTCAAACTTGAATTTAAGACAAAAAAAAAATAGAAATTCACCGAATATTTTTAAAATTAACGACGAGTTTTTATTTTCTCGGCCTTTTGGCTAACATAGAAATGTCCTGATGGTCCTGATGGTCCTGATGGTCGTGATCTACTGGTAGTTAGGACACCAGACAGTGAATCAAAATTTAAAAATACGAATTTTCACGTTAATTACCGATGCCTTTTATTAATATTATTTTTTATGAGGAAGCTCTTTGCCAATAAATTGGCAGCGGTTTTTATTATGTTATAAACATCAATGATTTCACTTTTTCGATCGATCTAGTTAAGAATTTGGCGATTTTGCCTAATAATACTGCGTCGGTCCGCACATCGCCTCGTCGCATCAGGCCACTAGTGTACTACAACACCAAGCGCACCGGAGCTCTCACCAAACCATTCACCCACACCGCATCACGCATTTTTTTCCACTCTTCCGTTCGAAATCACCCTTGCTAACCCCGCCTCATCATATAAAAAACTCATCTTCAATCATCTTTTCGCACTCGACAAGAACGACTGGCAAGCCCGCTGTACCACTGAAAATCTCACCCTCATTCCACCCTCACTCACCAACATACTGTCCTTCACTCCGTCATGAAACAAAATCTCTTATCACCTCGCCTCATCAAAAACAATGCATGTGCATAAATGAAAACCATCGCACCTACTATACTGTACTACTCTACTGTACTATGTCTATGTATATACTATCACTACTGCACCTATATCTCACAAACTGTTCTCTGCTTGTAAAATATTTTTGCTATGCAACTTTTGTAAATAATGCTTCATACTGGGCCACATGGGGTTCTACCCCACGGTCCGTCTTCAAATAAAACTTCAATTCAATTCAATTCAATTCGGTGCAGCGCTGTATAATTTACGTGAAATGGTTTTATTGTATCAGATGAAAATCAAAGCTGAGAAGTTTTTGAAATTATATGCTCTCGAATGTTTTTTTTAATCACCAATACAATAATGTAACTATTAATTGTTCTAAAAGGATATAAACTATAGCATCAAATTGTGGTAAATTAATTATATTAATAATATAAGATGTTAATAAAGTTACAAATAAGAAAATGATTGAGTTACCGTGGTGAGAAGATGCACTGCTTTGGCTTGGTGGTCTTGGAGAGTGTGGATTATAATCAGTAGATGAAGCAGCAGTGGAATTACCAGTATAACTATTTTGAAAATTAGCAAAAGCATCCAGAGAAGAGTTTGAGTTACCAGCTGGGTACGAATCTTGAGAATTTGAAGATCCTAAAACGAAGATATAAAAAGGTTTGAAAAAAGGAAGATAAAAATAATAAAAAGTATTTAATTTCGTAAATTACTTACCAGGTGATGGAATTGAAGAAGTTGTTTTTGAACCTTTCTTTTTAGTGCCAGCTTCAACTTGATTAATTATAGGCTGCGGATCAACACCTCCGCGATCAAAGTGGCATTCATAAGCGAGTAGATGTTTGGTGTAATGTTTTCGCAACGTATAAGCGGCGCTGCTGCTTGCACCTATTCCCAAGAGACCTGCTATATCTTTCCATGTTTTATTTTTCGTTACCTTAAAGTAAAATAGTTTACTTAATGACAATTCATCTGTATTGCAAACAAAAATTTTTTTTCAAAATAATACTTTTATTTATAATCAAGTTAGTAGAGCTTTTTTAAACAATTAAGGTAGTTGGATAATCATCATAACAATAGTACACTTTAGAATAGTTTCGGCATTCGCAACCTTTAAGCGGGTTAGGAGGCGAACATAAGCCAAAATACCATGATTTTATACTTTGATCGTTAAGTACTTCTTTAGAAAGCACGAATACCTATATTTTTAATGCACCAATCGAAAGGTGATGACTTTATTTTTCTAATGGATAGTTTTTTATTCCCCTCGTAACATAATTGAGCAAGTTATAGTAATTTCATGCTCAAATTGACAGCCTCCCATGATAGCCGTGTTAAAATATCAATTTTCGGATTGAAAATCCGGGAAAACTAGCATGATGACCTGGACTGAAATTTTAAGGGTTAATCGGGGATGACTTAATGAACAACCATCCAAAGTTTCAGCCCGATCGTAACACATCCAACCACCTTAAAAGACTAATTCATTGGATAAAAATGTTTTTAAATTTTATTTTTTTAACACAGTTCTGGTTTACAAGCATTAGGAATAAGAATTATTTACGGGTAAAGTTTGAAAAACTGCTTCGTAACCCAAAATCATCACTTAGAGGATAGGGGATATATGGCTAAAATAGATAAATGATGAACTAAGTGCTTAAGAAAAGGCATAGACCCGTAGCAATGTTTAGCAAAATTTCTGAGGGGATGCCTGGTTGTAGAATCATATACTCAGATACCCGAACAAGAGGTAAAAACTAGCGGCAAAGTGGCGATTTTTAGGTTGGGGTACTATAAATAACTTATTCTAATGAACCTTTAACAAAACTCTAAAAATTCGGAAGAAAAATGCATTCGAAATTTCGGGGAATATTTTTAAAACTGACATTGTGTGCAGTCTAAGGTAAATTTTCATCCGTTGGTGAATACTATGTTTTAAATTCGAAAATGTTTACTACTCTTTGAAACCTTTATTATTTAATATTATAGAATCACGAGATGTCTTAAAAAAGGATTGAAATTGAGAACAACCAGGTAAAAAAGAAGGAAATGGTCTCTAATTGTACTTATCAATATCTAGACAAGATAATCTAATACTATTATAAACATATAATGCAAAAAATTAATAAATTGAAACTAGAAAAACGGACTCTCTTTTCATGGGGGTTCTTTACATCATTTTAAAATCATTTAGAAATAAATAAAGTTTTTTATTACCTTACACACTTCTATGAAACCACCTCTTTCTTTAACGTAAATATACAAGCGGAACAAATCTAAAGGATTCTTAGATATAGTTGGGCAGCTTGTAATAGGTGTTCGGCGTTCTTCCATGAAACTGATTAGTTTATCGAGCCAGGCTCGGCGTTCAACTGAATCATCCATCTCATAAAGTTTTGATAAACTATCTGCTTTCTGAAAAATTAATAAAAAATTTAAAATGATAAAACACAATGCCAATCATGAGTGGTAAATTATTTTTTATTTACTAGTTATTATCTTAAACACGATTAAATCATGAAATTGATACACAGTGCATTTTAAGACATTGAAAATAACTTGCAATGTATGACGAATAAAAGCAATAGTATGACGAAAAATGTCTTTTTTCTAACATTTGTTAGTGCGCAAAAAGCGTTTTTGGACACTTGTGTGCGGTAAAATGCCTCATTTTGGACACGGGTGTGCGGTAAAACGCCTCATTTAAATGAAAGTATTTTTCGCTTACTATTGCATAAAATTTTGTATGCAACGCGTGCCCAGCTTTTAGCGCACAGTGCCATCGAAAAGTGTCCCCTTAACACGAGTATCTTACTTCATTTTATAGCACTGTGCCAAGATCACATTTATGACACGCTTTTCGGCGGCATAAGTCGCACTTTACGACACCGCATCGTTCGCATCACACTCCCTGCCCTCGAGCTCTAAACTACACCGTGCCGTACAGTGTTACTTACAGCCCTTGTATTGTAAAGAAAAAATAGCATGGTTTTAAAGAAAATAGTCACTGTGATATTTAGACCTGCACTTATTCATTTGAGTGCACGTAAAGTAAATATTTATTGCAGATAATTAGGAAAATATCAAAAGAGTACAGGCATTTATCGCTATTAAGGGTTGCTGATCCTATAAGACACAAAGTATTGAGAGGGGACAAACTGGTGTTTCCAGTTGCAGTTTAAAAATGGTTCAAATAATCCAAAAATTTAAAACTTTTTTTTATGATCCCAAAATATGTTCATACTACATCTGAATAGCCAAGAAAAACTCTTTCCTAATATCCAAGTTGTGTTATTTTTTTTAATAATACTTCACATTGTGATATGAATTGACAAGTTAAATGGTTCTAATATGATTTATTGAATAATTTTATTCTGTGAGGTCTCTAAATCGTTGAAAAATTACCCACTTTTACTAAAATGGAGCAGAATTTGGATATACATTTGTGCTTCTCTTCCAAGTGTCTTAACAAGTATTTAGTAATTATAAAATATTGGCCCTCTAGGAACATACATTGGAAAAGCCTCTACACGCTAGGACGAACCTGCAGAGCCAAGGGACCCGTGTGACCCGACAGGGTGCGTAGAGCAAGGACTTTTTTAGATTAACTGAAAATCAGTTGTTAAATTATATACCATGGTCATGGACATGTTTTTTCTGCAGAAAGCCACTTAATAGTACTTTACGATACTAGTGGCATAAGTAACACTTTTTGGCACGACGTAGTTTAGGGCCCGAGCGCAGCGAGGATTACATTATTTAATTGGAGAATTTAAAATATTAAATATTAAAAAGAATTTAATAAAGTTGTTATTTTTCATAAGATTCCGTCATTCACTAGACACGTCGCGTAGAGAACGCAATTGTAAGTAGAACAGCTACACTCGCTTGAGCCTTCTTAAAGTATTTAAGTCAGGTATACATTAGTGTGATCATGAAATGAAGTATTTCAATAAGTTCCATTCAAATAATTTTTACTTATATTAAAGTACTTCAATCATATTAGATTACCTTAGATCGGTATGGGTCCTGAGTAACATGGCTGCTGTACATCTGAAATAAAAAATAAAAGTATCATTATGTGGATGTAGTAATAATAACACTTACTACATTATTTATGGTTAAACTATAGAGTCCGCTTATTGTAATCACAATGGGATCAATCGTTTTGATTTCTATAACCGGCTAATCTATTTGAGCGAAGGTTAACATTTCGTCAAAATGTAATGAAAATAAATAAAAAACGATATTTTTTCTCTAAAGTAATCGAGAAAACCATCTGTGACTTTCAAATTTCACAGTTATTTATCAAGATTTTTAAGGAATAATTCACAATATTACACGGTTAGTTTTGAGCCATCGCGTATGATACAGCATTGCTATGAATTTGGAGCGCAGCACACGATGAGCATATCCCCGCAGAACACACTTCAGGTAAAATTGCAAAAAATTAATTGTGTGATCACATTGAATGTTTCAGTGAATTTTTTTTTAATTCTTTAAAAAAAATTACAGTTTGGTAGCAGAGTATTCAAGGATTCTGAAAAAATGTATTTCTATGCAATTCATCTATAATAGTTTTGGATTAATAGACTTCTTAAACTAAGATTTTTTCAAATTGATATTGAGTGAAGATTGAGGGATTCTCATAATTTCGTGGCAACACTGCTCACTAATTTCTTTTTCAGATTCTCATGTCAAACCTTTAATGACTGAAATAATTATTTTTGGTTTTAATTCATTATTTTCTAATGTGATCTATAAACAACAGTTTATACCTTCAAGATTTATCAATAGTAAACGCATTTTTTAACAATGAAAAATATTGCTTTATGGAACTTTAGAGAAAGTATTCTCAAAAATGACGGATTTATAGCCGCCTATAGGCTTTTTACGACATACCATACATATTGAAAAGGAATTTGGCAATAAATATTATTATTATACATTTAGACCCGATTGACAAACTATATTTTAACTCATTAACGCCGAGACGGACAGAATTTTTTTCTCTATTGTAGTCTGCAATTAAATCATCTTATCGGAACGAGAAAAATTTTTGAGTACTCATTATCTATGTAAAATTTAATGTACTTTTTGAATATGGGTTTATAATTAACCTCTGATAAATATTAAAAAAGTTATAAACAATTTACTGCGAAAAAACACGATTTTGAAGCTCGAAAAACAACTTTGATTCAAATTTTTTTTATGAAAGAGACTTGAACTGTAACCAATAATACCTAAAATTGTGGAAGTCCTAACTTTTTCGTTTGTGTACAATTTATTTAATAAAATTTGAGTTAAGTAAAGGGTTGAATTATCATCGTTTGATGTGTTCGACTCTTGATTAAGATAAAATATATATAAAATCGTGAGTTTTCCAAGAGGATGCCAAAGTAGCATCTAGCTATCGCGATTTAAAAAACAACTTGTATCAACAGCATTGGTAAAATATACTTGTTGACAGGTTGATGCAAGGAGGTACCGCGTCCATTGCCGTATTATTTAATAAATGAAAAAAAAAAGTGGAATAATGACCTACAGTTTAAAGTACTGTAGGTGGGATTTGAATTTTCAATAACTTTTTTTTCTAATGTTGCTCGTTGGCGAACAAAAAAGTACATTTTTTGGAACATTTTTTGGTAAATTTCTTGGGAAAAGTGTATTTTTTGGAGTCTACCATTTTGAATATTCAAATTCCACCTAAAGTATTTTAAACTATAGGTCATTACTAGAAATCTATCTGCGCGCTACGCGCGCATGGAACTCTTATGAGTATGTAATTTAATATATGGAAGTATTTTGAAAATAATAATCAAGATATTATTAACTACAGAGGGCGTATATAGATGACACTAAAATATTTCTTGTACTTACATGAAGTTGGCTTTAAGAGGGTTCAATTCGATCTATAATCGCAATGGCTCTTTTATATATTAGATTAGATTAGATTCTACAATTTTAGGTATTATTGGACACAGTTCAAGTCTCTTTCATAAAAAAAATTTGAATCAAAGTTTTTTTTCAAGATTCAAAATCGTGTTTTTTCGCAGTAAATTGTTTATAACTTTTTTAATATTTATCAGAGATTAATTATAAACCCATATTCAAAAAGTACATTAAAATTACATAGAACATGAGTACTCAAAAATTTTTCTCGCGCCGATAAGATGATTTAATTGCAGACTACAATAGAGAAAAAAATTCTGTCCGTCTCGGCTTAATGGGTTAAGAACGAGTCTCTCAAACATTTATTTATTTTCAATTATATTAAGGAGGCTCGATCGAAAACTTAATTCATTTACCATCCTCGTGAAATTTTAACACATGATAGTTATTGTGGTAACAAATTCATTGATAAAAAAAAAATTAGGAAAAAGGCTCACGGAAATAGCTGTATCTCAGTACAGAATCAACATTTTGTAATTTTGAATAATGCAGTGGAAAGGGGAGGAAATATCCTACTCAAAATTTCAATAAAAAAATTTTAAGCTTAAGGTGTATATAAGCCCGGATGAAGCCCGAAAAAATTATTTTGTGATTACGGTGAGTGAAAGGAAAGTTTTACAATCTTAATCTTAATAATCTCGACGAAAAGTGAGAGGTTCGCTTCTCGGCCTGATTTTTCATAACATCCAAAATCAATGAATGGATAGAAACTCATTGTTGTTTGATACAAAAAAAGCTTATTTAGACTGTCGTTTGAAAAAATTGTTTATCGTGAAAGTCTCTCAAACGTACTATGTAAGCGCATAATACACGAAAACCACGATCTACCGTTTTTTTATTATGATCAATATTTAACCATCTTAAGGGAGATTTGAAGCCAGCATAAAAATCGAATTGCTATTCTATTTTAGAAAATTCTGCTAAATTTTTTTCTAAAAAGATCTGATACCCTGTATTTTGAAGCTTTGAAAGGTTAACATTGACCAAACATTTGAAAAGAGGGGATTACAAATTTGATTTTAACGATGGCTTCGGCATCTTCCTGATATTAAATTGGTTTTCATGAAGATATAAAATGGAATATAAATATAAAATGGAGTACTTACTGGACTCGCCGGAGGCCTTGGCCAATTCGGATTATGAATATCTGAATACTCTTCGTGCATAGTATTAATACCAGCTGGTGTAGAAGCGACTGTACTTTGAGGTGGGCATGGGTGGTTATGAAACATTATCAAATCTTTCCGAGATTTAGGTGTATAAGGAGATTCTTCAGTAGACACTAAAAAATAAACAACACATTTTTATATTATTTTCTGATATTTCTTAAAATATTTAATTTTCAATGAAATAAACAATTCTAAAAAACCATTTTTATGAAATAAATATAAAAATAGTATAAAATTATTGGGCAATCATTTTCATACGGTCAATATAAATATACCGAATATTTAAGAACTAAATTCTATAAACTTACCGACAGCTGGAGACATCGATCTAGACCCTGTAGAACCTGTTGGAGATGGAGTAGGTCTCATTGTTTGTGAATTAGGAGTTGTTGGGCCAGCTGGACCACTTGAACTATCATTACTATTTTGACCAGATAATTCCTGTATTGTAAAATAGTTGTTTAGTTTATATTACTTCTAATTAGCTTCACATATGCATTCATTGAATCTTACGACACAAAAAGGAGAATTATAAAAACTTATTTAATTTTTTATATCATTGCATGGCTTAAGTTCACATTTAAGGCACGCTTTGTTGTGACTTAAGCTGCTCATTATTGCACCGCGACGCTAGCATGAGCACCTTATGTCTCGCCAAAGGGGGCCTAAACGTGAACTGGGGAGATTACGATATCTGTGGCACCGCAAGATTATGATGAATTCCAACAGAGGACACTAAAACTCGATAAAATTAGATTATAAAATATTTAAACGCTTCACCAGATTACATGTACCACTTTTTGTGCTTTGGATTCACCCCAAATTTACACCATGTTAATTTCATGTAAAGAATACCTATGACATAAATGTTTCCCTTTGATGTGAGAATGGAAGGCGTTAGGTAAGTAAGGTGAGAGGCGAAAAGCGGGTGCAAGGGCGCGGCCCCTGCTGGGGGGTAAGGGGGGGGGGGGGGCGACGCCCCCTCCCACTGCCAAAAAATACCATCATGGACGATAAAAAAGAACATAGTCGAAAATCAATTAATTGAAAATTCAATTTCCATTTTTCAAAATAAGTTTTTACGTCAATTGTAAAATTAAAAAAATTAAAAATCGTTCTCATGAAAATCTGCATCTGATTTTATATATTACGTATCATTTACGTTTATCTACGATTCCCTCAAGACACGATATGTTTATAGGATGTCCTACCACAAAATCCGTTTTCAGGATAACCTAACATTCAATCAAGGCATGATCCATTCATAGGATAATAAAATAAAAATACTGCAACTAGTATGCACAAAAAAAGGTTTTAGCGTCCCCTGTTGGAATTGATCATAACAACGCGGTGCCACGGATATCGAAATCGTGTCCGTGAACTTATAGTGCTATAATAGTATAATATAACATGTGTATAATGTACTGTTTTGTAGCACTTTGCAAAATTCACATTTATGCCCCCTTTTCCGAGTTATAAGTCGCACTTTCTGGTACCGTGGAGTGAGGTTAGCACACGAGCGCAGCGAGTGTGACAGGAACGACGCGGTGCCAGAATGTGCGACTTACATCACAGAAAAGCGCGTCATAAATGTGAACTTATTTTTTTATGCAGTGCTATAAAAAAGTATACGATACTTGTGACTCAAGTAGCCTATTCTGAACATGGACCTAGCACCCTCGCTAAGCTTGGGCGATAACTAAGTTAGGCCAGTTAGACAAAGAACGCAATAACCAAATCATAATAGAAAAAAAAATTGAAATTAATTTACACAATCGATCTAATAATCGATTTCTTTTTTACAAAATTTTTTTTTAAATTAATCACAAATGCAAAGTAAAAATATACAAGGTCACTTTTTCTTTACGAATCTATCAGAATTGGGATCTTTTCCAAGGAAAGTACTTAAATGGCATCTTGAATTGTCTGAGTTAAAAGCGAATCGACTGTAAAATGGATAATCATGAGAAAAAGGTTTGAAATGGTTTATTTTTATTTGTTACGATATTTTTTAGCATCGAAGGTTTGCCGAAGTAGTGATATCCGATACAAGTTCCATAAGAAAAACTTTTTGCATGCCATATTTTGGGCCTGAGCGCAACGAGGATCTTAATAGCTGGTCCAAAAAGTGTCCTCTATCGTACGAGTATTGTACGCGATTTTTCCGATTCATAAGTTACAATTTCTGGCATCGCCAAAAGAGCGCTAATAACGAGGTATATGCGAATAGATCTTGGCAATGGAGGCATAAATGTGAACTTAGCACAGTGCTATTAAATTACATACAACGATCGTGCCTAAAAAGACACTTTCTGGTGTGGCTATTTGGATATTCGCTGCACTCGTGTCCTACATCGCGCTGGGCCATGAAGTATTACTTATGGTACTATTATTGTGAAGTATTATTATTTTCGAATACTTTATCCACAATAATAGAAGTATACATCAGTTCTATCAAGTCCTTGGAATATACAATTTTCCGGGTACGTTTAAACTAGACTATCAAGTAATATGTTTTTCAGTATTCATTTGAGGTAGGGGTGTATATATTATGAAAATCTACATTTTTAGTGCTCAATCGTTAAAAAACGAAACTACTGCATAAATTTCAAGTGTTATAACAGAGTAATGTATACATCAATATCGATGTTAAATTATCAATGAAAAATTGAAAATTTTTAACCTGTTGTTGACTGGATGGCTGGGGAGATGATGGTGGCGGAGCTGGTGATCGAGACATGGATCGTTGAGGAGAATTAGAAGTTGATGCTATAGAATTAGCCATAGGCCCCTGTATACTTGGGTTACTTCCTTGGTTCCAAGTTCTTTGCTCTTGAAACAAGTTTGTAGAAGGTCCAGAGTTTAAATTGTACGTGTTAACCTAAAAATATATATAAATTAGGCATCGTATGATTTATCTTTAATTGAAAATAGTTTATTTACGAAGTATATTTGAATGATGTATTGTATACTATCAAACGTTAAGAAATTAAGAAAATTGTCTGGTAAAATTTTGAAAAATTTTCATAAATTAAAACTAAAAAAGGAAACGAAATTCTATCCATGTTGAAAACAAAACTTCCGATTGTAATAAGTGCAATACAAAATCGATGAAATTTATTCCGAAGTTGTAAGTTATCTTCACCAAAAGATAAATAGAAATATTGAAGAGCTTGAGAAAATTTCAATTAGGATATAAAAAAAAAATATGTGAATTTCTTTGTCAACTTGAACCTTTTGGTCAGCAATTAAAGAAGGCAAGTTCCTAATCTCTGAGACATTTTTACGCTTGAAAAAATTAAGAGGGCAAGATATTGTCACGTCTCATTAATTCAATCTCCGTTGCATCAATTGGTTAGACCGGGTGGCAGTGACGTAGCTGGTAATTAGCTATTTAAAATATACAACAGGTTTAATGTGAGTTATACCGACGAGTTGGGTTCCTCACATTTTTACGTGGCATACAGATATGGCTGTTTCAATGAGGTCGACAAGTTTCTTGAGTTTGGGCAGGATTCCAATTGCCTCGAAGATAGGCAAGGGTTCGCTGCTCCACATTTCTCTGAGGTAAGAAAAGGGAAGTCAAATCACTGCTAAGAAACGGTGTTACCCGAATTTGGCCGATGCAGAAGGGATGACACCTCAGCACATTATTTGTCAGAGATACGAGAATAATGGTTTGATGGATAAGAAATGTTGTACACCGCTATGAGTGGCTCTGTCTTGTAGCCACATACGCCACTTTTCATTTTTTAAGAGCACGAATCCAAATTTAGTCAATGCGGAGGGATCTAAACTCCTCTGTACATTATTTTCCAGATATACCAGTACGATGACTAGCAGTTATTCTTCAAGATGTGCAAAGGTAAACAAATGACGTTGCAAGTTCATGCCCGAGAGAATTGTGGTCGAACACCGCTGCATTGGGTCGGATGTTGTCTATGTATTTTAAAATCGTGTTGCTAATTTGTCTAACGTCGTTTTCTCCACTGAGAGTCACTTTAACGGGCACATTAAATCATACATGTGTAAGGTATTAAGAAAAAAGTAATGTAATTGGGATTTCATATGTACGTTTTTTACTATAAAAAAAATTCAATTTCGATTTATATGGCTATTTTTGAATTTCAGCTTGAAACAGTCGTCTGTCTCGTTAAGGGTGCACATTTTCCATTTTATTTAAACCCGAGCATTGGATACAAATAAGCTACCTATTGTGAAATTCCAAAGGTTTACATTAATCAATTGGGTTATAAGTAGTCTTATTTTGTTCGACAGACCTTGTTGAAAAATTAATACCATGCATAAAAAATGGATCAAGTAAAAGTAAGTATTAAATATGTATCAAGTTCTTCGTTTTTACATGTGTTTTTAAAAAAAAAATCAATGAAACTATAATCCTTTATTTCATTTATTTTTCTGATAAAAAATTCAAAGGTGATATTTAAAACTAACCTGGTGATGACTATACGGCGCATGTGGTCTAATTGGAGCAGAAAAGCGTTGATTAAATCCTGGATAAGATGACGAAGTAGGTGAACTGGTAACACCCTGATTATGCAACCTCGGCGAGCTCTGTTTCAACAAAAAATTTAAATAAAATAAAGATATCGAAAAGAATTTTGTTTTAAAATAGAAAACTTAATCGGTAGTGTAAAACAAAATTCTTATATTTTGTTCAAAAATACATATTGATTTGATTTAAAACCTCAAGTGCCTGACATATGATGACTGATCTAAAACTAGGGGCGCCACGGGTCTAACTTATAAAAAAGAGATGGACCTAAAAGTGAAGCCAATCTATTCGGCCTCTGATTGGTCGACTGACTTTTGACTCGAGTCGAAACGTAATAAAGTGACATCTACGGTCAAAATAGCAACTTTTTCGAAACTGACTGAAAGATGTACGCGCGCGAAGCGCGCCTGAAAGTCTTTATAACCTCAAAAAACGAGTGAAAAAATTAACACGCGCGGAGCGCGTTTGAAACATACTAGTAACGTAAATAGCCAATGTCCAATAAGGGTTACCGACATAATATTTCCGCGCGATACAATCTCCGCAACAAAATCTCCGGTGACAAAATCTCTGGAGTCAAAATATCACAAAATAACCCAAAATAACCCAAAATAACCCAGTAAAGCAATAAAATAATATTTATGGATACCTAAAAAACATTAAAAAATTTTAAAAAATGCGGCGGTGTTTGGTGTCGCCGGAGATTTTGTCAGCGAATATTTTGTCGCACTCCCGTAAAACATTATATAAGCACAAATAGTCTATACTAATAGAAAGGGAGATGAGCAGTACATTGATAGAATTATAGTACTGATATAAGTTTGTCAAACACAGCGGAACACTGCTGCAGTACACAAACAACAGAAGCAGTGAGTGGCGGCAGCCGTTGCGGTGGTTGAAACTTAGAGCGCACTGAAAAACGGCCACGAATGTGAAGTAAGTTTACAGTTTGAACGGCTCTAATTGAGTTTGTAAATAAAAATAATAAATTATATTTTTGTATAATGAATTTTAATTTTAACTTAAAACATAAGGTATGAAAATTAAAAATATGATGATGCGTTTGCTCGCACAACTATCAATTTCATATCATCTAAGATCCATGATATCTTATAATTGTTACTAAAAATTACAGGAATAATTTGAATGAAACGGATTCAAGGCTCAAATTATTAATTAAGATATCACTGAAACGTAAAAAGAAAGGTGGTACGCTACTCTTAAGAGAGAAAAAACTAAAGTTGAGTTTAAAATTCTAGGATTCTGCTTCGCCGGTTTTTTGAAAAATCGAGCTAGCTCAGGAATTATTAAATAAATTTTGAGTTTAAAAAACGCATCGTACAAAATCAGCGATGCTTGCGAATTTTTAAAATCTGAAAGTGACGTTGGAAAGGTGAGACAAAAACCTATCAGAAAAACGAATGCAATTTTTTTCATAAGTGATTGTACTCGGCCGTTTCTTAGAAGAAACAAATAAACTTATTCGGTTTTTCGTTTTTTAATAAAAACTGGCGATCGAAAAGTCATTTTTTTGTATGCAAATAATTTTAAAGTATACAATAATGTGTACCATTTGATTTGTCAGAAAAAATCCTAAATTTTGGCAGTATCAAAAAATTTTTAGATTTTTTTCTGTTCATTTGCTGTACCTTCGAAAATGAATTTTGCGCAATTCACGAAAAGAAAATATCGAAAAAGTGCATATTTTGCAATTTTATCGCATTCCTAGGTCAAAACTAACTACGGCGATCGATTCTGCACATAAAATTACGTAAGATAACGTCTTGTCAATGTAGATTTTACTTTAGAGCAAAGTTAGAAATCTATAATATGTCTATCGAGACCGGTTCCCGTCACTTTTCGGACTTCGTAGGTATGTAAAGACTTATACATTAAGAATTTGCAAGTATCCAGGCGATACTTAAATATCGATGCCAAAGTGGTCCGGTCTAAGGGGTTTTAACACAACAGCATCCGTGTTATAAGTGCACTAACTGAACCCCTACTTTAATGACTGGATTACCGAGGTAGTATGAGTAGCCTCCTTTTTTCGGATGTTCAAATGCTAGTGCTGATAAGAAGCGGCCACCGCCCACGCTTAGTCTGGACCGGGTAAAACGACATCGATGACGCACCGCTATGTGCGGATAAGTTTGCGAAGATCGGAGATTTCTAGGAAGAAGTGGACGGAAGACCGGAGGCAATTGCACGACTGGAGCAATTTTTCTGTCCCTGTCATTCTTCGTTATGAAAATATTATACCTATTGTCGATTTTATGATATTGGTAGAATTTTCTGTAGACAGATTTGAAATAAAAATTTGATGTTTGTAATTGAGCAAAAGAAAAAAAATTAGCCAGACAAACAGCCGAAAAAAGATTTTGCTTTACTTTCAGATATTCAATCATGAGCCTATATTTACTTTTTTAGTGTTGATGGTATAACTGATGGCTAAGGCAGAAGTTATACGAAAATAGGCTTATTTGGTGACTTTTTGCTTTTTCGCCTTTTATTGACGTTTCTTGGATATTTTTTGATATTCTCAGAGTTTTTCCGGACGTTAGCCTTTAAGGCTCATTACGAAAATGTAGAAGAACACATTCTGAGGACTGTGTGAATCATTTGGAAAATGTCCAGCAAAAAAGCTCTCTAGTAGTTTTTACCCTATGTCATTCTAGGAATTTATGAGATATTTATAATTAGCATGAATTTCTTAGCCAAAATTGCCAAGAAACTCTTATCTGAATTGGCCATTTTGTTTTATGTCATTTGATTTGTATTTTTAATGTTTTAATTCCAAAGTAAGAAAGTTATTTCCGAATATGATAAAGGAGAGCATAAATGTTTTATCATTTAGGGTCAATTGCTGCAATTGGTCAAAAATTTCTATACCTTATAGCATACAAAGTAATTGTACAACTAACAAGTAATGACTTTAATGTCAATTTAAGTAATGACTTAATTATACAAAATTAAAAATGCAGCAAGATATTCAAAAACAGGCTGAATTAATTACTAGTTCATTATTAAACGGAGAAAGAATTTAAAAAAAATCTGGTTCATTTTTCTTTCTCTCGCTGTATCTTGTGAAAATCTTATTTTCACACTCTAGAAAATAGCTATTCAGATGGGAAATATCCTGCTTTTTTAAATCTTAAATACTTACAAAATGCTAACAACGAAGTTATGAGCTAAAGTTAAGCCTCCTTTGAGCTCTTAATTAATGTAAAAGTGGATTAAATTAAATGTTCAAATAGTTGTGTACTATCATATTAGGTAAGACAATAATTTACTTATAAATTTATGTAGCAGATAACATTAAAATAAATTCTAATAAGTAGGTAGTGCAGCAAATTATTAGCAATTTGAACTTGAGGGTACTCAGTAATCTAGAATCCATTCTATCTCTCATTTTATGTTCATAATAAAAATTATTAATTTTATATGTCTGAGGACCATTTATATTCACTTAAATAATTAGTTTTAGTGTTTTTACAATTAATTAATGGTAGAAAAGCAAGATTCTATTGCCAAATATATATATATATATATATATATATAAAAAAAAAATAGACCATTTAACACGTTCAAACCCAACTAATAATGATTGAAATTTTCATTTTAAGCTTAAATTATTAATTAAGGATTCAGTCAACAATTAAGAACAAAATAAATTATTAAAAGACAAAACATACATGTTTCAGGTTATTCAATAAGTATTATCAAAAGCAGAATTTGCCAAGTATACATCTTGACAAATAATGAATTTGGTAAAAGAGGGTGTTTATTTGTTGTGTAAAACAACTCATAATATTGTGTTAGTATATGCTACACATATACATACATGGATTATTCTAATTCCTAATAAATTCTTCATTACAGAGGAAAAAAACATTTATTCTAGGGGTTTTAATGATGTTTTCCTAACAATAGATTTTAATATTAAAAATAAAATAATGTTTATTATCATGATTTAAGAAATCTTGTTATAATTTTAAAAAGTAGTTGGTATTAAAACTTTTAATAGACATTATTTCATTTATGTCATGACATTGAAAACAAATCTATCATAATTAAACTGTTAATAATTTTTTACATTCTTAACTAAAAATTCATATAGTTAATTATTTATCAAAGTTTGCAGGACAGAAGCAGCCACACATTACACATGTTAAAATTAATATGATCCATTTTAATTTCAATAATAAAGATATCTTAAATCGCAATATCAAACATTATTTGATTGTTAGCATTGAATGTCATAATGTTTTATCCACTAATTTTTTAAAATAAATGTTTCACATCAAAAATTCTACCATGATTTGAGTCTTTGGGTTATTTTTGTTATCAAAGTCATACTTTTTAGTATTTGGTTAACAAAAGTTTAAGTAAGACAGTATATACTTAGCTAATTTTTGAGAACATAAATCAATTGCTTATGTTTGGTTTTAAAAATCAAGTTATTTTCTTTTTAAAATTTATTTCAAACAAGTAAATTTAAAGCTATTGATATTTTCATTAGACTGAGTATATATAAATTAATATTTTATTATTAATAATATAAATTTGTACCGTTTGAGGTGGTCTCTGACAAGGTTGAGAGTATAAAGACGATACTGTTGTGGGTCTTTGAACAGCCCATGGTTGCTGATAAGATTCTGGACCCAGAGTTGATGAATAGTTACTATGAATTCTGTGAACAGGACTCGATGACTGTAATAACTGATTCAATGTAGGTGTTGGTCCAGGGGTTTGGGCCATACCCTGTCCTGGTATCATCCTTGACTGTCCAGGAAAAGGTAAAGGAACAGAAGGATGCCCATGTCTAGGTTCCATCTTAGGAATATTATAATTTTCCTCTATATCATTGTTTCGAGTTCTGTCATTTTCAGATAATTGTCGATTATGAAATGATTCAGTTGATTTATTAACTGCATACTCTGACGGTTTTTTATTGAATTCATTATTTTTTGAAACATATTCTTCTGAATATTCTGTATGTATTTGATTGGAAAATGAGTTATTAGACCTAATGGGTAAATCTTGAGAATCTGGTTTGTCAATAATATCTTGTTGTGGTGTGCCAGGATTTTGGTGAATATCTCTTGAAGATTGTACATCACATGATGGATTAACATTCACATCTTCAGCATGAAACTGACTCATGGTGAAATAAATTCACACCAATGAATAAAGTCAATTTCAAAATCAAGTATGATGGAAAAACTGTATAAAATATTTCAAATCACTACATAAACAGAGGTAATGACTTCTTTGCAGAGTTTGATAAACTTTTTAAGAATTCTACATTAGCTGTCATCAATATGGATTAAAAGTGTTCAGTAAGGAAATAAGGCGTTGAAAACGTATTTTTCTTTATATTTTCTTGCTATATACATTTACATGTACAATGATTAGCTCTTATCAACAGTATAAACTATTTTAATAGCTAAAATGGTTTATATGCAATGATTTATAATCTATCCGCACATTTACTCAATATTAATATTAAAACTTAAGGGTCAAAACACCAATGAGCGTAATGTAATAATAAAGAAATACGTACTTCCATTTTATTTAATACCTTTAATTAAAAAATTCTGAATCAATGATTGACTTATCAAAAATGAAAAATCTTAAGTTGTTTAAGAAACAGTTTTTTTGAACATTAATATTAACTAGGTGTTGGCATTTCAGAAGGTATATTTGAGATCTTTCAAGTCATTCTACAGTTGAAAGGGCGTCATTATGCCTCGGAGCCCCACGCCTAAACATAAGGGACACTCCACATAAAATTTTAGAACACTACCGTCTCATATATCGTCAACTGTATGTACACCGCCAACTAAAGAAACGCATTTTACATCGTGAACGATCTAGATCATCGAAAATTTCTTTAAAATTTTTTATATTGGCATTGCAGTCGATGGCATATGAGGAGTGCTCCTAAACTGGCATTGATTTTGAATAAAAAAATGTATAAAAATAAATACAAATGTACGAAAATGACAAATTAACGACCGTTTTTTATCAAACGTTTCCAACAGCAACGCAACCTTGCCAACTATAAAAGAGCGCCTTTATAAATCAGGTCATAGTATTGCTAGATAAATTAAAGTACAATTGTTAAATGTATGCCTAAAATTGAAAATTAAAAACTGAAAATCTATGTACTTTGTTTAAAATTGTTATTAAATTTCAACTTATTTTGATACATTTTTTTCTGATGTACATAAGTTACTATAGTTACTATAAATTAACGTTATTACTATTATTTAAGTATCATCATGGCTAATATTATTATTATTAATTAGGTAAATATACGCGATAAGATTTTTTCATAACCGATCGTTAGAATAAAATTTATTCTAGTTTAAAATTTTAACTAAAAAAAAATTCATAATTTAATAAAATCATGTTGATTAAATTCCAAAATTTTTTAAATTATAATACAAATTCCAATCATGACGTTACATAAATCTCTTCAAAAATCCTATTCGTGTGCAAAGCTGTGTGAAAAAATAGGCCGCGTAGCGTTCAAGACAGTCAGATTATTAAAGAGCATATTGTGACTGTCCCTTACAAACTTGGTCTACCTTTTTACACAACTCTCTTCGTGTGGTTCGGCGTAAGATTCCACGTTTCATGATAGTCCTTCAGTTCACAAGTTGATCAACCGATGTCGCTTCTCTATTATTGATCCGCAAAAGCCTGATTCCAACTTGTTACTGACGAACAATATAATCAAGTTGCATTTTGCAATCAATCAAGTAATAGTTGTAGACAGAACAAAGTGTGTGAGTGTGGACTTTCTGTGACGAAGTACACATCAATAGTGTTCCATACTTATCGTCAGCTTTCGTGATAAATACTCAATCGAGAGACAAAATAAGTTACATATGATAAGTCAATTTGATTACAGATTGTCATAATCAGTAATTTTATCTTTATCAATCTCATAAAACTTCAGCTCATCAAAAATTACGTATCAATCTCAAACTAAGCAAGTTTGATTCTGAATGTTTTTCGTTTCTATCAAACTCTTAAAAAAGTAGCATAGAAGTCAAGTTGTATATTGTGGTTTTACTTGAAGTAATTTATATTAACATAAAATGGCTGATAACGAGCAAAAAGCTGCCCAGCTAGTTGCAGAAGCTGAAAAAAAATTGAATACTTCAAAGAGTTTTTTCGGTGGTTTGTTTGGGTATGTATTTATATTAATATGCATTTTAAAAAAGTTTTGTACAATATTGTGCCAAAAAATTATTTAATAATCTCTTATGTGTCATAATTTCAAAGTAAACATTTTAAACCTTTCCTCAGAATATGTGGCATATATTTGATATCCTGATTCTAACAATTTATCATTATTTTATTAGTAACTATTAAGTGATTCTTTAATCACTTTGAAATTTCTATACATCATTGCAATATTCAAAAATCAGTTGAAGTAGTTTTAATTAATAATTCATTTTATCAGTTATAGTTTGATTCATTATTTTAGTAGTTAATTTAATCATTGATTTTAAGTGAAACTAACCAGAGTAAATTGGTGGAAAAACTGAGATTTACTGGCAGATTTTTTGCGATTTCTCATGAAAGTTTTTTGAAGAAAATTTACAAAAATTAAAATTGTTCAAATAAATGTGTTTATTGGGTTTTATAAAAAATATATTTAGTTCAAATGTCAGAATATGACTTAAGAAATTTTTATTTTTACTTTGATTAGTATTCGCCGCTAAATAACGTAATCAAAATAGCTTTTTTCAATCAGCATTGCACTGATAAATTGTTATTATAAACTGCTATACTCATCTTGTTAACTTTTTGTTGATTAATAACTGATTAGTTCAACCTAGACTAAGGCAATAATAAACTAAATTCATGGTAGATTATTTGAAGTAAATAGTAAAAAGTATAAAATACATCAAATAGATTTGTTATTTCAATCTACTCATCAACCCTCCATTACTTTTTGTGATATTTTATTTTACTAACAAAAATTTTCCATAAAGCTTAATTTGCTCTACTTATCAAATATCGTAGCTGTTTTTATTAACATATTTTTTTATTACAAAATAAACTTTAAAGTGACAATTGATTACTATTTTATTATTGTGTTAATGCAACTCTAAAAAATTGAACTAATATGTTTAATTAAAATATGAAATACTCAAATATATATCCTAAACTCTTTTCTAGCCAAACGTTTAATCCAGTAATTTTCTCTTACATTACTTAGGTATACTTAGTCTAAAAAATTGATTTTCCAGGTATTTTCTCATGTAAGATACTATTTGGCATCTAAATACTAGTAGCTAAACTAGTGTGTCACAGTCCTTGCAGGCCTAAAAGCTATCCCATTATTAACATATATAGTTTCAGTTTTGTTACTATCACATTATCAGGAAGACATTTTCAAACTCGCATGATAATAGCATTTTAGTATTTTATGCTTGATTATGATTGAATTGTATTTGTAGCATTTTTTTTGTTGTATATTTTAACCTATCCAAAGTCAAAAATACCAGTTGCAAGATGATACCTCTAATATTAATTTTAAGTTCCTTACGATTTAATAATATTCAGAAAGCCTAAAATATATTTCTATATAATAATGATTATGAGAAATTTTAACTTTATGATTGATGAATAATTATTAATGTCTTTTTATTTTATTGAAATAACAGAAATATTTTAATCTTAGCTGAGATTATTTGGGAGTCAAAAAATTAGATTTTCATTCTTGTCTTCTGAAACTTCTGCTAAATGTTCTTTTTAAAAAAACTCACTGGTGACCTTTACTGAAGTGTTTTTAACAGGTCTATCCTCTCAGTCGTTTTTAAAAAATTGATTTTTTTCTTCATGCATTTTCGAAGTGCTTATATACTTTTAATAATCTCCTCCTAAACTTTGGTACAAAAAATATACGTCAGTCCAGATCAGGATTGAGCGTAAGTTACGCAAAATAACGTTTTTCAGTGCCTTGTTGAAGAAATTTTGAAATTGACTGAACCAAATCTCACCAAATTTTTACCAGATACTCGTGATAACTATAGCTATAGCGCCTATAAAGCTTTTTTCGTTTTGTTTTGATCTAAAAAAATGTTAAAGACAAAAACGTTAAAAAAACATGATTTTTAGTAACTTTTCGAAATATTTTTGCAACCAAAAATCGTTCCATTCGCGGTGTGCACGTAGATGGAGGGAATAGCAGCGCTGGCGTCAATTTTAACATGTGCTCTTATGGAAATGACTTCCAAGTATGCCAGCGGCACTCACCGAACTAAATTTTTCCTAATGAGAAATAATATGGGAAATGCTTCCAAAGTGGAAGCGCCACGGTTGATGCACAGGGCCAATATGCGCTATAGTAATAGTCATAAAGAGTGTCCAATGAAAATTTAGTGAAAATAAGTCCTGTAGATTTCGAAATTTCATTTATAGGCTACACCTCTCTTATTTTTTCGACTAGACGTTTCATTCTGAAAAATTCACAGGTATGAATAAAACTTCAGCTTATCACAGAGCTTTCTCTATGAGGAAGCAACAAATTTTTTGTTTAGTTCGAAAGTTTATTTATTGAGTGTATCACTTTCCATATCTATTTTCATAATTTGAGTCACGAAAAAAATTATTAAAATTAACTATTTTTTCGCTCCACCCACAGGGTAAACCCCTTAAGGGCACCATAACGCTCTTTAAAGGAATGTTCAATGGAAGTTTAGTTTTAGTAAATTGGATTAAAATAGTAGTTTTCGATACAAGGGCCATAAGTAACACTTTTTGGCACGGCGTAGTTTAGGGCCCGAGCGGAGCCAGGGTCCTAATAGCTGGGCCGAAAAGTGTCCCCTATGGTCCGAGTATCGAACAACATTTTATAGTACTGTGCATGCCCCCTTTTCCGAGTCATGAGTCGCACTTCTGGTAGCGCGAAGTGAGGTTAGCGCTCGAGCGTATGTGAGTGTGATGGGAACGCAGCGGTGCCAGAATGTGCGACTTATGCCACAGAAAAGCGTGCCATAAATGTGAACCTATTCCACACAGTGCTATAATAGTACTTTATGAAACGGGTACGGATATGCTTTTTCAGCGAAACGAGGGGTTGCAGCACGAGCCGAAGGCGAGGGCTGTAACGAGTTTCGTTGGAAAAGCATATCCATATCAGTTGCATACAATATTTTATGGTACAAAAGCCTAAAAGTAGCGGCGAAGTTGCGATTTTTAGGTTAGCGTGCCATAAATTTTATTTTTGGGCTGACTTCGTTATTCCCTTAAGTTTGAGCAAATATAGTCTCAAAAATTCTATAATTTTCTATTAAATTATTTTGTAAAGTTGTCTCTAATCGAGAGAAAAAATTACTAACGTTTTAGAAAACTTCAATGAAAAAGGAGTTGTTTGGATGGTCATTATATAGAATTTGGATGAACTAACCCCCCTTAATGTTAGTACATGCTTATACTCATTCGAACAAATAACTGATTTTTGTTTAGGTTTAAAATTATAAAGAAAAAACTAGCAATTTTTGCAGTTTTTAACTATAAAAATTCATATCATTAATATCTAACTTTTGAAACCTTGGCAAAGAAATTCCATAAAGCTTTTAAAATTAGGGATATTGCCAACGAGTAAAGGAATCCATTTATAGGGCATTTCACGTCAACTCTCCCAGTGCCGCACAGCGCAGCATTATTAAGTCGAGTCGCTAAATTTGTAACTCGCTGTAAAAGTATCTAAATGCAACTAGAAGAAAAAAGTAACTCACCATTTCGATGGTAGATTACCTCAGTTTTTCGATGGTGAGGTTAGATTTCCCGAAATTTTCTGTTTCACCCGGAAACATTGCTGGAAAAACTTGAAAGTCGCTTATCTCGAAAACTTCATTTTTAAGATTTTTCTAAATAGTCTAGATCGAAAGATCAGGAAATTTCCAATCGATATAGACAATTTCCAGAGAGGCGTTTTTTGATTTTAAAGAAGAAAAAACGTGTCTTTTTCGAGGTTTTTGCATGCCCGGCCGGCGCCGCGCGCGCTAAAACCACGTTTTTTCTTCTTTCTCTCGCTATATCTCGTTAAAATAAAAAAACGCCTCTCTAAAAATTGTTTATATCCATGAGAAATTTCCTGATCTTTCGATCTAGACTATTTGAAAAATCTTAAAAATGAAGTTTTCGAGACAAGCGACTTTCAAGTTCTTCTAGCAATGTTTCCGGGTGAAACGAAAAATTTTGGGAAATCTGACCTCCCCATCGAAAAACTGAGGTAATTTTCCATCGAAATGATGGGTTACTTTTTTCTTCTAGTTGCATTTAGGTACTTTTATAGCGAGTTATAAATTTAGCGATTCGACTAAATAATGCCGCGCTGTACGTCACTGGGAGAGTTGACGTGAAATGCCACTTATGGATTTTCATACTACGGCAATAGTGCGATGCATTAATAAGTAAGATTATAATAGTTTACTGATGTTTTGTGTACTGTTGTTGTGAGAATTGGTGTGGTACTCGTCCACTAATACTGAATGAAAATCTCATTTTTTATCGTATTTAGCGGTCTTTTTTTTTGGCCTTTTCTTCGACTCTCAATCTTATTATGACTGAGTAAGTGAAGGAGGACATCTTTGACCATCTATTTCCTCTCCAAATGAAAAACATATGACATGTATCCTTCCCTGCAGAAGAACAGGCCAGGCATGAGTCATTCATTCTTGGTTCGACATAGATATTGACTAACGCAACCGTAAAACTGTGAGCTATGTGACCAAAAGTTAAGAGAGGTTAAAGTTTATTTCTCCAAATTTCCTCTTAACCCATGTGATAATGTTTGGGATGAGTCAATGCCTTCGCCGACCCTTTGTCAAGCGGTTCCATTGGATCTGCTGATTCTCTGTTTTTTTGTCTTACATTAAAGCTTCGAACGTTTGTCAATGATCATCTCTAGCGGTCATGTGATGGTCACAACATAACAGTTTCGTCATGCTACGAAAATGGACGGGCTTGTCGATGCATTGACGCTGCCTGGTAAAGTTTAAGTTGATTACGCTAAAGTATAGTTTGCGTCCACCACCATGTAAATCATGCATATCCGTTCTGCGGCAGCTCGTCGCCTCTCGGGAAAACGACCAGCCAAGCAGGCGTTGTAAACACCGAAATACCAGATGGTTTATGCCTTCAACGCTAATTTTAGAAATGCTTCTGCAACGCCATCTGTACTTGACGGAATTTCTCTTACTTGATAATAGTGACAGGTGAATGAATTATCTCCTTGTTGGTGTTCATCCTTGCTTCATAATACTTTTTTAACTTCTTAATCTCATTACCCAAACGCTTCAGATCTTCAGTTCATGCGCACACCTAACTTCCATTTACTCAGAAAAATGTTGACTATCTACGTCGATCCACCCGTCTATAAAGGCTGCTGACATAATTTCAATAAATAGAAAAAATTTCTGAAGATATTGCCAGTCAGAAAGCAACGATCTCGAATTTAGAAAATCACTTTGAGCTAGTTCATTTCGTCTAAATCGAGTGTTCCACCCTAAACAAGGTATTAAGGGTACAAAGGTGGCTTGAAATTGAATACATTTTATTCAATCGTAGGAAAGTACTTTTCCTTTTGTTTCGAGGCATTTTTTTAAATTCCAAAATATTCACTTTTTACTAATTTACAACCATTTCTCTGAGTCGTTCGTATACTTTATTTTGCATTTTACGTTTTTCAAAATCCTTCTCCTTTTTCGTAATAAACAAAACAAAACGTTGAAACTACAGCACCAGAGTCGCATAATCTTCTTCAGAACATGAATGCTCATTAGGGTATTCTTTATTTCCCAAGCTAGTTCTTATGTATTCTCCCATAATTTTGTCCAAAGTTTTCACCACAAAAACAAGTCTTCACAACTTTATATCGTCGCCCCAGCGCAGGAAGGTATCTATTTCCAAGCTGTAGCAAGAAGGATACTTACTCACACGCAGAGGCAAAAAGGTATCTAACTCGAGCGCAGCGGCAAAAAGGTATCTAATTCCAGCGAGAAGCAAATAAGTAGCTTATTCAAACGAAGTGGCAAGAAAGTTTTGACGCGCTGAATTTAAGTTGGCAACGCAGCCGTAAATGATAAAATTTTGTTTTGTATTAGAGCAAAAAAGAGGAAAAACATTTGAGCTAGAGTAATGATTTTCATCCATTTCCAATGCGAGCAAACAAATCAATCTCGCCGCGATTTCGACTCAATATGCCTCTTATGGAGAACTTTGTATGTTTTGAGAGGAAAGTAGAAGTTATCGGCTTTACATAACTTTGAATTAAATGTTGAATGTTGAATTTTGAAACAAAATTTTATCATTTACGGCTGCGTTGCCAACCTAAATTCGGTGCGTCAAAACTTTCTTGCCACTTCGTTTGAATAAGCTACTTTTTTGCTTCTCGCTCGAATTAGATACCTTTTTGCCTCTGCGCTCGTGTAAGTATCCTTCTTGCTACAGCTTGGAAATAGATACCTTCCTGCGCTGGGGCGACGATATGGCCCAAATCAATCGCTTTCTATCCCTAAAAGCCTTGAAATTCCCATTTAAATAAAATGAGAAAAAATCGTTTTTTCATACCAGCAGCCCGAAAGTGACTACTTCTCGACTGCTTCGCAAACCAGGAAGAGCAATTTTCGGGTCACTGGGTATTAAAAACAACATACAGGCTTAAGTCGCGAAAAAAGAAAGCCCCAGAGCACGTGTTAATCGGCCTCTGCCACTAATTACACCTACTCTGGGACTTTTCTATTTTTCACGGCCTAGGGCAGTAATAAACTATTTAGCAAATGAGTTTCCGAATGAATATTGATCGTTCTGTATATGTAGAAAGTATTTGTAAAGTTTGGCTGCAAGTAGTGGAAAAATGTTTTCAGTCAATCTATTCATCATTTTCACATTTTAAATAGAGGATCTCAAGTGATTCACATATATCTTCTACGAGAATGGTGTATCTAAAAGTTATGCTAAATGGTATTTTCAAAGTAAAATTTTAGACAATTTTTGAATCTAGCATCAGATTTAAAAAAAGGACGGTTCAAAAGTTTTACACTTTATCAAAAAAAGGGTTTTTCAGAAAAATTAAGATCTTCGGTTTTAAGTGTATAAATAAGAACATATTGACCATAAAAATTTCAACAATTGACCACCAAACTATACAAATACTTTTTAAATGCATTGGACAATAACTTTTCTGAGTTACAAACATATTAATCATTCTAGGTGAATTCGAGAACTCGAATAGGCATCGATTGATTTGGGTCTTATAAAGTATTTGAAACTTGTTTTTTATGTGAAACCGGTGAAAAACTTTAGAAAAATGCATAAGAACAAGTTTGGGAAATAACGATCACCCTAATGGTTATGTTTAGGACCGTATGCCAGGTGATGAAACCCATGAGTTGCTTTAAATTAGTCGATTTATGATGGAGATAATAATATAAAATAAACGTAAAACGAAAAAAATGTGCTCGAGTGTTGGTGTAGTTATCTTTTTGTCCAATCAACTCATCCGAGGTTCTAGATATGGGTAAATCTGCTGACTCGGTAGCTTTCATTCAACTCAATAATGTGGATAAACAGTCATTTTAATATTGTATATAGCCTTTTTTATATTGGATGAGCACACTAGAAACTAAATTACCACTGAATTTTATGACACAAGCTCTATTTTTCCTGAAAAAATCGGGCCGATTGGCGATAGCATGTTGCGGATATCATAGGATTTGGTAATAACTTTTGAATTAATATGCAAACTTGAAAAGCTTTACCGCCAGCCGGTATGATTTTTTCTGGAAAAGTAGGGCTTTGATTGTAGAATCCAATGGTAGATATAACCATTCATGTTCTGAAAAATCCGAACAGTTCGCTCCGAATGTTACGCCAAAGAAAAATTTTCACGCAAAGTATACGAAAAAAATCAAGGAAATGACTACATCTCACTAAAAATAAACATTAAAATTTCATAAAATGCTAATGAAAGGTGAAATGAAATGCTCTCCAATAACTGAAAAAAAATGTTTTTGATTTCATTTAACCCTTGAGCCCTTTATCTTGTTTGAGAGTTTCATTTCCATTCTCAGGAGAGAAATGGACTATTTTATTTTAACAAGAGCTACCAGGATTTTATATTAAACTAATACTATGCCTCGGTTTAGCATTAAACAGTAATATTTTGTACAAACTGTTACTGCTGCTTCTGCTTAAACCTACATATAAACCTTGAACTCAAAAAGATTTTACTGAATTTTTTATTAGTATTTTTCCTTCCCTTTCTATTTTTAAGAACTCCAAAATCTTGATTTTGAACTAAAATACTGCTTTTTTGGTGAGATTTTTTCGTATACTTTAAGCGTTTTTTCTTCCTTTGCATTTTCTGAAAAGTTACATTTTTGATGACCTATACCTTAGAGGGTACCGATTGTGCATCAGCATGAGGGTCGTGTTCTTCAGAACATCAATGCTTACGAACACATGCACTTTAGGAATGATCGAACACGTAGAGTTCTCTACGTGTATAGTGAAGCCCCCTTTTTTTCATTTTACGTTATTTGCCGAAATTCAAACAATAAAAATACTGTTTAAAAGAGACTTATGGGTTTGATCACTCCTAAAGTGCTTGTGTCCGCACTTAAAAGAAGTATACATGGTGCTGAAACTCAGTTGGTAATCTCTGAAAATGATGACAGTGAATCAAAAACATAACTTAAATTTAACTTAATATGCAAATGAAAAAAAAATTTAACAGATAAAGTATATGAACAAAGCTCATGGGAAAAGCTGTATCTCAGTGCAAAATCAACATTTTAAAGTTCTTAAGAACGGAAAGGGAAGGAAAAATACTACTCAAAAATCTAATCAAAAAATGTTGAGTTTATTATTATGATTTCGCTCTGTCAAAATAAAATTTTAATTTATGTTGGGATGAAACAATAGTTATTTATGTAACAAGTGCCCAAAAGGCGTTTTTAGGCACGAGTGTGCGGAAAAAGACACGAGTGCTGGCTATGCCGGGCACGAGTGGGTGTTTTTTCCGCACACTGTGCGCAAAAAGCTGGGCACGTGTTGCATACAAAATTTTATGCAATAGTACGACGAAAAATACGTTCATTTGAATAAGGCGTTTTACCGCACACCCGTGTCTAAAATGAGGCATTTTACCGTACACCAGTGTCGAAATGAGGCATTTTACCGCACACTAGTGTCCAAAAACTCTTTTTGCGAACTAAAAAATGTGCGAAAAAAGACATTTTTCGTCGTACTATTGCATAAAATTTTGTATGCAACACGTGCCCAGCTTTTTGCGCACAGTGTGCGGAAAAAACACCCACTCGTGCCCGGCATAGCCAGCACTCGTGTCTTTTTCCGCACACTCGTGCCTAAAAACGCCTTTTGGGCACTTGTTACATAAATAACTATTATGCAATAGTAGGCGAAAAATACGTTTACTTAAATAAGGCGTTTTACCGCACACCCGTGTCCAAAATGGGGCATTTTACCGCACACAAGTGTCCTAAAACGCTTTTTGCGCATTAAAAAATGTGTGAAAAAAGACATTTTATGCAATAGTATGGCGAAAGAAGTTGAGTTTTATTTCAAAGATTTTTAAAGAATTATGATTATTAATACTATGCTTATTCTCATACTTTTGTAGGGGATCATCTAAAGTTGAAGAAGCAGTTGAGTCATATCAACGAGCAGCTAATTTGTATAAAATGGCAAAAAATTGGAACAACGCAGGAAACGCTTTTTGTCAAGCTGCTAACTTGAATATAAAAATGGGAGGCAAGCATGATGCTGCCACAAATTACATCGATGCTGCTAATTGTTTCAAAAAATCTGATACAGCAGGTATAATTACAAATATTTTATATTTTTCATTGAATAATACCCTAAATAAAGACGAGGTTTGGTTTTTAATAATAGAATTTAAATTCTAGATATTAATTTTTATTCTTTTATATTTTTATTGCATGCGAGATTAGAATTATTGAAATAAAGAAAATAACATTATGATAGCTTGAAAAACTATCGTAGAAAAGATCAAATTCTAAATGAATTCAACAGGTATTTGTCCTAAATAGTCAATCTCAGTAATAAACTCGGTGCGGCTCCGGTTGTGATATATATGGGTCATATAAAAGAGTTGATTGTACAAAAATGAAATTGAAACAAAGTATGTACTCTTGAAGAGTACATTAAAAATGAAAATCCTGCATTTCATCCCTCTAGGTTCATCCCTCTTGGATCTTTAAGGGTTTGAAGTTGAATTTTCATTTTTCAAATTGTTTTCTGCTTTTTCCGGGTAGATATAAAAAAATTGTTAAAACATGATTTTTGATATAAAATTTAATGAAGAAAATGTCAAATAATAAATGTGTTCGTCTCCAGTGATTAGGCCAATATTGTATTATGTTCATCGATACATCAAAACACAGCTTTTGAAAAATTTTGATCATCGGTTGAAAATCAGAGATAATTCTTCAGCTGACGAAAGACCTTAAAACATGGTTTTTCTCTATTTTACGTGATTATAGGTCTTTTGTCAGCTGAAGAATTAACTCTGATTTTCAACTGATGACCGAAATTTATCAGAAGTTGTATTTTGATGTATCAATGAACATATTAAAATATTGGCCTAATCGCTGGAGACAAACAAATTTATTTTTTGATATTTACACTTTATTACATTTTTAATGGGTTTTAAGGTTATGATTTTTGACAACAAATCTGAATGCCTCATCAACATACTTTGTTTCAATTTCATTCTTTGAACTATCAACTCTTATGATATGACCCATACATGGGGCATTTCACGTCAAGTCTCCAGCGGTGCGCGCGAGCGACCTTATTTAGCCAAATTGCTCAATTTGTAACTCGTCAGAAAAGCATCTAAATGCACCTAGAAAAAATATGAGCCACATGATTTCGATGGAATATTACCTCAGCTTTTCGTTGATGAAGTCAGATTTCCAAAAAATGTCCATTTTCCTCAAGAAAATTGCCGGAAAACCTTCCAAGTCGAATATCTCAAAAACGGCATTTTTAAGATTTTTAATAGTTTCAGTCGAAAGCTGAGAAAATTTCCTATCGATATGCAAATTTTCAAAGAGTGGTATTGATTATTACTTAGTGAAATACAGCGACGAACGTGTAAAAATGTGAGATTTGGCGCCGCGCAGGGTACTGCGCGCCGAAATAGCTGCCGCACGAGCCGAAAAGTCGCCTTTTTACACGTTCGTCGCTGTATTTCACGAAGTAATCTCTTTGAAAATTTGCATATCGATAGGAAATTTCCTCAGCTTTCGATAGAGACTATTTAGAAAAATCTGAAAAATGCCGTTTTTGAGATATTCAACTTTGAAGGTTTTCCGGCAATTTTCTCGAGGAAAATGGAAAATTTTTGGAAATCTGACCCCCACCATCGGAAAGCTGAGGTAATTTTTTCTAGGTGCATTTAGATGCTTTTCTGACGAGTTACAAATTGAGCAATTCGGCTTAATAAGGCTGCTCGCGCGCATCGTTGGAGATTGACGTGAAATACCCCACATATGTATATTATCATTGTTGTTATGGTTGTCTCACACCATACCCGTTCGTCACGTAAATAGTCCCAAAATATACAAATAAAGGTAATCTAGCACATCGTATCCAAGTTTTTTCACAGTGATAATACCAGTACTTACAAGGAAATCAGTTTTAGTACCCGAAGAGGATATACTTACAATTTTCAAAACATTTTATATAAAGGACATATTTATTCTTACAATTCCATTTAAAAAGTCTGGTTCTTCAATTGCTTTGTTTAGTTAGTCTTTCAAGTAGTTCCATGTATAAAGTCACATCTCTGCTACCCAGTGATACTCACATTTCTTTCTGGGTGTCATGATTGAATAGCTTTAGGGCGATATTTATACGCTCCGCAACAAAATTATCAAATACTTCCATCTCTGTCAATTTTGATCGTAAATTCAAAATATTCTACAATTTGCGGTGAAACCACCGCAAAGTCAATATGCTCCCTGACAACTACACATACGAACTTATTTTGTAATCGTTTTAACGGGAGAAGAACCTATAAAACAATGTCATCAATTAAATCTAGTTCCTACAATTGGCTTTTAATTAATTTTCAGAATCGGTCACTTGTTTTCTGAAAGCTATAGAAATATATACTGATATGGGCCGTTTTACCATGGCGGCTAAACACCACCAAAGTATTGCAGAAATCTATGAAAATGAAGCTGTAGATTTAGAGAGAGCTGTTCAAAATTATGAGCAAGCAGCCGATTATTTCAGAGGTGAAGAGAGTAATTCATCCGCTAACAAGTGCTTGTTAAAAGTAGCACAGTATACAGCCCAGTTAGAAAATTATGAAAAAGCAATTCAAATTTATGAACAGGTAAGCTAATTATTTAATACTATTAATTGCCATTTATCATAAAATAACCCTCATCATTGTGTGGCGTAAGTTCACATTTATATCACGTTTTTTGTGGTATAATTTTCACTTTTTGGAATCGCATCGTTTGCATGCGAGTTCGCTCTCTTTTATTCGTTACCGAAAAAATATCGCTCATAATACTAATTTAATATTGTGCATGTAAATAGATTGTACATAATAAAATGGTAAATAGAGAAAAAATTTTAATGACACTCGGATCAAAATCTTAAAAATGTTTCGAATAAGATAATATCTATAAGTCATTTGGTTTTTGTCAACGGAATAGCAAATAAGCTTTCAAAAAAACTTTTAAACCAATTAAATACATTTTCAAAATCAAAAGTTATTGGAAAATAATAGCTAAAAACGGTTGCTAAGTCTCGGTGATTACGTGTATCAATAAGACGGTCAATACAGAAAACCCGATTCCCTACTACATCGATTTTTCAAGAGCGCTCGAGCTACCTCAATGTTGAAGTAGTAGATATTTCGTACTCTTTAGTCATCATTTCATCGTTAAAATAATCAGCCCTTTTTTCCTTTTTAATTATATTGATTTAAATAGTAATGCAATCAAATTATAATCGTTTATGCAATTACATGATTTTTAAATTTCAGGTAGCAATGGGCTCACTTGAAAGCTCTCTTTTGAAGTACAGCGCTAAAGAATATTTTTTGAGAGCATCTTTGTGTCATTTATGTGTAGATGTTTTAAATGCTCAACACGCTTTAGAAAGATACAAAGAACAATGTCCGGCATTTCAAGATTCAAGGGAATATAAATTTATTAAAGTTAGTTCGAAATTATTGATTTCAATCAATTCATTTCTGAATGAAATAAAATGATGAAAATAATTTTTTTTCAGACTCTGATCGAGAATTTGGAAGAACAAAATTTAGAAGGATATACCGAGGCAGTTAAGGAATACGATTCAATATCACGTTTAGATCAGTGGTACACGACAATGTTATTGCGAATAAAAAAACAAATCAACGAGAATCCTGATTTACGCTAATTTGAAATATATGGTTACGCATTGTGTAGTTCGAAATTATCTTATAATATTAAGCAACAACTTTGTTGGAAATAAATCCTCACTTACATTAGATACGTTATTTAACTTTTAAATATTTTCAGAATATTGATAGTATTTGAAAGACTAAAATACTAATGAGTTATTTTTCTGCAGCAAGAAATTTTAAACAAAAAAATGTTTTAAACCAATTATGCCATGAATTTTTGTTAAATAGTACTACGACATATCATTTAATTTAAGGTGCGGGGGTTAGAATATATACGTTGGATAATGAGAAAAATAAAAAACATGTTAGCTTATAGTAAATTGAATTTATCATTAAATTATAATAAATAGCTATATCAATAATTATTCTAAAACAATCCAAAAATTTTCAGCTCAAATGACAAAAAATATGCTTCTTACAATAATGCAATGTGTTAAATTTTAACAGATTGGTCAAGTAGATTTTGATTTACAGTGGTTATCGTATTTTTTCCATTGTATGACAAAATTTGCTGTGGCAACTTATTTTTCGTTATTTATGGCTGAAATTTTCACTAAATATTTTTAGAATAACTATTTATCGTGTGTATAGTTTAAAGATAATTAAAATTTACTAAATGTTCAAAAAACAGTTATTATTATATTGCAAAAATGCAGTGAAGATCTCCTCCCTCCCTTTCTAAGGGCAAATTAAAATACTAACAAAGAGAATTAAGAAAAACCTATAATAAAACTCTTGAATTATGACAGAAGCTATCTTATGTAACATGTATGTATCTCTGCAAACGATTTCCAATGAACTGGGTAGAAATGGAAAATTAAGCGGACTCTTAGGTTTTCATTAATTTATTAAACGTTTTTTTGCTAAATTTAAATATCGGTACGATACTGCATTGCAGTTGAGTATGAAAACAATGTTGTGACGAGAGTTTGAATGGAGTTGATTGTGTAGAAGACATGACAATGGCCAAGTGTGGATCTCGGTATCAATCAATAGATCGATTAAACGATTGAACTTTAAATATCATAATATTTTGCTTTCATATATAAAGCTTTATATCCAACAAATAAATCACGGGGCTTAAATTTTTTAACTTTTACACTTCCTACATTAGTCTGTCAACACTCTATTGTACGAGTATCATATTCAATTTTGTACCACTGCGGGGCATAAATGTAAATTTAGCAAATAAAATTTAGTACGATAGGAGACACTTTCCAGCATGGCTATTAAGGCCGATGAAAGTGCGACTTATGCCATTGAAAAGTTCGCCGAAAATATGAACTTTCGCCACGCAGGGAAAAATGACGAAATCTTTTAAAGACAGGCATAACAGACTTTTTTAAAACTCCACTTGAAATTACTTTGTTCGGTTAGATAGATAAAAATCAATAAATATATTCTTATAATAATTATAGACCTTCAACTAATAGCATTCAATACATTTGAGCTACCTGTCGTAGTATTCCAAGTTTTATGTTTTTGACTTCTAGAGTTTTCTCGAATGCGATATTGAAAAAGTCTGCGATGCTTGTTCTCAAAAAAATTTTTTTTTATTTCTACAGCTTCTAAAAATTAAAAAGTCAAGCCCCTTTTGAGCCTTTAACCAGCATAATCTTTTTTCTCACTTCTGTATTACAGTCTTCAAACTCCGAACAAAATAAGATATCGGACACACCATCGTACAAATGAAAATATTCTGATGTTTTTTATACCTGCAAATGGCATCATGAGAAAGATCTAGATTTGAAATGATAAAAATCACGACCGAAGTTAATTAGTTATGATTCTTAAACTAAAAGAGTAGAAACATAGGGAGCGCTTGTTATGAAACGCAGAGGCTGAACCCCAAATGAGTACATTCAGTGCGGTAAAAAAATGAGTTCAGTAGCGGCGAATAAGATTATATAGTAATGATACATAAAATCACGAGGTTAGGTACTATAATAGGCCTATGCAAAAAAACACAGCCCACTTCTCTGCGCAACGCCTGTGCCCAAAGGACATTTAGTGTACTCTCAACGATTCAGTCACTATGACGTGATTGGGCAAATTAGCTATTCGCTAAATTTAGTCATTGCGTTTTTACACTCTCTTTCTCTGTCTCTGCCTCTCTCTCTCTGCACTAACATATCGTCGCCTCAGCGCAGGAAGGTATCTATTTCCAAGCTGTAGCAAGAAGGATACTTACTCGCGCGCAGAGGCAAAAAGGTATCTATTTCGAGCGAGAAGCAAAAAAGTAGCTTATTCAAACGAAGTCGCAAGAAAGTTTTGGCTCGCTGAATTTAGGTTGTCAACGCAGCCGTAAATTATAAAATTTTGTTTCAACATTCAACATTCAACATTTAATTCAAAGCTATGTAAAGCCGATAACTTCTACTTTCCTTTCATAACATACAAAGTTATCCATAAGTGGCAAATTGAGTCGAAATCACGGTGAGATTGATTTGTTTGCTCGCATTTCAAATATATGAAACTCATTAAACTAGCTCAAATGTTTTTCCTCTTTTTTGCTCTAATACAAAACAAAATTTTATCATTTACGGCTGCGTTGCCAACCTAAATTCAGCGCGTCAAAACTTTCTTGCCACTTCGTTTGAATAAGCTACTTATTTGCTTCTCGCTGGAATTAGATACCTTTTTGCCGCTGCGCTTGAGTTAGATACCTTTTTGCCTGTACGCGCGAGTAAGTATCCTTCTTGCTACAGAATTGGAATAGATACCTTCCTGCGCTGGGGCGACGATATATCAGTAAACTGATTGCTTATAAATAATAATTATCAAAATTATAAAAATTTTTAAATTCTTATAAACAAAATAAAATTTTGGCAGTTATGGAGATATAATATATATTATTTGGTATTCATTTATAACTCAATAATATAAGATAAATCATATTTATAGCACTCTAACTTAAAAATCGCAACTTTGCTGCTAGTTTTACTCTTGTGCTATAAAATATTGTATGTAATTAGTGTAAATAGTAAATAAGCTTTTCCAGCAAATCTCGGTACAGCACTAGCCTCGCTCCAACTCGTGTTAAAAACCCTCGTTTTAACATGAGCATATCCACACCCGTTGTATAATATACTATTATGAATAATATTTAGCTATATTACCGTAATAATGGTGTAATATATTATAATTGCATAAAAGACTTGATCTAAAAACCACAAATACTTTTATCCTTGAAAAAATGTACATTACGGGCTTGTTTGAAATAAAAATTCGTCAGCTGTTGCTCGTGCTGACAATAACATTCAATAGCATCAGAGGCCTTTCTTTTTATACTGATATTCTCATATAAGATTGCTGTGATGCTTCTTATGCTATAAAAATTTCATTTGTCGTGAAAAAAAGGAAAATTTTATAACTTTAAGTCATTATCGTAATTTTACTTCATATGTAGCGACAGGCTAAGTAATCATAAAATAACATACCCCTATAAGTATAGCAACTACAAGAACTATGGAAAATGATAACACGACCAGAGATGTAACATACACAGTAAAAAGAGTAATAATACACATTGAAAAATTCATTAATTCTCGCCTCGAGAATTGCTACCTCGCAGAAATTAGTGGAAAAAGAAAGAGGCTCTCTACAATTATCACGAGCAGACCAAACACTGAAAGTCACGACAGTTAAAGAATAATGAAAGTCTCAGTGTTTTTTTTCATCCCCTTACTCAATCATATGGGCTTCCACCGCTACTATCGTTTAGATATTGCTTCGGTGAGGACCTAGGTATAATAATAAGCATTTTTGCTACAACAGTATTATTTGTCGTTTTCCTACATCCCTTACCAATGCATAGTTATATACAATATTTCAAGTCACCAGATCAAGGAGAGCTGTATATGTATTTAAGTGACATAAATACATGATAGGAGCGAGACGAATCACCAAGCCTAGAATTCCCCAGATGAGAAGGATCCTTTCCTAACATTTGTCAAAAAAGAATAAAGAGTATGTACAAGGTAAAATTTAAAAACAGAAGATAAGTTAGTTATCAAGCCAAGAACGCGTTTTTCTATTGTAACCTTCTTCTTGTGATTAAGCATAGTTTTCTTTTGACTTTTTGTGATCGAGTCGTGTTTAGTATAACTATTAATAGCGCCTTTCTTTGCAGTTTTTCTTTGAGTGTTATTTTCAGTGAAGTTTATTGACATGTTTTATAATTCATTTAAAAGGATTTAATTTCTGGCCATTAAACAATATTATAAGGTCTAGATAATTTTATTTCATTTTCCAAAAAATAAATCCACTTCTCTTTACAAACTCAATTTCGTTGGAATAAAAGCGATATCGTCAGGTTGCGTGAAAATACTCTTTTTAACTTTTTCAAAAATATCTTCGTATGTTTCTCCATCAATGATTCCTGTAAACATAAATTACTTTGTTAAACGGTTGGAAGAGATAATTAATCATTATCGTTCATTAATACGAATTATAAAAAGGGCATTTAATTTTTGAGCAATCATTTTTAGTTAAGTAACTTTTCGATAGTTATATCCAATCGAAAAATCAAAAATAACATAACAGTACATTATGATACGAGTGCATATAAGAAAAAATTTTTGGCACGGAGTAGTTTAGAGCCCGAGCGTAGGGAGGTTTTTAATTTAAGATGATCATACCATATCTGGCCTATGATATTATCACAGCTTTGAGAGGGATGATGGTTTTTTAAGATTATTAATGTCTTCTATTCATTTCAAATGGAAAAGAATAGAAAGTGAATGACTCCAATATCGAAATGGAGCGTATCACCACTGCTTTTATTGACATAATAGATCGTTGCACGCACTCTACTATATGATATTTAATAAATAACATTTGGTAGATTCATGTTTTACCTGTTAAATACTCGACATAATTACGTTCCATTTCAATGATGCGCTGGTATTGATAGTTTGCTGTCTCATCATTCATAGTTTGGTTCATTTTCCTATAAAAATGTTTATAAACGTTTATAATTTTCAAAAATTTCTACTCATATTTAAAAGATTCGAAAAAAATCGAAAAATTCTTTGACTTTTTAAAATAAGAATCGTTGAGAGGATACTGAGAAAATGTGTTAATAAAATCCTATTTTGAAAAATGAAAAGAAAATTTTTTGATAAAATTCCATTAGTGATGGACCCATTGGTAATGGACCGCAAAGTGATGCCACTTTAAACGGCTTTTGATTGGTCTGGGCACTTTTGACTCAACTCGAAGTAAGGTAGAGTAAAATCTGCGATCGAAATAGAAACCTTTTCAAAGCGTTACACTGACCGGTCAAAATAGCTAAATCACTCGACTTTCACTTCGCTCGTTAAGAATCAAACGTGATCCAGAAAGATTATTATATAATTTTCATGTGTTTTTTCCTCAATTTTTTAATGGATTAAACTCAAAAATACGAGATAAAAAGTGCTATAATTTTTATAGTAAGGCTACAATCGATTTTTTAAAAACTAGATCAAAAGTTCTCGTGATTCTTAATTTAGAAATCATCACTAAAAAGAAGGTCAAAAACATGAAAAAAAATCATTTTCTTTTATTTACCGGATGAAAAATTTCTTTTTTCCGAAAATAAATAGCATGGTTTAAATTTTCGGTAGAAAAAACGTCGGAATCATGTATTTGCGGAACAAGGAAGGTACTGACTTGTCAGATAATTTTACCGTTGAATGGGCGTTTCATCCCCTTTAAGCAAGTTGAAAACTTTAATCTTAATGCTAGTAATAGTCTTTTAAAAAAAAATGTTTCTTTAATCATATTTCTAAATATTTACTCACTTGATTATATCTGGTGATTTCAACTTTATAAGTAAAATGATCGGGTAAAAATGAGTTGAGTACAACCTTTTTATGGCATTTTCACTCACATCCAAGATACAATGCTTGTTCTGAAAAGTTGAAGTATTTCTTTAGTATATGGGTCAAAATTTTCTTCCGTACATAATTCACTGTTTTTTATGCATTTTTGGTATGTTATAGAAATAGCAAAAGAATCCCAAAGCCAAAATTTTATACTCGTAGATAGCTTCTAACCCCACCCTCCATATGAACGTATATTTTCTATCGATCCGATTCTGAAGCTATTTTTGATTTAAAAAATTGGAAAAAATTCATGAAAGTACATTTGAACAATCCTAACAACTTTAAATTTTTTCAGATTTTTTAGATGCTTCAAGATTTCAGATAGTGCCATTGAAAATTTATATACGGGGATTGGATGGTAAATAGATTTTTTGGGAAATAGAAATTTTCTTTCAAAATTTATATTTTTAGCGGCTTTTTTATTCGACTGTTACACTGGGTTCACATCGATTCTGTCCGATGGAACGCCGGAATTTCTTATACTTAAACACGTTCTACCACTCTATTGGACCAGACAGAATCGATGTTAACCCAGTGTACATGCAGGAATCCCACGAAATAACATCAATTGGTTCATCAATTTTATTTAGAATACATTCTGTGAGCTATCAAATTGAAAAATTCGAAATTCTCTTACCCGGCTAGCAACAGCTGCTATGGAAGAAATGGAAGTTCCATACAAATTTCCATTGTATTGACCAGCTTCTATAAATAAATGATTTTTTATATCATTTTCCATTATTTCTCTTGAATGGACAAAGTGATAATCATGGCCATCTACTTCATCAGGTTTTTTTGGACGGGTTGTATCTGAAACCATAATGATAAAACCATAATGATTAACCATAATGCCAAATTACAATTGGGAAATGTGTTATGTGGAGATTTTTTTATGTCAAGATGCTGCAAGAGTAAAAATCGAATGAGAATGATTCAAAACATTAGAGAAGGCACACGGGGATCAGTCGACGGTCTTAGGCATGTCGAGAATTTGCAGCATTTTGAAGGAGCTAATCAAGTTGCAACAAGAAATGGTTATAAAAGAAAATTTGAGCGAGGGCTATCCTGATAATGATAAAGCATTGTCGCTCAAACAAGTCGATGGGCGCTACATTTCTGCATGTAAAATTAGATCAATGTTTTGTTTGCGGCTTGTCAAGTATTTAGATTGACCCCCATTGATCAGTCGTGGATCTTCCACCCATATTTGACAAAACGTGATCACCGTGATGTCAAATGCAACGTTTATAAATAACCTCTTTTTTCGACAACAGCCATAGTCACATAGCTAGTAGACAACAGTAAATTTTGGTTTTTTACTTGTATGATGGTGGATATGGGTTCAGAAAGCAACACGAGGTCCTGAACTGAAATTTTATCGAGAGATAAACGACGTAACGATACAAGTCTGAGTAAATCAAATTTGGACCCTCTTTGGTTTTATAACTTAACTAATGAATTTTGTTCTATAACTTAACTGAAAAATGAAGAAAATCAAATGATTACTTACGTGGAATACAGCTCTCAAACTTTTCTGGATATTCGGATATAAGATCATCGTTTATTTGATCTTTTATGGGTCCTAGAATTATTATCGGTCTCCTTTGTTTTAAAGGAATTTCGATGACTTCCAAATATGGAATAATTTCATCGTCACTGCCTAAAAATAATAAATATTTTATAACATTAACTCCTTCGTAAATAGTAATGTTTGTGTAAAGTACCAATTTTATTTCTGTCTTTACTGTAATTATGTGCATTTTTGAGTTTGTGTGAGTGTTTTGATAGGTATTTCATTGCGTTAAGCAAACAAAATATTTACATAATTGGTAGTAACAATTCATCGAGTTATTGATCTTAACGTGGGTTGACAAAAAGTCCTACATGCTGGACTCTACACTAGCATCCGTCGCTAGGAATTACTTCGGTCTGGCAGGGTCTCCAATTTTCTCGTCCACTGTATAATAATATCTCAAAAGACAAAATGTGGCTTCCTGAACCCTTAAATCGCCGTATATTACTATATAAATAAGCGGAGATATTGGAGACCCTACATTCCCAACATCCCCGCCCATTTTATAGTAATATACGGCGATTTAAGGGTTCAGGAAGCCACATTTTCTGAATGATGACACTACAATAATTGCACTATGTTATAATGGATCGGCTCCCGTTCGCTGCGCTTGATCACTGTCTCGTGAGTGTGGTTCTTATTGCTCAGCACCATCATATAAGAGTGGTTCTCGTGACACTGAATTTGGGAGCTCCCAGACACGAATTCTCATAATTCAGCCGTGGTCCTATAGTTTATAGTGGGATACTAAATGAATGGACAAAAACTCACTCTAACTGATATGTTCCTAATAGGGATTAAACTCGCGCATTAACCCATTAACGCGCAAAAGTGCCATTTTGTGCACGAATTTTCCATTGTAAAAAAATTATACATAAAGTTAAAATATTTTCTTGAAAATCCATACCCTGGGGTTTTTGGGTATGTTCTTTCAGAATCTGGTGTTATTTTTGCGATAAATAAAAATTATCATCGTTTATTTTGCAATTAAAAATAAAAAACGTAATTTTTTGACGTTAAATTTTCTTTCAAAGTCAATTTTCTACCTTGTCCTGCCTTCGGAGGATTCCCACAACACCAGCAATCGTGCATTCTTTCTCTGAACCTTCAAAAAACGCGCTGCCGCGATTTCTATCTAGCCCCTATATTTCTAAAATGGCAAATTTACACCGAGTAGTGATATAAAAATAGGCAGCGCTTTTTTTGAAGGTTCAGAGAAAGAATGCACGATTGCTGGTGTTGTGAGAATCCTCCGAAGGCAGGACAAGGTAGAAAATCGACTTTGAAAAAAAATTTAAAGTCAAAAAATTACATTTTTTATTTTTAATTGCAAAATAAACGATGATAATTTTTATTTATCGCAAAAAACACCACATTCTGAAAGGACATACCCAAAAACCACTGGGTATGGATTTTCAAGAATAGTTATTTTTGGAACCAGTGCCCAAAAGGCGTTTTTGGGCACGAGTGTGTGTTTATTGCGCACACTGTGCGCAAAAAGCTGGGCACGTGTTGCATACAAAACTTTATGCAATAGAAGGCGAAAAATACGTTCATTTAAATGAGGCGTTTTACCGCACACCCGTGTCCAAAAACGCTTTTGCGCACTAAAAAATATGCGAAAAAATACATTTCTCGGCATACTATTGCATAATAGTTATTTATGTAACAAGTGCCCAAAAGGCGTTTTTGGGCACGAGTGTGCGGAAAAAGACACGAGTGCCGGTTATGCTGGCACGAGTGGGTGTTTTTTCCGCACACTGTGCGCAAAAAGCTGGGCACGTGTTGCATAAAAAATTTTTTAACACTGCGTGCGCGAAACACGGGTTTTCTAACCTTAAAGCGTCAGAAAACCCTAGTTTCTCGCAAGCAGAGTTAAAAAATATCGTTTGCAACTAGTCCGCGAGGAAGTTGACTCATCCAGGAGTCTTTGCACCCTCGCTACGCTCGGGTGAAAACAACTCCTGGATGAGTCAACTGCTTCGCGCACTTGTTACAAAATATACTATTATGCAATAGGAGACGAAAAATACTTTCATTTAAATGAGGCGTTTTACCGCACACCCGTGTCCAAAATGAGGCATTTTACCGCACACAAGTGTCCAAAAACGCTTTTTGCGCACTAAAAAATGTGCTAAAAAAGACATGGCCGGCACTCGTGTCTTTTTTTCGCACACTCGTGCCCAAAAACGCCTTTTGGGCACTTGTTACATAAATAACTATTATAGCACTGTGTGGCATAGGTTCACATTTATGGCACGCTTTTCTGTGGCATAAGTCGCACATTCTGGCACAGGCGTTCGCATCACACTCGGTGCGCTCGTGCGCTAACCTCACTTTGCGCTACCAGAAGTGCGACTCATGACTCGGAAAAGGGGGCATAAATGTGAACTTAGCACAATGCTATGAAGTGTTGTACGATACTCGTGTCATGGGGACACTTTTCGGCCCAGCTATTAGGACCCTCGCTGCGCTCGGGCCCTAAACTACGCTGGGCCAAAAAGTGTTACCTTCCCAGTGGTATAATGAATGTATGGTAACAATTTCAAAACGATCGGACGGGTAGTTTTTGAGAACATAAAATACAAACAGACGTTGTTTCTGCTTTATATATATAGATGTAAAGAAAACTTAGTTTCTTTAATGTATAATTGAGGCGCTGTATCAGTTGTGCGCGCCTCATATAAGTTTGTAAATATTATTTGAGTATGAGTGTGTAAGACGAATGAGTCTGAATTGTCAGTTGTACACATGTGTTTAAAGAGAGTGGTCAATTAGCTTTAATTGTCGTTTCTCGTATTTCAGGTAAGAGAGGTTTATAATTGTAAATATAGTTTTAAGAATTCTTAATAAACCTCCACTCGTATTTCAGAAACAAAATTTAGTTAATTGCTCACACACCCCTCCCCTCTCATAGTGGATCTCACTCGTGTCTTATATAGATTTACTAAAGAATTATTGCATATACTTTCGGATATGTTCTTAAAATTGCTGGAAGAGCTAACTCTGCTCAAAACAATAAACATTTACGGATAATGACCCAAATATTATTGGAAAGTGTTTTTTTGAGTAAAATTTTTTTAATACTCACTTAAACGTTGTACCATTTCTCCTTCATTCTCTTTTTCAACGTATACTAGTGTGAGTTCGTCCATGTACGGTAATTCAACTCGATATAAAATTTCCTTATCGCAAGAATCTAGAAAAAAAGGATGTAAATATTATTTGCATTAAAAAAATAGCGACCAGAGAAATATGAAAAATTATCACTTTCCTAAATTGTACAAATTACACTTAAAGTTTGAGAATTTTTCACGCATTCACATGCCTAATTAATGAATAACAAGACGTTCACATAAAAAAAAAAGTTCAGCACGAATTGAAATACTTTTACTGACCTTTACTTTCTGTACCATCTGCAGTGTAACACGAAACTAGGGCTGTAAAAGAAATTTAAAGTTAACTTTTTAATAGAATTATACGGTAATTGAAAACTACACAAGCACAAACAGAGCTCAGCAATTAGTTGATTTTATGTTTCTGAGATCGCTGAACCAGAATCGAACGTCTTTTTTTTTGGTTTTTTAGATTTTCATGGTTTCCTAGGTCATTTTTATTGGAAAATTAAACAAAGTGAAAAATCTTATTATCATACGAGTGGCCCGAAAATAACTACTTCCCGGCCGCTGCACAAAACGGGAAGAGCTATTTTCGGGCCACGGTGTATGAAAAATAATAGACAGGCCTAAGCTGCGAAAACAAAAAGCCTCAGAGCACGTGTTTATTGGCCTCGGCCGCTAATTACACGTACCCTGAGACTTATCTATTTTTCGCGGCCTAGGGCAGTAATATACTAGTTTAAATAAGCCTTATGGTTATTTATCAAGGTCATTTTAAAGGTGCATTAGCTACAAATGAAGATCTATATATTAGCTTATATTTTTCGGAAAAATCGAAATTTAGTTTTCAATTATATCCAGTAGAATTTTTCGAATAGAACTAGAAAAATGTGTTTGATAAGTAAGAAAATTTTCATTATAGTATTCTCAAAAACCTGAATATGCATTTTTCAGATTTTTTTACCATTTTTCTTAATCTGACCTTCAAATAACCTTGAAAATGAAAAAACTTTGTAAAACTGACGTCGGATTCTGTTTCAGCAACTCTACTATACCTGCTCAATGAGATTGTAGTTTTTTTTGTGTCTGTGTTATCAAGGCGACAAAATAGTGTTTCGAACTGATGACTAACATTTCGATGTATATGGCCGATGTAAAATGGCCATATACATCGAAATAGTTGGAATTCTTCAAATGATAGTAAAATATGTTCGCCATATTCCTAAGTGACCAAGAAAAACTTTTACCCACGCTCAAAATTCTAATTATATTAATTTTTTTCTAATACTTAACATTGTAATAACAATCATTTACCACGCAAATTTTACGCGAGTTTTTGATAAATTGTGACTGATGTCAGAATCACGGCGCAAATGATTTAAATCACAATGTGAGTATATTATTTAAAAAGCAATATACTAAGGATTTTTGAGTTTGGGTAAGAGTTTTTCTTTATCAATTAAGTGTAGTACCAACATATTTTACTATCATAAAAAAATTTTCTGCTATTTTGATTTAATTAAACATTTAACCAAATTTTTGTGATTATTGAAAAGTAGCTAAACGTATTATTTTTAGAGTTCCTAAGATGTGAAAAAAATTTATCTTTGGTTCACGGAGACTAATTCTATTGTAACAGCAAAATCGAGTTCACTTCTAACAAGTGAAATTTCTCCTTGTGACAGGGAGAATCTCCACTAGCCAATGAGCTGTTTTGCGCGCGGCAAATTTTTGTTAAGTTTCAACAAGTTGACTTCTGTGAGCTCCGTCAGTACGGTACCTTCTCAAAGTAGCTGTGGATTAGAATTTTTACCACGTGGATGAAATTATATAAATAATAGTAAAAGAGCTTCTATCATGTCATGGCACCAGAAGTCGTTGATGTATTGGATAAGTGCTGATTATCTTACAGAAATGTTGTACTCTTAATTAGAACAATTGAAAATGCCTTGCAGATTGATATTGAGTCAATTATATTAAATAAAACATCTTACCATTAAGTTCGGAAGCAGCTCAGACCAGAAAAAGCAGAAAAATTGAAAAAAAGATTCAAACAAGTTCAATTCCCGTATATAGTAATTCACAGGGTTGGATAACTTATAAGTGATCAACTCACATGTAATAAAATTGACTTATTGCCTATTTTAGTAAGTTCAGAAAATTGAATAAAAATAATCGATGTTCCTGGTTTAGAAGATCAGAGAGCATTTATAATTTTAACCCATTAACTATCAAAATGCTGTCCCTTACAAAAATTTCCTATAGGATCTCGCGAAATTCCTACAGGAGTCCTATAGGATTCCAATAGGAATTTCGCGGGATCCTATTGGAAATTTTTATAAGGGGTTTTTTTTTGTTTGTTTTTGCAGCGATTTTTTTCGTCGTTTCAGGCCTTAAAAAATTTTTGCATGGACTTATTTGGATGTGAGATTTAATGCTCTTTCAGAAATTGAGCTCAAAATTTTGATTTTTTGCGAAACAAAAAAGTTATAGTTATTTAAACCAAAAAAGGTTTTGCAAAAAATCAAGTTTTCAATTTTTTTGCCATGTTACCGTTAAGGAATCAAGATATAAATATGATCAGGGGTGATCACGACTATCAAAGTATCTCAGGGAATTTTTATGGAATTTTCGAACTACTTTTTCAAACAAAATGGCGGCCAAATCGAAAAAAGTTCTCATAAAACATAGCTCATTTTTTTACTCGAAAACTATTGACTTTAGAGAAAAAGCTTACAAACAAAAGTCTTAGAATTGATCAAGGATAGATAGAAGGATATATTTTATGAGAACTTTTTACAATTTGGCCGCCATTTTGTTTGAAAAAGTGGTTCGAAAATTCCATAAAAATTCCCTGAGATACTTTTTAAATCGAAATAGGTCCATGCAAAATTTTTTTAAGGCCTAAAACTACAAAAAAATCGCTGCGAAAACGAACAAAAAGAAACAGAATTTTGATCGTTAATGTGTTAAATGCAGTCTATGCTGCATTAATTGATAGGGAATTGCTTGATTAATTCAGGCAGTATGTGTCGATACAACGAAAGCATCTTTATAGGATACAAAGGTGGAGCAGCCATACCTTTAGAAGAAATGATGAGTAAAAATTTATTGTATTTGGCTTACAGACGTCATGTTTTGGAAATAATACTTGATATGTTGCTTTCTCGGACCAAATAATCCTTTTTTCCAGAAATTTCGGGTTTCTTGGGGCAAGATAACCGAATTTCCCGCTAAAAATGGTTTGGATGAACATGAACTACAACTAAAACTTGAAATTCCTGGCACAAAAACGTTCATCATGAACCAGTTGGAAAATCATCAGTCCAGAAATGATTATGAAGAATTATTAGAGCTTTCTTCAATGTTTTTAGGGGTATAGAATAATTTTCAATTTCATTTACCTGATGGAAATCACCATGCTTGTTGGAATTTTAATGTTTGGGAAATAACGGACACCCTAATATGTATACATACACGAACGCTCACATATTTATATAAATGTGAAAGGTCGAATAACTGTTACAACGCGATATTGGATTCATCATGATTACATCACAACGGCAAGATTATCGTACTGAAATCCAGAACGGTAATTGACAGTATTAATTCATTCATTCATTGGCAAGTAGTAATTTTCACTTGTCCCAAGTGAATTAATTTCTGCTGTCACAACAGAACTAGTCACCTTGAGTCAAGAGTTTTTTTCAGTGTAATAATTTTTAATTTGTTAAATATATATGTGCATCAGAAGAAACAATAACAAGAGTAAAATTTTGTTTATATTCGTCCAAGGAAATCGAATTGTATGCATTTCGTTGTTTTGCTAAGCAAATGAGCGCTTTGTTTTTCTCGATTCTCTTAGTCTCGGTTATTATCATTTTTAGAAAAAATTCTACACGAGAGAAATAAATTTACTAATAGATTATAAATGATGTAATACCTACATTGCTCATTTTCTACCACATCTTCGACTTTTTCTTTGTTTTTCATGAATGGAAATCTTCTGCTAAATGTATAATTTTTTTTCTTTTTATCTTGAAGCTGAAATTTACATGTAAAATAATGAATGAAATTTATCAGTTTTTACCATTTTAATTGTTATAGTATATTATACAACGTGTGTGGATATGCTTTTTCTGCGAAACGAGAGGTTTTAACACGAGTCGAAGGCTAGTGCTGTAACGAGTTTTGTTGGAAAAGCTTATTCACACTAGTTGCATACAATATTTTATAGTACAAGAGCTTAATTTTAGAGATTTTTAGGTTTGAATGATATAAAATGATAGGCGTATCAGATGATGAATCAAGTTAAAGTAGGATAATTTTGGCTCGCATTCGCTGCTATAAAAGGGATACAAAAAGTAAGATTTACGAACATTTTCCATGAAAGCTCATTCTTTAGTATTTTGCAATAAAAATTGATCGGCAAACTCTTGAAAACCCCATATATTTTCATTGGCAACTGAGTCTACATGCATTTTTGAGTTGGAAATTGTATAGGAAATTGTGAAAACGTTTCACAACCGTGCAAATTTTGAAAAAGGAACGTTATTGAGCTACGGCAATGTTGCTAATATATTAGTCGAACAATTTCTGGGAAAGCTTTTATGTTGCTGTTTCAATGTATGAAATAAAAAAAATTTACGTTTTTTAGTTCCAGTTGTAGTTACCAGAAAAACGTGTCTTTTTTATGGAATTTTCAGCCAGAAATATAAGTAAAGATTGTCCGCAAACTAACACTTGTGATTTTTAGTCATAAAAATTCAAAGCATAGCGCTATAAACAGATAAAAACTGACCTTGTCAATCTGTGTGCTTGTGCTTTCTTCAAATTTTACGCATCTTTCTTTTGCCCTTTGTTTTCTTTCCCAACGTTTTTTTCCTGGTATGATACCAATTCCAATAGAACTTAAAGGTTGTACTTTTTTTGCCTGCCACCATTCTTCATCGCTTGCATTAATGACAAATAGAATATCACCAAAATGAAAATGTAATCCTTGGTTCGGTAAATCATCATCTTTTTCTGGATCATAATCGAAAAGACATCTAAAAATGAATTGTTTTTAATGTATAATAAGTCGTATTATGCAACAATTTGGTAATTTTTTATTTTTAATTCTTTCATGGTGACGTTGGCCATTAAAAGGTTTATTTGAGGCTCATCGTCTTACCACAAAATTTTTGGAAAAGTTTTGAAAACTAGTCAGTAAATTAACTAAATGATGAATAATGATTTGAATAATGATTTCCTACTTGATAATTATTTTCCAAAAAACTCTCTTAAAATTTATTAATTGATACCAGACATTTTTGATATTTTTTAGGTTTAATTTTTGATTTTTAAAAAATTTTAAAACAGATTAATTTTGTTATAGTATGAAAAATTCATGAACTTATAAATTATTGTATTATACTTACTTTACAAGCATTTTTTTTACATCATTGAGTTTTCGTGATACCTTCATGGTAGGTGTTGCAAGCGATTTCATTTGGCATAAATTACGTTTAATTTCATCATAATGAGCAATATCGTGTTCTGTTGACATTCTAATTTCATCACATCCCTACAGATACAAAAATAGTGTAAAATTTAATCAAATTATTGTAACATTTTAGGTAATATCTGGAACTACTTCAATCAAAAATACTTGAAATTCTTATTTAGTATTAGGGTGTTCTACTCTCTTTTTCTCTCTGTCTTTCTTTTTCTGTTAGTTTAGAGCAACTCTATATCAATTGTACCCGTCACGACGCGCGCTGAGTGGCATTTCGAAAAAAATATGAAATATTTTGCATAACTGAAACTGGAAGAAATGATTGAAATAATTTAAAAAAAATTCAATTTACTACATAACCTCACGCCAAGACGCTGTCATCAACAAACGTATAACAAAGGAAATATAAGTTTCTTTCTTATAAAAGAGAACTTGAGCACAGTGCTATAATAGTTATTTATGCAACAAGTGCCCTAAAGGCGTTTTTGCGCACAGTGTATGCACGAGTATGAGCTGGCGTCAGTCAGTTCGAGTGCATGACAAATACGACATGAGTGCCAGCCACACCGGCACGAGTTTTGGACACTGGCGTGCGGTAAAATGCCTCGTTTAAAAAGGAAGTATTTTTTGCTTACTATTGCATAAAATTTTGTATGCAACACGTGCCCAGCTTTTTGCGCACAGTGAGCGGAAAAAAACCCACTCGTGTCGAAATGGCCGGCACTCGTGTCCTTTTCCGCACACTCGTCCCCAAAAACGCCTTTTGGGCACTTGTTGCAAAAATAACTATTTAAGTGCTTTTAACTTACTTTTAGATAATTTGCTGCATCTTCATGAGATATTCCTTTAAAGTCTTTTTCATTAACTATTATAATTTGATCGCCTACTTTTAGTTTCCCGTCGGTCCAAGCAGGTCCATCTTTTAAGATAGAGGAAACAAATATTCCTTCATTATTTTCTCCTCCAATTATATTGAAACCAAACCCATGTACGTTTCTTTTCAAATAGATTTCATTGTTTTTACTGCAACATGTTTAAAAGTACGATATATTTGAAAAATCGGTATAGTCAAATTGTAATATATGCAAATATTAAAAAAAAGAAGTATTGTTTCGATTCTTTTAAGAAGGTTTCCGTGTGAATTTCTTAAGAAAAATATATATATCAATATCAATCGATTTTGATCCTCCGAATCCAATAGTGTGACTCTTATATGCCCAAGCCGACCAAAATCTCAAGAAAAACGCGATCGAAGTTTCAAAAATTAACATGGGCTTATATGAGAACGAATGAAAATTTGAGCTACATTTACAATTTATGTAAAGAAATCAATATGTTCACGGGGATAATTATGTACAAATTGTAGAGAAAGTTCTCATTTTTTCAAAACCATGTCTCAAAATAGAGGTAGCCAGCCGTTTTTTCAATATTTTTTGAATTAAAGACGCGAAAACGACTTTTTCGGCTCGTTTTAGGTTTAGCAGAAGACAAGCCAGCTAACTTAACTTATGTTACTGGCTGAACACTCGATTGATTAGCGTGTAACTCGAGGGAACCTCTTTAACAAATTCGCTGGATTTCTATATCAAAAATTCAGTTTGTTATCGAACTGGAACTAAAAACTTTTTTTTGGGGTCCAAAATCATGGCTTCGGGATTCTTTTATGAAAACAAACCAAAAGGGAGTCCGAATTTGAAAATCAACAGCGCGCGATTAACAATTACTTACAAAAATTATTTTTATAAATTCTGAGCCTTTATATTGCATTCTTCATATTGCAATAATGATTGAATAGCTATTATTAATATTAGTTCACATACTCACTTGTTTAAATTCTTCAGATTCGAAGTATCATTTGGTTCATCTAAATTTTTGAGTGATTCATGACTGGAAATCATAACTGTATCTGTAAAATATTTATGTATGAAACAAATGATACTTGTATTCATGCATTGATGATGTCTAAAAATTTATACTATAGGCACACAAAAATCTCTGTTTTTGTGACAATAGTAAACATTAGGGTGCCTCTTGACTTTTGAATCTTTAGCGTATCATGAAAAACTATGCCTAAAAAAGAATTTAACTCACGCCACCATAGCAAAATCTTGATTTTATAGTAAGAAAGCTAGTTTTTCAATCACATGCCAGATTGAAGCATTTTTTATTTGAAAATTTTTAAATAACTTCTTAAGGGGGGTCATACACCAATTCACTCCTCTTTGTCATTTTTGTGATAGAAATCATAGTTTAATGTCAATCTACATTTTCAACATAAAATTTACAACTTTGAACCCTAAAAAATGTGGAAAGAGTTGTAGAATAGGCCTCTGCATCTAAAAATAGTTTATTTTTGCTATTTTAGCCTTTCGGTACTGTGCGCAAGGTTCAGATCAGAGTTTTTCAGGTGAAGAACCCTGATAGAAACCAAAATCTTCAGAAAAGTATCCTTTATGGACTGAGTTTTGTTGAATTTTGATTTAGACCTTTATATCAGTTCTATTATTCAATATGTGCTCAAAAACATTACTAATTTTTTTTATTTCTTGCTTTTTTTCACATCTGTTGGCATACAAACTTTTTTATAACTCTAATCAAAATTTCACAAAACTCAGTCCATAAAGGATACTTTTCTGAAGATTTTGAGTCCTATCAGGGATCCCCACAAAGCTGCAAATCGACAAAGCTGCTCTGCCCAAGATCACGCTGAATGGTACAGGCATTGCGTACTCGTCAAGCATCAAATGCCTCGGCGTCACTATCAGCCCCACGCTGCTGTGGACGAGCCACATTAACTCACTCAGTCAAAATGCCACTTTGCTCTGTACTCATTGCGCTTTTACAGGCACGCGCTGAATCGTCAGCTAAGAGCGAGGCTCGCAGTGGCCCTTGTCTTGACTCATCTTGACTACGCGGCCGCTATCTACAATGACATATCGGCCACGTCCGATCTCAAATTGCAGCGTCTTCAAAATGCGTGTGTTCGCTTTGTTTTTGCCTCCATACCAGCTCGTGAACACGTGACACCTTATCGCTTGGCCCTTGGTTGGCTATCGGTCAAAAGACGTCGCCAATACCTGCTCGTCCTGCTCGCACTCAACATACTGCGGAGCGGTGAACCTAGCCCGCTTCGCAATCTCTTCAAGCTCTCCTCCGATTGTCAGGTTCGCCATTCATCGCGTCGGCAGGCACCGCTACTATCTTACAAGACCCCTCGCGCATCATCGCTTCATAACTCATTTTTCATCACAGCCTCACGAATTATCAATTCACTCCCATTTCGTATCAACCTCACCAACACATCGACTGATTATCGGGCGCTTCTCTACAACCACTTGTATTGTCTCGACAAGGACTGGATTACTCGCTGCCACTTCGAGAACATTGCCCCGATTCCACCTCCGCTAGTGAACGAGCTAGTTCTTTGGCTATAGAGAGAGAGAGAGAGTGCTTTTTGCGACCATCGTGCAATCACTGTAATTCACTGTTACTTGCTATCGTATTTAATACATTCACAACTTATGTAACTGCTATCATACTACACTCTGCTCACTACTGTATTTTTAATTGTAAATATTTTTAAAACATTGATAAATGTATTCTATGCTCTACCTGGGCCTCATAGAGTACTACCCCGCGGTCCAAATAAATTTAAACTTCAAACTCAAACTCAAACTTCACCTGCAAAAACTCCGATCTGAACCTTGCACACAGTGCCGAAAGGCTAAAATAACAAAAATAAGCTATTTTTCGTACATAATTTTTTGTGGAAAAAAAATTTTTAAAGCTATGGAACTATTTTATTTTTCAAAATAATATCAGAGATGTGTTTTGATGGCGTGTTCAAAGATTAATAGAATCTGCTTCAGTGCTGTCTACTACATATTCAAAGCGAATTCACAGAATATGAATATTCAATTATCTTCTGAATCATATTAATTTTTTTCACTAAGAATTCAACAACAATTACTAATTTAATGAGATACGTATATTTTACCATACCTTCGTCACATTTTGAGGATAGTTGTTGAGTAGATCTTTTAAATTCACTATCAATAACAAACAGACGTAGATTTTTAGAAGCAACTTTCAAGGCTTCAACTGCTTCTTCGTGTGTGACGTTTTCAAAATTGATGTACTCCTGAAATTTTTAAGAAAATTTTGAATATATGTCATAATATTTGACTTAGGTAGGATACCACTCTAGCATTTTCGAAATATTGCTCTTTATATATTTAGTTGTTAAGGAAGGTGCTAAAATACTTCCAACATAACAAATTGTCAATTCGCGTAAAAATTAAAATTTGAAATGATATTTCTTTTATGGATAACTTTTTTTGTAAATCAAATTTTGGCAAATGTCTCCTTCATTACGTTGGTAAGAATTGGTATTGGATTTTAGGTTTCAACCCAAAATATATCCCAACTTTCGTACATGCTAGATTTTTAAAACTACTAGCTGCACTCATATTATTTTTTATAGAAGCAATGATTTTCCTCATTTCATTTCCGTCATTATATCAGAAGTGAGAAAATCAGCATACAATAATGGGGTTTTCTACATTTTGACCCTATCAATCTACACTTAAGCATATTGGTATAAGTTTAAAAATCAGCACACAAGACTAAAATTTGTTACATAAAAGATATACAGGAAAACCCCGGTACATACTTAAAAATAGTTCGTAACGCTAATACGACTAAACCCATGATCGCTCAGGAGAACACGGTTTTAACATTTAACTTTCCACTCTTTCCATGTCTCAATTGACACGAGTAAAATTATGGAAACCACTATACTTAATGGTTTTGAACACATTTTTTAGTCTCTGAGCGTTAATGGGTGAATATTCCGTTTTTGTGCTTGTAACCGGTGTATCCTTCAGTCTCTTCAAGGGCATAAGTTAAAAGATCAGAATATATAATATGTCACTATCTGCTGGTCTATTACTATCATGAGAAGTTATATTTTGTATCTTGAATTCTATGATTTAACGTACCTTAGAACTTTGAACACCAATTATTTTTTGTCCAATTTTAATTCGTCCATCTTTTTCTGCTGCTCCACCTTCTGTGATTTTTGTTATAAATATACTGCTATCACCGGATTGATGTTGATTATTTCTACCTCCCGATACACTAAAGCCAAACGTTCCATTAATTTTTTCCAGGTCAATTTTGATCGGTATTTGAGTAATATTTTTACGCCTTATTGTCTGTAAAAAAATTATGATTCATGAAGAAATGTCAATGAAACTTCATAGAATAACTTCGGTTATTTAAAAATCCTTGCTTTCAAGTCTTTTCAAGTGACCAACGCAATTATTCATTTTATCCACAATAAAAGTGATGAATTGTTGTTTTTACTCTCAAATGTATATGGGCTATATCACGTCAACTAACCCCTCTCTTGGATCAGAGTTGGAATTTGATTTTTCATATTTTATTCTGCTTCCCAAAGGTGAATATGAAAAAATGATTGAAACATGATTTTTATGTAAAATTTGATGAGGAATTCAAATTTGTTATCCAAATTCATATTACGAATCTAATTATGTTTTCAGATATTTAAGAATTCAATCATATTCGTAGACATGTGAAATATTCATGAATCAGATCGCATCCACAAATTGACACGATACGATTATCTTGACGGACTTTTACGTATCTAATAGTGTCCATGGGTATTGAAAAAAATTCTTAAATCTTATCTTATCTGTGGATTTTTTCCAATTTTATTGGATGCGTGGATATTTGGAAGTATCTACAAATTTGATCGTTTTCTTGGACATTCACGTAGCTTCAAATACTCGTTGGTACTGTGAGATACCAACAAACGTGATTGCTTGCGTAGATTCTCGCGGATACTAGTGGGTACTGACTGATTTGATATTTTCGTGGATTCTTTCGAATTCAATCGTGCATATACAGTTATTCGGAGGAAGATTAGAATTTTATCGCTTACACTGAAAAATGCAGATCTTACTAAATTCAATTGTATTTGGGGATAGTCGCTGTTACTGACATATATCCCCAAACTCAATTGGTCACTCAGATGTCTGCAAAAAATTCTAAATCGATTTGGTTACTTGAAGAGTCGCTAATTTTTATTCAAGTCTACGGATCCTCGTGATTAGCAGCAAATTTAATCGGTTTCGTCGATAAATTTGTATCCATGAATACTCATGAATATTTTTGCGAGTGCGAAATTTGCTTATGCCTATGAATCTATCGAGTTACAAATTATTGATGATTATTAATTTATTATTTACGATAAATAAGATGAAACACTGGCTATTAATACATACGATAACATTGCGGTCTTTCTTCGAATATGCGAAATTCACAACAAACCGTTCGAAAAATTGAAAATTTTGTATTACTTATCTATGCAACATGCACCGATACGAAAAATTTAATTCTACTCCCTTCGTATCATATGATATTTTCACGTTCACCCTAGACCATTCAAACCGTCGGGAGGTGCGCGATATCCACGAAATCGTGTCATGTCAGTGTTTCTGTGAACTCTAAACATTTTGCCACAAACATCCGCGGACTTTTGCTCACTATGAAAGCACTATCAGAATTGCATTTTGATGTATCGATGAATATATTACAATATTGGCTATATCGCTGGATACGAACATGATTATTTTTGGCCTTGAGACTGATTTTTGATAATTTAGGGGTTCGGAGGTTATGGATATGATTTTGGATGACGAATTTGAATTTCTCATCAAATTTTACATAAAAAATCATGTTTCAATAATTTTTTTATATTCACCTTTGGGAAGTAGAATAAAATATGAAAAATCAAATTCCAACTCTGATCCAAGAGGGGGAGTTAGTTGACGTGATATAGCCCATTTATGATAAAAATTAATTAGCAACATTAATATCATTAGACCTTCTATTTTCTATTTTTCAATTCTAACAAATCATTTTTATGAATTCGATCGAATTTGTTGTTAAAAAGTTAATAGCGAAAAACTGAGAGACATTCGTAAGCGCAATGGCTTCGACTAACTGGAGGTTTTTTAGAATCCTAAATTAACACAGTGCAGTCTCGTTTTTTAATCGGTACAGAAATGATTTTTCAGCAATGCTCGTTTTGTTGACATCCGTCAATGTTTCGTTTTTCAATACTTGTTGACATCCGATAATGTTTCAAATTTCAACAATTTTTGGGAGGTATTGTTTTTTCCCCTTTTTCCATCTTTAAAACACTAAAAATTTGATTTCTCATTGAAAGGGGAAGAAAAATAGTTCCCGAAAATTGAATAAATGTTTTCGGTTTAAAGATGCCTATTTGTAACTAATCTATTGATTTATTTGATTTTTAATGTATTATCGAGAGATTCTTACCAATTTGACTGGATTTCTTGAAGTTTTTAGGGCATTAACAGCGTCAATATGTCTTACATTAGATAAAATGGTATCATTAACTTTTTCTAATATGTCGTTTGTTTTCAGCAACCCTGAAAGCGCTGCAGATCCGTTGTGAGATATTTTTGTTATGTAAATTCTATTATCACCATTTTCGTGTTGATTATCCGTTCCTCCGGCTATGCTAAATCCAAATCCTGACTCACCTCGTTCAATTGAAACTTCCAAATTTTCATACGAAGATATCTGAGAAATCTGTGATATAATTCAACATAAATATAATAGTTAATTTAAGTCTAACTTTATTACAGTTAGTTAGTGTAGTTTACTACAGTTATTAAGAATAACATGAAATGTTGAATATGACATTATCTAGTCTTGAAATCGATGAGCACAAATACGAGACAATTCTTTTTTCTATTAAGTCTTAATCACCTGGTGAACTTCACTATAAGAAATCATGCTAGTTCTAAAATTCCGATAAGTCGTTATTTGGAGTAAAATTAGCGAACTAGCGTAGCGAGTGCAGTGTGATCGATATAGATATTGATAATTCGGGGTCATCGGGACTTTGACATCCTGGACTATTCATTGACCACTAGATCAAAAAAAGATAAAAGAGGCATTTCACTTCAAGTGTTCCAGCACCACGGCCGAAAATTGATTAATTTCTAACTCACTGGTAAACCATCTGAACGAATTTAAAAAAAACACGAGAAATTTCCTTAGATTTTAATCGAAACTATTAAAAAATTTTTTTAAATACCCTTCTTGATTCTTGAGATATTTAATGTTGAAAGTTTTTAAATTTTCCGGGGAAAATTGAGTCTTCCAAAACATTTGAGCTTATTTTTCTTAACGTGCGAAGGGGGGTTTCTAGTGAGTCGGAACGACCCTCACCTTTGTGTTCAACTTAGTGATAGATATGTTGTCCAGGAATAGCCACTTTGCCGGAATGGGAGTAGCCGCTGTATCAGAATAGGGGTAGTCACTGTACCCGAATGGGAGCAGCCGTTGTCCCTGCTACTGATCGGATTAGTTTCGTATCCGAAGTCTTAGCCAAATAATTCGCTACTTGTGTGAATTACAAAGATGTATGATTATTATGTATCTCCTGGTCAATTTTTTATGTGGGCCATATTTTTTTTAAGTTTTATCAATATTAAGACTAAATAATGCCATATTCGATGTATGATATTAGATTGATAAAACCAGCGAATATAATAAAGCTTATCGTGCAATTTACTGTTTAATTTTGTACTAAAATCAATTTTTTTCATACTTACGGTTTCTTTTTCATTAACATCATCTTGTTGAACTGTATCAACGTTTACTGTGTTCTCCAAGTGAAGGTGCTGTTTATCAAAGTATGGATAAGTGATTTGTCCAGAAGAGTCGAGTGCTGTAATTTGGTAATATTCTCTGATGTCTGCAAAATAATACCGTAAATTACATATATTTACAAAAATATAGAAATTAAATAAATATTAGTAGTGTATATGATTGGTTTTCTATATTCTTTTAATCATAAAGTTAAGCAAAATGATCACATACAATTCGTATTATAGTTTAACTCAAAAATTGTGTGAGAGCTTTTTGTGCAACTAATTGCGCTTATTATTAATTTTATATTAAACTATTATAAAGTAATCAAATTTTATTTCAATAATTTTATTGAAAAGAAATCACGAAGTATGTTACTATTAGGCTCGTAAAGCAGTTTCTCAAAACCTTCATGTACAACGGATGAAATTAATTTTCATACTTTTGAAAATTTTAAACTTGTACAATAAAAAACAACACGCAATTGTCGAGAATTTAGAGTGAGACTAACACTTGTTAATTATAACTTTTATTAATTAAACACAATTTACGTACAAAATAGATATGAGCTCTTGAGTGGGCGCGAGAAGAGCGAGTGAGCGGTTACGCAAAAAGGGCCGAGAGGTCGGATACAAAGAAAGGTGAGCGCGACATCTGGTGTAAGCGCGAAAATCAAATCAAGAATAAAAATACAGAATAATTACAGATTAACAGATTAGATGAGAGTATAAAATAAGTATATCTAACAGAAATTAATTACAACAAGGATGAAGAGTGAAAACTCAAAACTCATAGAAAAAGTACCTTCATCGACAATTCTTATTACTTCGTAAGCAAAAAGTCTGAGTTCAGTTGTCTTTACATTGTTTAATTATTAAAATAATAGATTTATTATCATATATGTTGTAACAAGTGCGTGAAGCAGTTGACTCATCCATGCACATACTCCTGGGTGAGTCAACTTTCTCTTTATGATTAACAAAGAGAGAAGCCATTTTTATTGCAAAGAAGTTAATAGTTACTATAAGTATAGGTCAGGTTCATTAAATAACAAATCATTGGATTTTATTTGAGCATATATATAAAATATGGACAAATATCGGCATATCAAGGAAATCTGTTGCGAATGTGCCGCGAACTAAAGCGCAGCAAATGCAAACATATTTTGTCTGGTCTTTTTTCGTGAATGATAATGAACGGTGCAGTGGATTATCATTATTGTCATAAAACTAGATAAAAGACAACTCAGACACCTCCAGGTTATTGAAGCGTGTACAAATTACTTCGGGCCTCAAAACCGTATATACTCCTGGGATGCGGGCATTGTAATAGAAAATTTGGAATCATTAAAATGTCCAAGTTTAAAATTGTTAATATAGGTATATAAACTGTAATGTCAATTGCAAATAAAATTCCTTTGCCAAAAAACTCAAACCAAACCACCTTAAACTGTCAAAGAAATAATAACTGAAGTAATTTTCAACGATGGTACTGTTAAGGACTTAGTTCGAAAGTGTTGAAATTCTATGTATACTCTATTCATAACCGATTACCATATGAGCTTTAGACGCCCGTTATACCGCTATAGGTGCAGTTTTCTCTTCGCACAATCGAGCTAGCTCAAACTGAGAAGCTGTGCTGCAAGCATGAGACCAGATTGCAGTGAGACGTCGTAGGCAACAGACGTATCACTGCCGTATTGTACTCACCTTAATTCACATACATATTATATTTACTTATAAATAAACTCATCATTATTAATAACCGGTTCAGAAAGAAACTGATTATAAGTTTACGTCGACAAAAAAAAATATACAATCGAAATCAATGCTCTCATGCTTTTGAGAAAATTACAGTCTGTACCCATATTTGTTGACAAGCAACGCATTCGCAAAAAGCGACTCACTAGTCACTCTCACAATAGTTTTAGACAAAAATTGAAGTTATTGTTAATTTTTTATTCATAATAAGTAAATTCATTGAAATTCAAGATGAATATATCGAAAAAAGATGAAGTTCACTTACCTATTAATGCTTGAAAAAACTTACTCTTCAGTAAACGGATTAATCTTTCGGTCTCAATAACAAGATACTTTTCTTGCGATTCAATAAGTTTACCATAAAAATCTGATAATAATTCGAGAGCTCTGTGAGTTTCTAAAAAAAACATAGTTTATCAAACAAACTCGGTTTATTGACATTAAAATTAAAAAATAATATATTTTGCACCTAGGAAGTGAAAAATTGGGAAGTCTTAGAGTTCGCGAATTTTTTCAGCCAAGGCTGCTAATCACATGCCCTGAGACTTTTTCTTCACTACATAGGTGCAAGTAAACTTTTTTGTGAATTCCCAGCCTAAAGTAATATTTTGATTTCGCTCAGTGGGGGTAAAATGTTACTTTAGGTTGGGGTAACACAAAAAAATATTTCATTTTGTATCACATCTATGTCAAAATTAAAAAAAAAAATTTACATCAACAAAAACGTTGAAAATTTGTAACATTTTTCAAGTAAAATTTACGGAATATGAGTTTGATAAAATGAAAATTTCTAAATCTTGATACGATAGTTTTATTATGAATTTTTTCTTACCAATATTTTGATGTTTATACGTTGTTTGAGCCATTTTAAGTCGTTTGGTAATAAGATCAACGGATTAAAATCAGTTGGCCTGCAAAAAAATTTTTACACATGAACCAAATACTCTTTTAACTATTGGGTATTATTAAACATGTAATACATAATATTTATATACATAATATGTATATAGGGTCAACTGATCATTGGGTGAACGACCACCAGTAAATAAACGATTAATATTTTAAATTAATTAAATAATGAATATTGTACGATGATAGTTTTTGTAACAACCATTTCTCTTTTCTTGGATGACAGCACTTTTAGCGCCAACAGTTTTATATTAACTAGAACCAATTTTTTAATTACACTTATCATCTGAAATTCCCTTCCAAGTATAAAAAAATTTCGTGGATTTCTACGTGGATTATCCACACAGATTCCGTGTAGATTCTGCGTGGAAAGTGCATATATTTCATGTAGAATAAGCATGGATCACTTTTTGTAAAAATCTGCCAAGATTTTTCAATTATTCCGTGAAAACGGATATTTTGAGATATTATTAAGAAAATGTTTCGATTATCTCTTAAAAGCCAAATTCCATGCTCGTATCCGTTTTCACGGAATAATCGAAAAATCTTAACAGATTTTTACAAAAAATGATCCCCGCTGATTCTATAAGGATAATATGCACTTTCCAAGCAGAATCGATCTACACAGAATCTGCGTGGATAATCCCCGTAGAAATTTACGCAATTTTTTTACTGGTTTCTGATTAAAAATTTCTTAGGATTATAATCTTTTTAAATTATTTCATGCATTCACAGGCATTGTACTTGAGAATTTTATGTACTCCGTGTATCGGCCGTTTTATTACAAGCTCGCATTAAAATTAAAAAGCCTAGTTACGACATGATTTATTAATACATTTTATTTATTTATCACTTGAACATAAATTTTTGTTAAAATTTATATACTGCATTATTCCATATAATAGATGATAATAAAGAATAAAATGAAAGCTTATTAAGATGTAAAATGATAATAGTTGAAAATTTCAATTATCTAGATTATTTAAGCAACTTGGTAGAGATCAATGCACAGCTGTAGGAATAGATATTGTATTTGGTAATCATTATAAAAATTGGGAAATGGATATGTTTATTCAAAAAACTTAATAAGAATTACTTATTTCTATGAGCTGAATTATGTGATGACAATACTTACTGTGAGAATATATATCTTGCTTATTGGCTGTCTCAAAGTATCTTTTTATTATTATTAGCTGCTACTATTTGCATCGAGTAAACACAACATAGATGAATTTCGCATCGTCAATAATAAATAATTTGTTTTTTATTTCTGTGTTTGATGTAAAACGATAAATAGCGAAAGCAAGTGGTATTTTGATAGAAACGGATAAGTCAAGTCGCAACATTACCGACAGTACGAGACAAGTCTATAAGGGTGGTCCAAAATAAAAAAATATGAAAAAATGTCTATATATAATTTTAATTCACAATATCTTATTTACTTTTTATGTTTATTACACTGTACTCGATAGAATTTTCTGTATGATTTTATAATTATGTACAAAAATTCATTTTATATAGATCTCTAGCGTAATTTACATCAAAACAAACTGAATTTAAAGATCTCAAAAAAGTCATCATTTCTTAGTTCTGTAAAAATAAAATTTTAATTCTAATTAAAGTCTAATAAAAGAGCTTGTGCTTATAAATTTGATTTTCAACATAACTACAAAAATTGTTGATTTTTGAAATACATATGAATATTCTTATAAATATTTTTAAAAAATTGTATATATTTGATTTATATCATACTGCCCCGACAAAATTTTTGTGTGAAAACTAAAAGTTAATATTGAAATTTTTTACTTTTGATGTAAAATTATGTTTATAATTAGTTTTTTTACTTCAGAAAATATATCTCTCTAGTACCTTTAATTATATCAATTAGTCCACCCCTACGGAAATTGATCACCACACTAAGTCTTTAAAAATGCTTAAAAACTCTTAAAAATCTGAATAAGTCTTTGAAATTCTTACAAATGTCCGGATTTCGTACCATGATTTCAAAATTTCGTAAAACTTTATGAGAGTTTCAATTAATATAAAATTTTTTTATAAATTTATGTGAAGGGTTTCTAAAATGTTCAGAAAAAAAATTTTAAAAATTTTTACAAGTAATTTTAATTGTTTTAAAGAGTTATAAAGAGTTTTGAAGAGTTATCAAGTGTTTATAAGAGTTCTTAATAGTTTTAAAAACGTTTTTGCTTGATCAACGCTCACCAAAAATCATGGTGAAAAAACTATACAGGCAACTATATGAACAATACATAAAAAAAAATAAAGGAAAAAAAAACTTGACACTTTTGCCAAAAAGTCGAGTTTCCACAAGGTTTTATGAATTTTTAAAAACTCCTATTTACTCTTTAAAATGATTAATCAGGTGTAACGAATTTCGTACATTTATAAGACTTATAAAGACTTTATAAAACTATATCATGAGATAAATTTCCGTTGGGGCAGGAATAACCTATAATGATTTATGATTCTGAAGTTGTATCACATGAATTTAAATCCAATCTTTGATCAAATTTGGACCATTTAGATCTCAAAAGCTTCGGGTCAAGATTTTCTTCCACCTGAGTGAAGCAAATTTTCGATCAAATTATTTATCGAATCTACTAGTCTAAAAAACTGCCAATAAAAATATGCAAAAGTTTTTCTAGTCTTTTCTTGAAATTCTGTTACACTTCAAGGGTAAGACCACTTTAAGATTATTAAAAAATTCAAAATTCGAGGATTTTTTTCGGAGGTCACGATAGGTCATTCAATTTAGGACTTCAAGAAATAATATGTCTTGAAGAACCCAAAAATATTTTTTTTATTAATTTTTATTAATAACAAAAATATTTTTTTTTATTCATTTTTATTAAAAGACCATTCTTTACGATATCAGTACAAGTGGTTTCTTGGTCAAAGCGACTTGATTTTTATAGTCTCTCCGGCTTGCAAAGGCCTGGAACTTTAAAGTTGTTTTGTGTTTAATTTCTCCACCGTTAGGTGGCGTCTACGCGAGCCACCGCCGTTCCCACATGAGAGCAAGTGAGGCTGCTGGCATATAATCTAACCTGCTCTCGCGGTAAAATTGATTCAATCGACTAGGATCGAACAATAACTTCCTTTGTGAGTTGTTCTGTTCGACAAGTGAGTCGTGATCGGAAGTGTTTACACTTTAGATCGCCACGCAACTCGGAGATAGCTTGGTCGGAGAACTCTTTGAGTTTTCGGCTAGCCGAGACATCTCGAGTTGGATGGTTGGAACTTCCAACTTGGAACACCTAGCCTTCGATCGCCATTATTTTAGCTCGTCGTACAACAGCGACGCACGAGCAGTACTATTAATATTTTTCTTAATTTTTTATTTTTTATTTGTAAATTATTGACTTTATAAAAGAAAGTCATACAATGAAAAGTGTTCAAATTTGTTCAAAGAATACATTTGAATTTTTTTTAGAATTTTTTAATAATTTTTTCAGAATTTTTCAGATTTTTTTTGGAACATTTTGGATTTTTTCGACAGGTCGGGGAATGGTCGTACTTTGCAAAATTTTCAAAGCGGTCTAAAAAATTCTGACAAAATTCACACGTATTCTCTAAACGATTTCAAATAAGTTTTTACACTCCAAATTGTACTTTTGAGTTCATATTTAGCGCATGTAAAATAGGATCTGAGTAAAAAATGAGTAAATTTTTATACCGCTGCTCGGTATAAATTCGCCATTTTAGAAATATAGGGGCAAGATAAAAATCGCGGCAGCGCATTTTTCGAAGGTTCAAAGAAAAAGTGCACGATTTCTGGTATTATGGGAACCCTCCGAAGGCAAGGCAAGGTAGAAAATCGACTTTGAAAAAAAATTTTGTGTCAAAAAATCACGTTTTTTGTTTTTAATGGCAAAATAAACGATGATAATGTTTATTTATCGCAAAAATAACACCGGATACTGAAAGAGCATACCCAAAAACCCCTGGGTATGGATTTTCAATAAAATATTTTAACTTTATCTATAATTTTTTGTAACCGTTCGCCCTCGGGATGCAAGCGAATGATCCGGCGAAATCTTGCGGTGCTGTAAACGGAATAAAACGGGGTGTCGAAATAACTCACTCGATCATGTAAAAAGGCAACAATATAACAAGGCTTAATTTATTATTGGAAAAGGCGCCAGTCACGAGTGTGATGCCTGATTATATATATTACATTCAATGAATCGACGATTAGTTATTGGGCTTCAACACGCAATTGACATATAAATTTACTCCGGTACAATATACACACGCGATTAGGCCACCTCGGCCAGAGCGGCAGACACGGCGGTCGTGAGTTTGGGCTACGTGGGGACGATGTTGAGAGAGATTGAGCGTAACGAACAGAGATAGGTATGGCGCATTACGCGAGAGAGATATAGGCGACTTACATTCGTTGACGATGTTGGTTGGTGGATGATTCAGGCCGAATGTGACTGCGCAAAAGCTAGGGCCGACGAGAGGAGAGCCAGGTCACACAATTCCTCCAGGAGTAGCTCGTACGGACACACACTCGCACTTGACGCAGAACCAGGCTACAATATACGCGTCGCTACGCACGGACCAGCACAGAGTGATCCCGCTGTCTCTTACACGTAGACCCGTCAGTCAGATCAGGCCTCCCTCCTATGACAGCTTTTCGTCTGCTCTCTCATTAGGCGCGCGAATCTTACGCACAGGTCGCGCGTCTCTCGCTACAAATTCGGCGCGTTGTGAACGGCGCCGATCCAAGTTACATCAAGCTCGCGATAATCATACGGCTCTCTCGACACGGGTCAGGATTAGGACACAAGGAAGGAATACCGCCGGACTCTGTACTGGCGTCCACTTCCTTACATTCTCCCCTCCATGACTGAACCTATCACGAGAGGTTCAATCATCACTCACTTTGGATAGATTGAAAAATAGGTAGCCGCATTGTACCATTCACACACATACACGTGATTTTAATCCATTAGGCCTTAATAACGATACATAAATATAAGAACCGACACTCTCATACAATTAATACAAAAAAAAACACATACCTGGCTTCGGTCCTCTCGTTCGGGGGCCATATACTATATAGTGATTTACATGACTACCAGAATTTACAATTACAATGTTAAAATAAAATAATTTGATCAATTAATTAGTCACCCAACATCTCTCATTACGCTGCCATATTAATTTTTCCCTGTACACAGCAACACCAATGTATGCTGACTATGCACATCCGTGAACACATTAAAATTTGGAATTTTAAATTACTTAACAAACATCAACGCTTGATTCTGGCCATATAGGGAGATGATGATGATCATGATTATGAGTATGATTAGGCATGTATGAAATAAACTGACTCACGACACAAACAGGTATACAATAACAAAATAAAACTTTATTTATATAAAAAATATATGGGACAATCGTCCTGCCACTCGGCTATGATTCTCGGATCTCAACAAAAAATTAATGTATGGCGCCAGTGCCTGATTTGTACTATGCCTGTGCGGCGATCAAATAATAAAAAAAACAAAATAACGATAGATTTGGCCTAACAAAACAAAAGAAATTAACAAATAGAACAAAAAATTTCAGCACTCGGCTGCATTACAATCGTGAGCACGGAAGGTCCTCGTATCTCACATACGCAACGCGTATCAACTATTAGGCCAAATCAAACAAAGAAAAAAAACTAATAAATACAAGTACGGAGGCTACGACTGATGAGGCTGCGCAGCATACGTCGACGACTACGGCGTGTAACCTACGGATACTGCGCCTCACTGAAATAAATTAGACAAATTAACATCACCACACACACAAATATTACTCAATTAGGCCAAATTTTAAATCACCTAGTCTGTAGACACTCCTAACGTTTGTAATACCCAGGCCGGAAACTGCGGGTCTTGCCTGAGGCAAGATAACGCTGCCATATCGGGGAACAGTCCGGGCATGTCGATTTTGAGTGGCCAGGGTTTCCGCACCAAAAACAATATCGCCGCTTGATCGGGTCCGGGCAATTGAGGTGACTATGGCCGCTATTTAGTGCGCCGCAGTTCCAGCATCCTGGTCGGATACGACCCATCGCCACCAAGTCAACGCGCGGCTCTGGCTCGTCCCACCGAACGCGTATCTCCGGCCAGGCGAAATCCCGGGCCTCACCCTCCCCCGGTCCGGACACCTCGGCCTCGGCGACCGCGGGCGGCTCGATCTCCATCGCGACCGGCGACTCCGACCTCGCCGATCGCTCCGTTGACGGGCCTCCCTCGGCCAGTCCGCCAGCCACCTCCTCGGCATCAATCACATCTGGCACGGCCAGATGC